CACACACTCACACACAAACACACACTCACTCTCTCTCACACACACGCACACATACACTCTCTCTCTCTCACACACACACTCTCTCTTACACACACACTCTATAGACTAGTAATAATGTGAGCATTTACATGCATCTGATTAAAAGTGCAGCGTTTGTGTCAGCGTGAGAGTGCAACTTCATAATTCATTCCACATTTTGTGCGATTAGACAGAGTGTATGACAGCAAAAAGGTCAGGAGTGATGAGATTAGGTCGCTTCATCCAACATTACCTCCTTAGAGGTGCACAAGGTCTCTGCCCTGCTGTCACGGTCCATCTGACTGACGCAGCAGCACAGGCTCCATGAGCCACTATAAAAGACACAGCAGGGCAACAAGAGGTTAGACCATCTTTCTGACCAACCAGGAGCAGTGAGAAACATTTTCAGCCCTTCTCGTCTGTGTGGTGGTCATGTGTAAAGCTGCAGTTCTCACGCTCGGCCTGCTGGTGGCGCTGCTGGGCGGCGCTCGGGCCACAGACGGACACCCGGTCTACGGAGTGAAGCTGTGCGGCAGAGAGTTCATCCGGGCGGTCATCTTCACCTGCGGAGGCTCGCGATGGAGGAGGTCTCTGGATGTTTCAGGTATGAGACAGACATGAAGTAAAAAACCAGGAGTTGTGTTTACTGTGTATTCGTTCATTCCAATACAACACACACACATTTAGAGGAACCCAATTTTCCTTCTATAGCTTTAATACAACATACATTTCTATACAAAATGTATTTAATTGTACTTTTGCATATAGCTTTGAGTTATTTTGACACAATAATTACTAAATGACTATTAGGCTACAACAATAGAAACATACATTATTTATTTAATAATAATAATAATTATTATTAAGATTACTTTTTTATGGATTACGTGATTACATATTCATAAAGTGCCAGTAAAATATTCATAATTTATTGATTCTCCAAGTTTCCATTCCAAAAATCCTACTTTGCCATACATTTAGCTTTGGCTATAGACACACTATAGAATGGCCGTGTACATGTACATTTACATTTAGCTATTTAGTCATTTAGCAGATGCTTTTATCCAAAGTGACCTACAAATGAGGACAATAGAAGCAATCGAAACCAACAAAAGAGCAATGATACACAAGTGCTATGACAAGTCTCGGTTAGCCTAACGCAGTACACGTAGCAAGGTGTTTTTTAATATAATAATTAAAAAGAAAACAAATAGATCGAATAGAAAAAGAATGGGGAACGCTTGTAAATGTCATGTAAATAATTTTGTAACCCTACATTTGGGGGGGGGGGGAAGAGAAATGATAGGGAAAAACTAATATAAAAAGTAGTCAGAGTACATTACCTAAAATGAATAACCTAGAGATTACATTGCTGACCACAATTTTCCTCATGTAATCTGTATTTCAGTAACAAACTACAAATTGTAAGTAATCTATCCAGCACTGCCAGTGAATTACCTCAGATTGGATCTTGGTTTATGTGTTTCACATGACTCCACACAGGATCAGTTATTATATTATTAATATTCCCATGTAACACATTTGCATGAAAGTAAACAAGTCTTGGGTTTCTGTTAATTAGAAAAATGAATCTGTGGTCTAAGTGTACCATATATGTTTCAATAACTTTTTAAAACTTGTATTTAATGTGTGAAATATTTGTTCTAGTATTACTAGGATCATAACTTTTATATTAATATTATTATTAATTTTTACATTCTTAAAATGTATTTATTAACAACATCAAAACAATTCACAAGGATTAAGCATTGTGGCATTTAGGTAAAATATAATAAACCTGGTTTAGAAAAGCATTTACATTCGGATTAATAAGATGTGGCACTATAGACTAGTAATAATGTGAGCATTTACATGCATCTGATTAAAAGTGCAGCGTTTGTGTCAGCGTGAGAGTGCAACTTCATAATTCATTCCACATTTTGTGCGATTAGACAGAGTGTATGACAGCAAAAAGGTCAGGAGTGATGAGATTAGGTCGCTTCATCCGACATTACCTCCTTAGAGGTGCACAAGGTCTCTGCCCTGCTGTCACGGTCCATCTGACTGACGCAGCAGCACAGGCTCCATGAGCCACTATAAAAGACACAGCAGGGCAACAAGAGGTTAGACCATCTTTCTGACCAACCAGGAGCAGTGAGAAACATTTCCAGCCCTTCTCGTCTGTGTGGTGGTCATGTGTAAAGCTGCAGTTCTCACACTCGGCCTGCTGGTGGCGCTGCTGGGCGGCGCTCGGGCCACAGACGGACACCCGGTCTACGGAGTGAAGCTGTGCGGCAGAGAGTTCATCCGGGCGGTCATCTTCACCTGCGGAGGCTCGCGATGGAGGAGGTCTCTGGACGTTTCAGGTATGAGACAGACATGAAGTAAAAAACCAGGAGTTGTGTTTACTGTGTATTCGTTCATTCCAATACAACACACACACATTTAGAGGAACCCAATTTTCCTTCTATAGCTTTAACACAACATACATTTCTATACAACATTTATTTAATTGTAGTTTTGCATATAGCTTTGAGTTATTTTGACACAATAATTACTAAATGACTATTAGGCTACAACAATAGAAACATACATTATTTATTTAATAATAATAATAATTATTATTATTATTGATAATACCCATACATTTAGAGGGCAAATTGAACCACATGCCGTTTAATTTTTTTATTTGTATTATTATTGATAATACACTCAGAGGGCAAATTGAACTACATGTAATCCACAAACCCATTTTTATATAAGTTCTTTAAAAAAGGAATAAAAATGAACCTCTTTCTTAAAAAAGAAATAAAAAACTAAATAATAATAATAAAAAAACTGAATAATAATTAAATGATCTTTAGAGTACAACAATAAAAACATATATTATTAATTTAATAATAATAATAATATTTATTCATTGTAATATTGTAATTTATTGTAATATTGTTGTATACACACATATACACGTATGTGTATATACACTGTTATTACAGTATTATTATTAATAATTAAATTATTAATAATGTTAATTAAAGTGTTTATATATATATATATATATATATATATATATATATATATATATAATAAAACCATTTTAATATAATTATTAATAATGTCTGTGTGTGTGTGCGTGTGTGTGTGTTTGGGTGTGTATAAAAATACCTGACATGATGCTGCTGGTTGACAGGGTGTTGCTATGCTGTTGCTAGGTTGTTTGGGGTGGTTGCTAGGTGGTTGTTTACTGGCCAAAATAGTCTCACCTCAAGTTTCTGTCATATTCATGGTCTCTGTGGCTGATGTTTGTCATTCAATGTACATTTGTGGGGATTCTCACCCATTTTATCATCTACCAGGTGACAAATCACAAGTCTGATCACTTAACATAAAATAATAACAGCACACCTATCTTCAACGAGACACATGATTTGAGGATCCATTCACTTCTAGTACACAAACTCTGCATGACCAGTTATGTGCTGAAGTTTAAAGCTAAAGTGCTTAAGCTTAAGGGTTCGTTTGAATCACTCACAGTAACTATGACAGTAACAGTGAGTGGCATATCTTTGTGGTGTTGTTCTCTGATCAGGTGACCTCTCCAGTGATCTGCTCTCCGCTCATGACGACGAGGCCTCTGACAGCTGGGCCGCAAACCCCATCGTCCCTGGACTGTCATACAGACCCCGTCCTGTCGCAGAGGCCCCTGCCTGGGCGGGAGAGGGCCAGGACGGCCAGGAGGGCCCCGTGTTCAGCCGGCCCGCCCGCTCGCTCATCTCAGAGGACGTGCTGGAGGCCTTGCGCTCGTCAGACAGGAAGGGGCGGGACGTGGTGGTTGGGCTGTCTAACGCCTGCTGTAAATGGGGCTGCAGTAAGAGCGAAATCAGCTCGTTGTGTTAAAGGACTACGTGACCCCATTTCTGCCTTTCCTCGGCCCTATGCTCACTCCAACCTGAAGAATGAAGGTGGAGAGGTTGTTGAAGTTTGTTCCTATGAAATACTGAAATATATGTGTCAGAGATGTAGGAATAGCAGATTTTAGCCAAAGCGAAGAGCCTGTTTGTCAGTCCATTCAAAAACTGCTCATCTCCGTTCTTGTGATTCTCTTGTATGGTTACTAACAGCAAACTGGAATAAAGTTTCGATTGCGAAAGAGTTTGGGGTCACGTGGTTATTAAAATCATTTTAATATAAAGTTTACAGACGCTTGAATTATAAACTGTAAATAAAAAAGAATGGAAAAGCCAACAGATGGCTTAGCTTAAAATATATTAGCATACTACTTTGTGCAGTATGTACTGTATTCGGCTCATTATGCAAATTAATCTGAATAAATTACACAGAAAATCTATCACAGTTAATAAAATGTGCAAAATACAACACAACAGACCTCACTGGATGCTGTATGCCCGCAATGCTCTCAAAGATATACGTCTCTTTCTTCACTTAATATTTCATTTGAAATAACAAAACTGAATAAAAATTATTCTATTTTTAATATACATTTTAATTTAAATGCAAAATAACAGCAAACTTCCTGTCATCACTATGCAAATATTTGATTTCAAAAAACAAATAAACCAACAATTAAACCAACATCATAGCTATTAAACTATATCTAGTTAACCCTTGTGCGACCTTTTGGACATTTTTGTGCTTTTCAGTTTTGTTTTTTTGATCGTTTTGCCTGTGTTATTGCCAACTGCATACATTTTGGCACAGGTGTGTATTTTTATTGGAATTTTACTATTTCACTTCCATTTCGTTTTGCACTAGGTACAAAAAATTGTTCCTCTCAGGACCTTAAGGACAAAAATGTCCCCATTGAAACTCATTAAAACTATATTTTTAATCGCAGTGCCATTTAACTGTAAAATTATGCAATTTTTGTTGATAGGCTTTCATCATATTGGCAAGGCTTTGAAATTTAATTTTATACTATTTTTTACCAGATGGTGCCATTTTTTCAGGTTTGACCTATGAAGAAAATACTCGCCTTATTTCTGTTTTCTGCTTCTGCATATTATAGAGCCAATTGGATAAATAATGCAGCTATAATTGTGTGGGTGTGTTGGTATGGATGTCAGAGATTGGTTTGTATGTGTGTCATAAAAAAAATTAAATTGTGTGTGTGCGCGTGTGTGTGTTCTTGTAATATTTGAGAGAAAAACTCTACTGCAAATCACAAATCCAACCACTGTGTGCACCAGCAGAGTTTTGCTGGCATCTAATGGGGAAAATTTGGTACTGCGCCCAAACAAACTCTTACTGAAAGCTCATCTTTTGAGATATCAACCTCAAATTTGGAATACAACTTGTTTAGATTTATGGCTTTGATTTTCTAGCAGGTATAGAGTTCAACATGTATCATAAAATATATATGAACATCGTTCATAAATCATTTTCATAAACCTAAACATCTAGAACTTTTTTTTTGGTTTCACTTTTTAAACTTTTCTTGCTTCAACAATAATCTGCCATTGGTCTTCTTTAAAATGAGACCAAACTTAACTCTGTGCTCCCAAGCTTCACATTTTTATGACAGTTTTTTGACACGGACATTTTTGTCCACTGTGGACCTATGTGTGACTTTTTTAAATTGACGCACAAGGGTTAAGACATTAAATCTGTATTTAACCTCAGAACGATCTCAACGTAAAAAGAGGTGTTAAAGTCTGATTTTGTGGTGGCTGTGCTTTAAAATGAAATGATTATAATCATACTTCAAGTGATGAAGGATTTTGAAAGTCTGTGTTGAGTGCTACTGTAAGTGCTAACCCTGCCTGCTTTAAATGTGCGAAAATAATTCATAGTTTAGAAAAACATTAGAAATTTAAAGTTAGAAAAGCAATCAAAAAGTAACCAAATGTAAACAGTTACATTACTTTAATAAAGTTATTGAAAGTTGCACTACTTATTATTACATTTTAAATAGGGTAACTTATTACATCTCCAAAATAACCTTCCCAACACTGCAGTGACCCGTTATTGCCTCTTTGTCTCCATCTACAGGTCACAGGGTGAATTACAGACCTCTAAAATTAAGTTAACCTTCATTCACGAAATATAGAGCACAATTAATATGTGTTAGTCACTATATTTTTTATTTATTTATTTTTTTTTAAATAAAAGCCTTATGGTCAGTATTAGAGGTTCATTTCGTTTTATGTTAATGAGACATGACGTCAGCGTCACGGTACGGAAGCCGCTCAGATCCACACCGCGCGATTAACGCGTCCGCCTTGCAATAGGCGCCGCCGGGTGAAAGAAGAATAACAACAAACACGCCGATTAAACCCCACAGAAACCCGCGGCGAGCCATCCGTTACCGCGAAGCGACGGCTATCAGCGCTTGTACCGCGGCAGAGAGAGAGATACACCCAGACACACACACACACAGAGAGAGAGAGAGAAACACTGACTGAAGGTGAGAGCGTTTGGCGGGTTAGCACAGCAGCTAACGGCTACATAAGCGTCTGTGTGTGTTTATTCCGCATCATTATACACACTCATCACGCTTATATAACGGGGTTAATGCGTTTTATTTAATGTGTGATCGGTTAACACGTCTGATGTGAGCTGGGGGATTGGGTTAAACCGGGCTGCGTAAACACACACGGCCCACACACACTCATATATATATATATATATATATATGTATACACACACACACACACACACACACACACAGACAGAGATTATACATATAAACACCACACATATACAGGTACTCACACACACGCTCACACACACACACACACACACACACACACACACAGACAGAGATTATACATATAAACACCACACATATACAGGTGCACACACACACTCTACACATGTTCACACCGTACTCAAACGTACACACAAACACACTTCTCAGTCATATGTTTGTAATATTGTATGTGTATATATGTAACCCTGGACAACAAAACCAGTCATAAGGGCCAATTTTTCCAAAACTGAGATTTATGCATCATCTGAAAGCTGAATAAACAAGCTTTCCATTGATGTATGGTTTGTTGGGATAATATTTTTAAGATTATAAAAGGACAATATTTTTCTGAGAGATGACTTTAAAGGCGATTTTCACAATATTTAGATTTTTTGCACCCTCAGATTCCAGATTTTTTTTGTCCAAATTAAGTCCATAGCAATGCATATTACTAATCCAAAAATTATGTTTTGATATATTTACGGTAGGAAATTTACAAAATATCTTCTCGGAATATGATCTTTAATATCCTAGTGATTTTTGGCATGAAAGAAAAATCGATCATTTTGACCCGTACAATGTATTTTTGGCTCTTACTACAAATATACCCGTGCTACTTATGACTGCTTTTGTGCTCCAGGGTCACATATGTATGCACACGTATCCATATAACTAACTAACTGCATGTATGTATTTGTGTATATATACATGTATAGCTTGATAGATGTGTAGATAAACTCACTTTGATAGATATTTATACAAACATACACTTATGTACTAAAAAATAAGTACACGCACATACAAATCGGAACTTTGTAATCAAGTTTTAGGAATTTGAAAAAGTAAAACAAAGCAACTTTGTGACAAAATGAGAGATTTTTGAATATTCTGCGCTATTTCTGTGTCTCTACGCAAAACTGAGTGATATTTATAATGTACAGACGATTAAATGTTCTTCCATTAAAACATTTTAAATCAGGCTGGTGAACAGGATTTCAGGTTTGGTTGCTGCTGACATCCTCAAATTAATCTTTACACTTAAATTGTTATGCAGAAGAAATAGTAGCACATGCAATGAAACAATTGATATTAAATGAAACCCAAGCGTCTTCCTGAGTATTTGCAGAGCCACTGAAGAAATGCTCGCACATTCACACACGGCCCACACGTAAGTCAGACGCTCACACATCACAGCCTCCTCGCACATTCACACTCTCGTCTGCCTCGATCCCACTAAAGCAGATCAGATGGTAAAGCTGATGTGTAACCCTGACGTCCAGGTGCTCGCGCTGGATTAGCCTGGCTTCAACAATTAAAAGTGTTTTAAACCAGGTATTTGTTCTGAATGCATGTGTCTGTGGATGATAGTTATGTGTGTTATTTGCTCACTTCAATTCTTTCTTCCTAAAACTGTGCCAAGAAAGCAGTGATGGCCTGGAGGGCGTGTGTGTTTTGATGTAGTGCACTCATTTGCCCTCTGTGTTTCCTGTGTGTGTGTGTGTGTGTGTGTGTCTGTCTGTCTGTCTGTCTGTCTGTCTGTGTGTGTGTGTCTGTCTGTCTGTCTGTCTGTCTGTCTGTCTGTGTGTGTGTGTGTGTGTGTGAGTGTGTGTCTGTCTGTCTGTGTGTGTGTGTGTGTCTGTCTGTCTGTGTGTGTCTCTGTGTGTGTGTCTGTGTGTGGCTCAGGATGGAGTGGCAGCCGGATGAACAGGGTTTACAGCAGGTGCTGCAGCTGCTGAAGGACTCACAGTCTCCAGATACGGCCACACAGAGAGCCGTTCAAGAGGTATGTTACTCTATCATCATGATCACTTATGTCTTTAACGCTTATTTATCCAGGTTATCAAACAAATATACTGTGAATTTTAGCCGTAACGACTGGGCAAATGTTGAAATGTCTTCAGTCAGATTTTTAGTATCTGTGTTGGCAGTTTTTATTTGGTATGCATGTGCACAGTAGTGATAGGTCATACGCTCAAGTATAATTTTTGTTTTGTTTAAAATGAATTTAATACTTTTAAAGTATGAATCTAAAACTTTTTTTTTTAGCATGGACGCGCGTATTCAGTTGATCAAAAGTGACAGTAAAGACGTTAATGTTCATCAAAGAATACTGAAAAAAGCAATATCACGGTTTCCACAAAAATACGAAGCAGCCCAACTGTTTTTTTCAACATTGATAATAATCATAAATGTTTCTTGAGCAGCAAATCAGCATATTAGAATGATTTCTGATTCGAAGGATCATGTCACACTGAAGACTGGAGTAATGATGCTGAAAATTCAGCTTTGATCACAGCAATACATTACATTTCAAAATATGTTCTCACATAAAACGGTTACGTTAAAATGTAGTAATATATTACAATATTAGTGTTTTTTCTGTGTTTTTTTTTCAAATTAAATAAATGCAGTCTTGGTGAGCAGAAGATACTTTTACTATAAAGATATAAAAATGTATTATAACAAACAGCAATATTTATCTCTATTTGTTCCATAAAACATTTAATGCGATGCAGAGGATTGTAAATTTTAAGATGATTTGTTTAATCCTTTCATCTGGGAAGTGATTTATTGATTTAATCTGACAGTAACGGACTCATTCAAGAAAATGAATCAAACTTTAAAACTAATAGTCTGTTTTTGAAGAGTATTAAAATTATTAAATGAGTAAATAATTTTTTGTGTGCATCTTAATAAACGTCTCTGGTCTGAGACCAGACCTCTTCTTTCTTTGCTCTCTGTTGAATTTTTCCTAATGTTTTTCTGACTCGCTCATTAGAAACTGGAGCAGCTGAATCAGTTTCCTGACTTCAACAACTATCTCATCTTCGTCCTCACCAGCCTCAAATCTGAAGGTCTGTATATCCCATGGTGCATCATCTGCCTCAGTGTCTCACACACTCTCCTGTCACTCATCTAAAGGCCCATCTCTGTGTCTCTGCAGACGAGCCCACCCGTTCTCTGAGCGGTCTGATTCTCAAGAACAACGTGAAGGCTCACTACCAGAACTTCCCTCCGGCCGTGGCCGACTTCATCAAGAGAGAGTGTCTCAACAACATCGGAGACCCGTCCCCGCTCATCCGCGCCACCATCGGTCAGTCTGAACCCGGGTTTGAGTGGGTTAGACTGTAATAGATGTGGAGTAAACGTCTACAAAACTCTGATTTAGATGCTTTGAGCTGATTTAATTTAATTTGATTTGATTAGATGTAATTACAGATGTACTGATTGTCTTTAAGTGACACAAATAGGTTATTCAGCTTTGTGTTATAGTTGAGTTTGTGTCCGTGTGTCTGCAGGTATTCTCATCACTACAATCGCGTCTAAAGGGGAGCTGCAGACATGGCCTGAGCTGCTGCCTCAACTCTGCAACCTCCTCAACTCGGAGGATTACAACACCTGCGAGGTAAAACACACGCACATCTCTGAGTATGTATTAACCAAACTCCCATTGTTGACTGAACACCCAATTTTGAAATACAGTTTAATCATTTATTTTATATGCACCAATATAACAATTTAGAGTAATAAAATAGTGTTTATCTCCATATTCTGTGGAATAACATCATAATACTTTAACTTGGAATGCAGTATGCTTTCTGATTTTAGCGTGCATGTTCAGTTTTTTCTAGGGATGTAACGATATCAAAATCTCACGATACGATAATATCTCGATATGAAGTCCACGGTACAATATTTTTGCGATATTTATATATATATAAAAAAAAAAGACAAATGAAGACTTGGAAAAAATGAACATTTTGTACATTTTACAGTAAAATTCTTCTATCTAATGCACTTTGAGAGTTCAAAATGAAGAGCTACGACCCATGTTCTTAACTAAGAAAACTTAAGTCAGAAAATGTCAGTGAATTGACTTGTACCTGAACTTTAAAGGGAACTCAACCCTCTTTTAATTTGTGGTATACTGAGTCTAAATTACATTCACACTGGTGTTCCGATTGTAATAATAACAGCAATTTTATATTATTGTTATTCTTATGACAGTAATAGCCATATATTGTAAAACAATTGCACTTGTAAAATAAATGAAAATGAGTATTTCATTGGCAAATCATTTTTACTTTACACTACAATAGGGAAATTACAATACTTCTTTCTTAATTTCTACACTTGAAAGAGATATTTTGAATTTGGACTGCATTTTAAACCGCTAACTGTCAGCAATTCATACTGCATTTCTATGCTGTTATTTTGACGTAAACGGCAGTAGAGCTTTTATTTTGACACAAAACTCCAGCTTCAGTGAAAACAGGCTTACAAAAACGCGTCTCACTACAAATATAGTGAAATGTTGTAATCGTCTACCGTCAAAATAAAGCATAACTGGTGGCCGTTGCATTCCCAAATGTGCGCTAAACTCACAGCACATGCAATAAACGAGTTCACTGCATTCATTCACTGTGAACGGAGCCGTTCTGAGGCGCGGAAAACACCGGATCATGAGCTGATCGCCTGAACGAAAACAGACTTGATGAAGGGATTAAGCCATATTGTGCTATCTTGTTTGACAGATACTGTGCCAAAGTATAATGGCCCAAAGCACAACTTTAAACACCTTTTATGTTAGAATAAGAAGCTTAAATATATTTTAAAAACTAAATTTTTTCTGGAAAATCAATCGTTTCACATTGTCATGTGACCATGATGATATTGAGGCAGTTTTGCTATTGCGATACCACGATATTGATAATACATATATACGATATTGATAATCGTTACATCCCTAGTATTTTCCCAAAATGTGCAATATTCATCCCACAGTGAAGTGCACTTGACATGACCTTCTGTTTGAACAACAACGGTTGCACAAGAATCTGCTTTGTGATTTGATTGGCTTGCCAGACTGCATTTTTACACACAATTAACTTGCGTGTTTTCAAGAACATAACAACAATGCGGTGAGTAGACATCAGTTGATATCATACAGGCATGGGCGACATTTGACTCTTGAGTCAGGGGCAAGAAAAAAAAAAATATATATATAGTGTATATATGTATATGAAATAAATAAAAACAAAAGTTTTTTTTCCGGTTGTAGGCATCAAAACAATGCCCTACCGTATTGCAACGCATCAAAGCAGTCAATCCAACACAGTCAAGAATAACTTAAAGAGGTTGCCACCGTTTAGTAAACTGAACTAGCTTTGGCTCTTCCTGCTGACTTGAATGGTGACGCTTCCCGTTTGTCAGTTGATGGCCTTTCATTCTTAACCAGAAATGTGCATGCTGCTTTTCTGATGTTCACTGAAGTTTTCCATGTCTTTTTCCCATGTCACTTGAAATGTTTCCGTTTTGAGTCGTTGTTACCAAAGGCGAGACACTTGAGGAAAAAATAAATGATCAGTTGTGGGACTATATTCTGTCATAAATCGCATACCATTCATAGCTGAACTTTCTACCGTCCGTTACTGGAAATGAAATGAAATTCCCGCTCTCAATAAAGTTTACACACGCTTTTGGTCCGTGAAGTAGATCTCGCTCGGGACGCGCGCTATCTGGAGGTTTGGCCAGGACCGGTTCCAGAATTAAATCAACATATTTTAAGTTCCGTCCATTGCCAATCACTGCTATTTCGAGAGTGAATCCCACATAAATATGCGAATGCCATTCCCGAAACTTTGCAGGGTGTAGCCTGTGTCCAAAAAAACGAAAGTTTCATACAAATTCTGAATGGATTATACCCTAGAAAGTGTGCAATGCGTGCTCCCTTTATCACTAAAAAGCGCCACTCATCTTCGTTCATCGCGATCTTACAAAGTTCTGTTATAATCAATGAAGCTCTCTAAACTGCACAATGAATCTCTTATTTACATCGCGTCATGAGATGATTCACGAGCGTGCAAAACTGCACTTAAAAACTGCTGCGCTTTCAGAGGTGAGTAAATTCTGACAAAACATTTCTGATTGGCCATTGCTTTTAAGAAATCAACTGATATGTCTGTGATTGGTTACACTGCTCAACGCTGCAAAAACACGTTGAGGGTATTTAGCGCTTGGCTAAGCGCTCCAATTGCAGAGGGGCCGACATCAGGGATTCCATGACTAACAATTTGGGGGAGCAATTGTCGCCCATGCATACAGGTAATGTATGCAGTCCCCCCCTGATGTCGCCCATGCATACAGGTAATTACAGGTGTGCGATTTTAAGACCATCCGTTCCCTTCAAAGATACAATCATATAAAACACCCGCGCCGCGTTTTACTTTTGAAATGTGCAGCGCTCATGTTTATTCAACGAAGTTGTGGTGGGCCGCCACAAATAAATCAATGTATGGGAAACACTGGTAATGTATATCGGAAATGTGTTGTTAAATCACATCACTGTTATTGAAAAAAAATATATAGCGATATATATTGATAATGAATTATTGTCCAGCCCTTCTTAAACTGCTTTTTTGAACTTAGGTCTTAGGTTTTTTGATCAACCTTAACAAAACTAGTGAACTTGTGTAGTCTCTGGACTAGCTAGTTCAATAATTATCCAAAAAAGTTGAACTTTAGTATTTAGATGTTTATAAAATTGTCATTTAAATTATGGGTGTGACCAGACATACTCAAAATTCCCAAACCAATCTTCATGAAATGATCATGGCGCACTAACAGTTGTTACAGTTTGTACAAATATTCCTCTTTTAACTATTATAAACCCATAATGCAGTGGGATTTCCAACAGAAATGAGTTTGTACTGTGGGTAAAAAAAGTATTTAGTCAGCCACCAATTGTGCAAGTTCTCCCACTTAAGGTGGCTGACTAAATACTTTTTTGCCCCACTGTATGTGTGCGTGTGTACAGGGTTCTTTTGGTGCGCTGCAGAAGATCTGTGAGGACTCGTCTGAACTGCTGGACAGTGACGCTCTGAATCGACCCCTCAACATCATGATCCCCAAATTCCTGCAGTTCTTCAAACACTGCAGCCCCAAGATCAGGTGAAGAGCCACACACACATCTCTCACTGATACACTATCTGTGTTTGATAATGAGTAACAACATGTTGATTCACACTCTCTCTGTAGGTCTCATGCCATAGCGTGTGTGAATCAGTTCATTATTGGCAGGGCTCAGGCTCTCATGGACAACATCGACACATTCATCGAGGTGAGTTGACCTCCAGCAAACAGCGGTTTCTGTCTACCAAAAAGTAATAAGTAATATTTCATGCAGTAATTGTAATTTTAAAATTGTCAGCAGAGTTTTCAGCTCATTGAATGAGTGAGTCATCTGAGCTGATTCGATGAGAAAATGAGCTGACTAATTGATTCAGTCCATAATTCAGACCAAAGAGTGATTCGGTCCGAATCAAAAAATGGCATAGTGTAGTGCACAGTTCTTTTATATGTAATTCTATATTTATTTTTGTGTATATACAGTTGAGGTCAAAAGTTTACATCCCCTTTCAGAATCTGCAAAATGTTCATTATTTTACCAAAATAAGAGGGGTCATACACAATGCATGTCATTGTTTATTTAGTACTGACCTGAATAAGATATTTCACATAAAAGATGTTTACATACAGTCCACAAGAGAAAATAATAGTTGAATTTATAAAAATGACCCCGTTCAAATGTTTATTGATTCTGAATACTGTGTTGTGACCTGAATGATCCACAGCTGTGTTTTTTTGTTTAGTGATAGTTGTTCCTGAGCAGTTCAACTGCCTGCTGTTCTTCAGAAAAATCCTTCAGGTCCCACAAATTCTATGGTTTTTCAGCATTTCTGTGTATTTGAACCCTTTCCAACAATGACTGTATGATTTTGAGATCCATCTTTTCACACTGTGAATAAATAAAAGAATAGGCATTGTTGGAAAGGGTTCAAATACACATAACACACAATTTTTTCCTGAACAAACTTTGCCAAATCAAGCTTGTAGTTTTTTCAAGAAAGCACACTTTTCAGCAGCCTAGTATGTCATAAACACAACTACAATCCGGCTTACGATGACCCATGCATTTGTAGTTACTTCAGTGGTGAGGGCTCAGCTCATCTGTACTGTGTGTGCTCTGTTTTCAGTCTCTGTTTGCGTTGGCGGGTGATGAAGACTGCGAGGTGAGGAAGAACGTGTGCAGAGCTCTGGTCATGCTGTTGGAGGTCCGGATCGACCGCCTGATACCGCACATGCACAGCATCATACAGGTGAGACCAGCACTAACATCTGATGTCTTACTGTCGTTTAAAGGTGTTTTAGGAGCTTTATATCTGGCCTGTGTCTCTTTCTGCAGTACATGCTGCAGCGCACGCAGGATGCGGATGAGAACGTGGCGCTGGAGGCGTGTGAATTCTGGCTGACTCTGGCGGAGCAGCCCATCTGTAAAGAGGCTCTGTCAGGACACCTGGTCCAGTGAGTACTGCAGGCCATCATCACACATCTGAGCATAAACTGAACACACAGATGAAGCCTCTGGCCTCTGTTTAGTTCTGTTTGAGAGATCTGATCTGAACTCTTGATTTGAGTGAGATGATCTAATGTTGATGTATTTCTCCACAGACTCATCCCCATCCTGGTCAACGGAATGAAGTATTCTGAGATTGACATCATTTTACTGAAGGCGAGTCAACATATATGAGACATGAGTCAGGGATATTCCTTTGAATCAAATCATGTTTATTGCATTAGTTAGATTTGCATTCACATAATATTCAATTGTTTCACAAGCATTCGATTCAGATTCATTTGGAGTGTTTTAATATTGGTGTTACTTTAGTGTTATTTATATACTATTTATTAATATGTGAATTAGCTTTTATTATTGTATTTTCAGTTTTAGTTTGTTGTAGCAATTTTGTAATTTTTTTTTAATTTTTATACTATTTAGCTTTTTTTAATTTTGTTTGTTTTACTAATTTAGTTCACTAAGTTGTAACTAATTTTACTGCTCAACTTTCAACTTCAAACTTATTTCACAAGTTGCCAAAACAAAATGTTTACTTTTTTTTTTTTTCGATTTTTCATCTAAAATTTATATTTTCTTTTCTTTATTTATTTTAAATTTTTTAATAATATTAAAATTTTTAAGTATAGTTCTATTGTCGTTTTAATTTGACAAATTTTAGTACTTTTAGTCATTTTATTTGAGCATTTCCAATTTTTTTTTTAAGTTCATCTAATATTTATATTTTAATTTCTGCTTTATTTCAATGACCGAAAATAATTTTTAATAGTTTTGATTTTAGTTGACACACTGATTTGGATTCTTGAATTTAAAAGAGAATTCTCTCTGCTAAAGCCACGGTCACACTAGACTTTTCGTTTTATTGACTTCCATTCATACGCATGCGAATGCGTCAGACCGGAAACGCAAGCCTGTGCGAAGATATTTCGCTGCGTAGCAAAGTTCAAGTTTGGTGAACTCTGACCTGCGAATTCGCGTCACGTGAATGCGTGAGACCAATAGAAGATCAAAACGTCACAAAGTAACCTCTTGGTACAGAAATGGAGGAATAACACAACTTTAAAAGATTACAAAAATTACATAAATAGAGAAGCGGCTTGGTTTGCGGTGGCAAGGGAAACAGGATCGGATGGTACGTTTGAACAGTGAAACTTAATTTTATGTGATTTTTTTAATTACATGAGATTTGTGCGTGTACTTAATTAACTATACTTGTGACTGATTGTAATCACTTAAATAGAAAAAATTATGACTAGTGAGGATATTTTGGCACGTGATGTCATATCCTGCTCCCGCCCCTTTTCGCAGCACCGTCCGAATGATTTTCACATGCTCAAAGTTTAGTGTGACCGCGGCTTAATGCTGTAAATTATACAGGGAAGTGTTTCCGACTGATTACTCAAATTAGTAGTTCATTATTTTTGAACTGTTCTTTCAAAGAACCAGCTTGTTTTCAGGATTTGAGCTACACTGGTTGCGCTGTGCGCTCATAAATGTCAGAAGAGCTGTTCATAAGAGTTATTTGTTCGTGAATCAGATTACATCGGTCGTGTTGTTCATTTTTGCATGCAGCCTGTGAAGACAACTCAATAGAAAGAGATTTCTAAATCTACTTTTTAATTTTTTTGCAAGTTGATATTGAAGCTGGAAATTTGTGAAAATCAATTTTGTTCTCCAGTCCTACTGATTTATCAGCAGTGAGTGCTCCGTAGGGACCGTGTGAATCTGACTGCAGCTGCGCTCTCGCTCTCTGTGTGTGTCTCAGGGTGACGTGGAGGAGGAGGACGACAACGTTCCTGACAGCGAGCAGGACATCAAGCCTCGCTTCCACAAGTCACGTACCGTCACGCTGCAGCACGAGGGAGGAGAGGGAGAGGAAGGAGAGGACATCGATGAAGACGAGGATGATGACGACGACACGCTGTCTGACTGGAACCTACGTGAGTAAACGACCAATCAGAGCGTGCTTGCTGTAAATGCTCTTCTGTGTGTATGAAGTGTGTATATTTTCGTTTGTGTTTCTAGGGAAGTGCTCTGCGGCAGCGCTGGATGTGTTGGCTAACGTCTTTCGGGACGACCTGTTGCCGCACCTGCTGCCACTGCTGAAGGGTTTGCTGTTCCACCCGGACTGGGTCACCAAAGAGTCCGGGATACTGGTGCTGGGAGCCATCGCTGAAGGTGTGTATCTCACACTCGCACATACTGAATTCACTGAAAGGGATAGTTCACCCAAAAATGAAAATTCTGTCATTAATTACTCACCCTCGTGTCGTTCCAAACCCGTAAGACCTTCGTTCATCTTCTGAACACAAATTAAGATATTTTTGATGAGATCCAAGAGCTTTCTGACCCTCCCATAGACAGCAATGCAACTTAAATGTTCCCAGACACAGAAACGTCTGTAAGGACATCTGTAAAATAGTCCATGTGACATCAGTGGTTCAACTGTAATGTTATGAAGCTACGAGAATGCTTTTTGTGTGCAAAAAAATAAAAAGAATGTCTTTATTCAACAATTCTTCTCCTTCATGTAAACAACGCATGCGTGTGCTGATGCATGTGCGTGTGAACGTGAGCAGCAGTGCCATGCGCATGCGTTGTTTACATGAAGCAGAAGCAGACGTGTGATACTCTCTGCACAATGGCGGTGTGCCGCGGCAGGCTGGATGAGGAGGAGAAGAGTTGCTGAATAAAGTCGTTATTTTAGTTTTTTGCGCACAAAGTATTCTTGTAGCTTCATAACATTACATTTGAACCCCTGATGTCACGTGGATTATTTTACCGATCTCCTTGCTATGTTTCTGTGCGTTGATCATGGTAATATCATTGCTGTCTATGGAGGGTCAGAGAGGTCTCGGAATTCATAAAAAATATCTCAATTTGTGTTCTGAAGATGAACAAGGGTCTTACGGGTTTGGAACGACACGAGGGTGAGTAATTAATGACAGAAGTTTCATTTTTGGGTGAACTAACCCTTTAATACTAGGTGTTTACACGTCCTGTCTCTTTCCGTCAGGCTGTATGCAGGGTATGGTACAGTACTTGCCCGAGCTCATCCCGCACCTGATCCAGTGTCTGTGTGATAAGAAGGCTCTGGTTCGCTCCATCGCCTGCTGGACGCTCAGCCGCTACGCACACTGGGTGGTGAGCCAGCCGCCAGACGCCCACCTCAAACCGCTCATGACAGAACTGCTCAAACGCATCCTAGATGGCAACAAGAGGGTGCAGGAGGCCGCCTGCAGGTGAGTGTTTGAGAGAAATCCACATCTGAAATATCTATTGAGGAATTAGAGTTATAAAACAACTGTGTAATGTTTTTCAGTGCATTTGCGACTCTGGAGGAGGAAGCGTGTACAGAGCTGGTTCCGTACCTCAGTTTCATTTTGGACACTCTGGTGTTTGCGTTTGGAAAATATCAGCACAAGAACCTGCTCATCCTCTACGACGCCATCGGCACCCTGGCAGACTCTGTCGGACATCATCTGAACCAACCGGTAATTAGAGTTTCCATCAGTCTTCATACACTACCAAGACTTTTTTATGCTTATGAAAACTACATTAATTTGAAGAAAAATGCAGTAACAAAAGAAATATTATTACAATTTAACTACCTAAACTACAAAATAACTACTTTCTATTTGAATATATTGTAAAATGTTATTTATTCCTGTGATCAAAGCTGAATTTTCTGCATCATTACTCCAGTCAGTCACATGATCCTTCAGAAATCACTCTAACATGCTGATTTGCTGCTCAACAAACATTTAATATTATCAATCTTGAGAACAGTTGTGCTGCTTAATATTTTTGTGGAAAGACTGTTCCTTTTTTTTATTTTTTATTCTTTAATGAATAGAAAGTTCAAAAGAGCAGCATTGATTTGAAAAATAAACTTTTACTGTCACTTTTAGTCAGTTTAATTCAACTTTTGAACTGTAGTGTATGTTGTTTTAACTTTTCTAAAAAAAACACAGATGCAAGTAGGGCAACTCAAAAGATAAGAGACCATTTTTTTCACCAAAATGATGGAAATCATCTTCAATTATATGTCAGTTTTTTTTTTTAACCAGTAAATGCCATGTTTTTGGTTCGATCTGCCTCTGCTCATCCCTGCCCTTGTCAACTTGTTTTAAAAAGCTAAATATTATTAGTACGTGTTTGTAGGCGTAGAGATCAGTGGTCTGATCTTGTGTTGTGTGCGTGTGTGTGAACAGGAATACATCCAGAAACTGATGCCTCCTCTGATCCAGAAGTGGAATGAACTGAAAGACGAGGATAAAGACCTGTTTCCTCTGCTGGAGGTGAGAACAGAATAAAAAGTCTTCATTTCATAGTTTAAATTGACTTTATTTTCATGACACATAATTGTACATTGTTTTGATAAAACAATTGTAACGGAAAGTGAAAATAGACAATAAATGACTCCTGTCCACTCTGTGTTTATGTCTGTGTAGTGTTTGTCGTCTGTGGCTACGGCGTTACAGAGCGGTTTCCTCCCATACTGTGAGCCCGTCTATCAGCGCTGTGTTACTCTGGTGCAGAAAACACTCGCACAAGCCATGGTGAGAACACACACTTACTCACACTCTTCTACATGAACATCAGTGCACCACACAGTCATTAACCCACCTCTGTGTAAAAAATAAAAAGAATGTCTTTATTCAACAATTCTTCTCCTTCATGTAAACAACGCATGCGTGTGCTGATGCATGTGCGTGTGAACGTGAGCAGCAGTGCCATGCGCATGCGTTGTTTACATGAAGCAGAAGCAGACGTGTGATACTCTCTGCACAATGGCGGTGTGCCGCGGCAGGCTGGATGAGGAGGAGAAGAGTTGCTGAATAAAGTCGTTATTTTAGTTTTTTGCGCACAAAGTATTCTTGTAGCTTCATAACATTACATTTGAACCCCTGATGTCACGTGGATTATTTTACCGATCTCCTTGCTATGTTTCTGTGCGTTGATCATGGTAATATCATTGCTGTCTATGGAGGGTCAGAGAGGTCTCGGAATTCATAAAAAATATCTCAATTTGTGTTCTGAAGATGAACAAGGGTCTTACGGGTTTGGAACGACACGAGGGTGAGTAATTAATGACAGAAGTTTCATTTTTGGGTGAACTAACCCTTTAATACTAGGTGTTTACACGTCCTGTCTCTTTCCGTCAGGCTGTATGCAGGGTATGGTACAGTACTTGCCCGAGCTCATCCCGCACCTGATCCAGTGTCTGTGTGATAAGAAGGCTCTGGTTCGCTCCATCGCCTGCTGGACGCTCAGCCGCTACGCACACTGGGTGGTGAGCCAGCCGCCAGACGCCCACCTCAAACCGCTCATGACAGAACTGCTCAAACGCATCCTAGATGGCAACAAGAGGGTGCAGGAGGCCGCCTGCAGGTGAGTGTTTGAGAGAAATCCACATCTGAAATATCTATTGAGGAATTAGAGTTATAAAACAACTGTGTAATGTTTTTCAGTGCATTTGCGACTCTGGAGGAGGAAGCGTGTACAGAGCTGGTTCCGTACCTCAGTTTCATTTTGGACACTCTGGTGTTTGCGTTTGGAAAATATCAGCACAAGAACCTGCTCATCCTCTACGACGCCATCGGCACCCTGGCAGACTCTGTCGGACATCATCTGAACCAACCGGTAATTAGAGTTTCCATCAGTCTTCATACACTACCAAGACTTTTTTATGCTTATGAAAACTACATTAATTTGAAGAAAAATGCAGTAACAAAAGAAATATTATTACAATTTAACTACCTAAACTACAAAATAACTACTTTCTATTTGAATATATTGTAAAATGTTATTTATTCCTGTGATCAAAGCTGAATTTTCTGCATCATTACTCCAGTCAGTCACATGATCCTTCAGAAATCACTCTAACATGCTGATTTGCTGCTCAACAAACATTTAATATTATCAATCTTGAGAACAGTTGTGCTGCTTAATATTTTTGTGGAAAGACTGTTCCTTTTTTTTATTTTTTATTCTTTAATGAATAGAAAGTTCAAAAGAGCAGCATTGATTTGAAAAATAAACTTTTACTGTCACTTTTAGTCAGTTTAATTCAACTTTTGAACTGTAGTGTATGTTGTTTTAACTTTTCTAAAAAAAACACAGATGCAAGTAGGGCAACTCAAAAGATAAGAGACCATTTTTTTCACCAAAATGATGGAAATCATCTTCAATTATATGTCAGTTTTTTTTTTTAACCAGTAAATGCCATGTTTTTGGTTCGATCTGCCTCTGCTCATCCCTGCCCTTGTCAACTTGTTTTAAAAAGCTAAATATTATTAGTACGTGTTTGTAGGCGTAGAGATCAGTGGTCTGATCTTGTGTTGTGTGCGTGTGTGTGAACAGGAATACATCCAGAAACTGATGCCTCCTCTGATCCAGAAGTGGAATGAACTGAAAGACGAGGATAAAGACCTGTTTCCTCTGCTGGAGGTGAGAACAGAATAAAAAGTCTTCATTTCATAGTTTAAATTGACTTTATTTTCATGACACATAATTGTACATTGTTTTGATAAAACAATTGTAACGGAAAGTGAAAATAGACAATAAATGACTCCTGTCCACTCTGTGTTTATGTCTGTGTAGTGTTTGTCGTCTGTGGCTACGGCGTTACAGAGCGGTTTCCTCCCATACTGTGAGCCCGTCTATCAGCGCTGTGTTACTCTGGTGCAGAAAACACTCGCACAAGCCATGGTGAGAACACACACTTACTCACACTCTTCTACATGAACATCAGTGCACCACACAGTCATTAACCCACCTCTGTGTGTGTGTGTGTGTGTGTGTGTGTGTGTGTAGATGTACAGCCAGCAGCCGGATCAGTATGAGGCTCCAGATAAGGACTTCATGATAGTCGCTCTGGATCTGCTCAGCGGTCTGGCCGAAGGTCTCGGGGGTCATGTGGACCAGCTGGTTGCCCGTAGCAACATCATGACCCTTCTGTTCCAGTGTATGCAGGTACAATGTGTGAGAGAATTTAACATTCTTTGTTGTTCTTATAATTATTATATCAAGTATTTACAATTTGATATTTTATATAAAAAATATATTAACATTTAATGTTTAAAATGTTATTATATTTAATTCATAAAATACAATGGTGTTAATGTTAATATTAGTGTTTTTTTATTATTTGTATTAGTGTTATGAAGTTATTTTTAGGGATGTAACGGTATGAAAATTTCATATCACGATTATAGTAGCCAAAGTTATCATGATTATCAATACTACCACGGTTTTGTTAAATTTAGATGAAAATGTTCAAAAATAACTGATACACACACTGAAAACATTTCAATAAGTTTTATATTTGAAAATCAACAAACAAATACAATTAGCAGCTATATGCGCTTTTTTTAGCATAAACATTAAATTAACATTAATGACAGCGTTGTCAAGGTAACATTTGGTCAGTCATTCCCTTCGCCAAGGGAGTTTCAAACGCTTATACGAGACAGTAATGCCCTGCACCCTTCAAAGAACACACTTCAAGGGCTCTGCCCTTCGAAGGGAGTAGGGCATAGGGATGCTCACTTCTGTCTGGAAGTCGCCCCATGTGTCATGTATCACCGCAGAGGCGCGGATGCGCTCTCTCGTTTCATTCAAATGCAGCTTGCCGTCTTGCGTCTCAGTTTTTGATTGTATTGAAAATGAAATCAGAGGAATTTAGTATTAATACTACTATAATTTCGCTGTAGTGATCATATTGTCCTGACGATTGTTTTGTACACTGCTCATAATGGATTTATAAACAGGTAAGATTTCAAAACATGAATCTCAATTCAATATTTTATATCCCCGTATTTATATATTATTTTAGGTAAACAAAAAAAAAATTCTGTGTAATAAGTTAACTATGAATATACAATACATTATCCCTTAAATGTCGACCTTATAGTTTGAACGTTCGTTTGTCTTGGCTTAGAGCCACTTGCTGCAAACTTTTCTTCGCTATATAACAGTGGGTGGTGGTCACGAAGATGACTGAGCAAATTTAATGTGTTTCCCCCTTTTGCAGCTACTTCCTTCTTGCAAGAATAGCAGACAGGGTGACCGTCCTCGATTAAAATGCCTTCAGGACTCTTGTAAAAGCCAAAATACGACCAGACCACCGATTTGGTTCTCTTAGATGGCTGAAAAATCTCCCGAGCGCTGTCGCTGCCTTCCGCCATTTCCTCTCGTGCAAAAAAAACAACAACACTGCATGCTGCTTCTGCGTCAGACTGATGCTGGCTGGACAGGATTTACCACGAGTTTTCAAAAGCGTGATAATCAAACACGGTTTTGATGATAATTAAATTTTAAACGATAATACTAACCGTCAGGGCATTTTATCGTGATTTATCGTGAAACCGGTAATCGTTCCATCCCTAGTTATTTTACTTACTATTATTATTATTACTGTTATGTATTTACTATATTTATAAAATACATTTATTATTCATTAAATAGTTATTTTTTTATTTTAAATAATATTTAATTTACTATATAGATTTATTTGTTTTATATTGTTGGTGTAGGTATGTTGTATATTTTTATTTGTATTAACGATTGTTATAAATTTGATTTATTATTATTTGAATTATTTACTACATTATAAAATACATTTGTGTAGTTTATTATTTAGTATTTTTTAAATTTAATTTACTTTATTACACACCAATGTTTTATTGTTGGTGATATTTATATATTTTGTTTTAATTATTGTTATACCATTGATTTATATTTATTAATATAAAATTGTTTACTATATTATATAAAAAAAAAGTAGATTATTTTTGTTATTATTACTTTATCATTTAAATATTTTAATTATTTATTGTTGCATTATAAAACATTAGGCTGATTTATTGATACTCTGTTGTTTGTAGGACACTATGCCTGAGGTGAGACAGAGCTCATTTGCTCTGCTGGGTGATCTGACCAAGGCCTGTTTTCCACACGTCAAACCCTGCATCGGTAAGACGAGTGCATTTGACCTGCACGATACACCCTTAACTTCATAATAAATTCATATTAATCACTGAAACTGTGTATGTGTGTTTAGCCGAGTTCATGCCTATCCTGGGGACGAATCTGAACCCTGAGTTCATCTCGGTGTGTAACAACGCAACCTGGGCCATCGGCGAGATCTGCATGCAGATGGGTGAGGATCATCACACTGATTCTGCGACAAAAATCTGAAATTATGTCAGCGCATGGTAAAGTTTGTTCCATTACAGGTCTGCGCCTATTATATTGGTATGCCCTTTTCTCAAATAATACTACTTACCTTTTCTGTTTTGTCTGTTTTTTCAAGTTGTTGTGATATAATCTACAAAGAAATAACATTTTGCTTGTTAGTAACTTATATGGCCACTCGGACCGCTGACTCGTGAGATAATACGCTCAACATAGCGCCGGATGGTTTCTATTCTCCATCTCCGACATCCCTTTTTATATAGTCTTTGATCTCTGGTACATTTGAGCATATTATCTCAATTCACTCGCCACATCATGATAAATTACTTAAAAATTACAACATTTATGTCCAGATGCACATTTTTCCAAGAATACATTAAACAATTCTAACTGAGTCCGGTTGAAGCATATTAAACGCAACACAACAACGTAATCCGATACAATAGGAATAAAGTCATGAATCCGAGTCATCTCTTGTTTAATATTTATTTCCCAGGGCACATTATACAATGTACATTTAAGCCATCGCGTTAATAATGCAAAGGAGAGCAAGTAGAAAATAAAATATTACTTTAATAATAATAATAGCGGGAAAAAAATTCACGTGGAGTCATAATGCACAGCCAGCACCAAACGGACAGAACGCCAAAACTTACTGAATTATATAACTGCCACCATTAAGAATTAAACTAACTTGTATTTGATGACCCGAGCTGACGCAAAAAGGTAATTGTGAAATGTTTGCACTTGTTAGAGTAATGTACCGTTAGTTCAAACATTTTTATAATCTCTAATTTGTAAAAAAAAAAAGACTTTGATTCTTGAACTCATTCCGCTGTTGTCACTGGAAAAACCGTTTCCCTGCAAGCGCCAATCCGGAAGCCAGAAACACGGAAGTGTAAAAATGGCTAATTGTAGTGAATTGAATTGTCGTCAGTAAGCTGATTGTTATTGGTCACGTGACGTCACTGACCTGACTGTGTTGTCGTAGGTGTGGAGATGCAGCCGTATGTGGCTCTGGTTCTTCCTCATCTGGTGGAGATCATTAACAGACCCAACACTCCCAAAACCCTGCTGGAGAACACGGGTACGACCTCTGACCGTACATGACCGTTTACCTTTCACACAGATAAATGATCAAACCTTAACTCCTCCCACTTCTCCTTACAGCCATCACGATTGGTCGCCTGGGTTACGTCTGTCCACAGGAAGTGGCTCCCATGTTGCAACAGTTCATCAGACCCTGGTGAGTCAAAACATCTAGAGATTTCAAATCGGCACACTAGAATGATTTCTGAAGGATCATGTGACACTGAAGACTGGAGTAATGATGCTGAAAATTCAGCTTTGATCACAAGAATGAATTACATTTTACTATATATTCAAATAGAAATCATTTCTTTTAAATGGTAATATTTCACAATATTACAGATTTTTCTGAATTTTTGACCACATAAATTCAGCCTTGAGGAGCAGAAGAGACTCGTTTCAAAAACTTTTGCCATGATTTTTCTTTTTGCAGGTGCACATCGTTACGAAACATCAGAGATAATGAGGAAAAGGACTCTGCCTTCAGAGGCATCTGTGTGATGATTGGTGTGAATCCTGGCGGTGTGGTCCAGGTCAGTTCTGATATTCGGACTCCATTGTGATTGACCATGATGTTACTCTCTCATCCATCACTCATTTCCTTTCACCCGTCTCTCCCTCAGGACTTCATCTTCTTCTGTGATGCGGTGGCCTCCTGGGTCAACCCTAAAGATGACCTGAGGGACATGTTCTACAAGGTTAGATGAGCATGGATTGTGTTACATCACATTATGCCTGTATAGTAATAGTATACTATACTATAGTATAGTATAGTATAGGGACATTTTGAAGATTCATGTTGATGAATGAGATTGTGTGTCTCTGTGTAGATCCTACATGGTTTTAAGGACCAGGTTGGTGAGGAGAACTGGCAGCAGTTCTCAGAGCAGTTTCCGCCCATCCTGAAGGAACGCCTCTCTGCATGCTATGGCGTGTAGCCCCGCCCCTCTGCTTCACACACAGCACATGCTGTCAGGTTAGTGATGACTGCTGATGTCTTGTGATGTTATAATGTGCTGGGACAGAGAATAACTGTCCTAGGTGTTTTTTGATGCTGCTAGGTGTTTCTACTCAACTGCAGTATATGCCAGATCATTTGAGCGCCGCTGCCTGTGCATAATGTAAACATAATGTTTAACACTGATCAGTATGCCTGAGATTTACTTTTTTTTTTTTTTTATAACTAAATGCCTGATAGACATTTTTAATGCTTTATTTTGGCTTATTTCTGGCTGCAAAAATAATATTAACATAAATCAATATTAATTAACGTAAAAAATAATTAATATATATTATTTTATAAATGACACTATGCATGCCATTATATTTACGCATCGAAATTGTTTCAATCTAAACTGTCCCAAATATTCATATTTAAGTTTCATATCTGTTTTGAGCTTAGTCTGTTATGCTTAATGCTATTTTTTTTAATTAACATTGTTTACATTTAGTTAAGTAATTTCAGCATACAATACATCCTTTTTTTAAGAACCAAATGGTTATTTATTAGATGTGCAGTTAAAGAACCAATAACATTTTCAGTTATCAGTCTGTTATATCACTATCAGACACTGATATATCGCCTAATATTGCATCTAAAATAGAAATATAAAAATGCTAAAAGATTAAATATTAAAGTTTTAATATCGGTGTAAAAAATCGGTCAAAATGATTACTGTTCTGTCGCATAATTGACCATTGTTGCGTTATTTGCCCACGCCACTTGAGCGACATCAAAGAACTTAAGCATAAAAGTATTTGTGTTAAAAGTAAATTCTGTCAAATTGATAACATTAAATAATTGTAAAAAAAAAATAATAATAATAATTGGTCCAGCAGATTACTGGTCTGTCTCTTCATTGACAGTTGCTGCTTATGTTGCCTTTATTTGCCCACAGTCAATTATTGAATATTAAAGAACTTATAAACGATTAGGTATGAAAGTGTTTGTGTTAAAAATAGTCAAATTGATAACACATTAAATAAATGTAAATATCGGTAAAATTATATTATTGATCAGACCGATTTTACTGGTCTGCTTATGTTTCCCCACAATCACTGAAGTGATATTAAAGCAATAAGCCCCAAGAAGCCGTGGTTTACAGTGAATTTATAACCGCTAAGGGGTGTTGTTAGGCACGCCGCGAAGCAGCGCTAAAACCCCCTTAGCTGTTATAAATTCACTGTAAACCACGGTTTCTTGGGGCTTATTGCTTTAATATCACTTCAGTCACACAGCCAATCAGAATCAAGGACCGGAACTATTCGTTTTATAAAGAAGAATTTATTAAAGAAGTCGTAAAAAAAAATATCGGTCAAACCAATAATTGGTCAAAAACAAAATTGCTCTTATTTGTCTCTCTTTTTCTTGCAGTTGAACCTTTAGGAGGGGGAACTCATCCATCTGTGTATTGCACTGCCCTGATCGTGGGGGAGAGGGACGCGATTGGCCGCTCCGCCTGACGGACAGATCCCACGCCCTTTGTGTGTCCATGAGGGTGGGTGGGTGGGTGGGAGGGGGGCGGGGACTCCTCTAGTTAACTGCAGAATGCACCCAATCACGGGGAATAAACCTAATAATGTAGGGAAGACAAGAGATAGCGTAACCGAGGGAGAGTGAAAAACAAACTTAAGAGAGCGGGAGGGAGGTCGTAGGTTAAACGGGAGGGAGGTATAGACAGTTATCTGGGAATAAAGATTAAGATTAGGGAGGGAAGCTAGACAGCAACTGTTATACGACTTTTTTTTTTTAATCTCAAGTTAATCCCAGGCATAAGAATCAAACGCATTCACACGCAGACTGACCATAGAAACACTTGCACATAAAGTCGCAATAACTACGAGCGGCCAGCGCTGCCGTAGCAATAGCATAATCAGACTTTAACACTGAGACTATCTAGGAAAGACTAGCGTCGTTTTTCTTTTTTTAATAATTACTATTGATGAAACGAGAACAATCTCGGCTTAAAAAAAGATGGTTAGCGCGCTATCGCGAATTTGTGTTTTTGATCGTTAGTAAGGGAGCATCTATGAATTCAGTTTTCATCATCATCATCATCAGCTTTGTCGTCGTCGTTCTGTCCGATTGTCGTCACGATTCCCTGCTTGCGTCTCTTATGCCGTATCGTTTATTTTCCGACGTTTCTTCTCACTTTTTTGCGTAGTTGGCTTGTAGTTTTTTCCTGGGCTTGGTCGGCGTTCGCTGTTGAAACTCATCGTAGTTTACAGATTTCAATCACACCGTAGTTTAATCTTGTCGTGATTTCGAGAGATTCGGTCTCGTCGCGAGGGAGCTGGAACGGAAACTCCACAGTATAACGATCATGACTTGCGTTATGTATGTGCTCGGTTGTGTACATGTGTGTGTGATTTGTGTAACGGTAGCTGTGTTGGGAGCTTTTAAGTGTGTTTTGTTAGTGTCGTTGCCATGTATTTTTTTCGTAATTCGCATTTCGAACGTGTATTCTTGCGTTAATAGGTTAATTGTTTTAAGGTACCTTACACTTGACTCCTGGACCCCTATTGACCTGTAAACTGTGACCAACGATGTGTGCGCGCTTGTGAGTGTATGAATGTATTTGTACCGATAAATATTGATGCCATATTGATATTTGGTATTTAGTGATTTAATCCGCTTATCCAACAAACTACAACTATATCAAATATAGTTTTACAACAATAAGGTTAATTTGAGGTTGTTGTTTTTTTAAAGTTTTGCTGCTATTGCTAATTTTTGGTTACTTTGATCAAACGTTTAAACAACGTTTAAATTCTATTGGCGCAAAATGCGCAATTTAAATTTGGATTATCGCTTGTCATGCACTTTTTGTTTTGCTATTTTTATGATTTTTTTTTGTAAGGAATTTGCTGGTAAATTTACTGATAAAACCGTTGGATTCATCATGCGTCTCGTTTTTTCTTGTGACAATATTTGTTGGATGGATGATTTGAAATAAGAGCGAGCTGAAAGCAAAGACAGGAAGTGACAGCTGGAAGGATGGCGAGGCGGAGGACGATTGCTGCGTGTGGAAATCTGCACTGAGACTCTGAAAGAAAAACAATCACACCTTTCTCTCTTTACCTTGCCAGGAAAAATAAAATGATTTTTTTACCAAGCTGAAGAAGTCTTGTGTGTGATCTTGATTTTCTCTATCTCTCTTTTTTTTCTTTTGTAGTTTTTAGGCAAACCTAAAAACTACAACCAAAATTGGAGTGTTGTAGCTTTTAATCTGTTAGTTTTGAGCTCATCTGTATGTTAGTGTACTCCTAAACATTGACTAAAACTGAGCATTTCTCTTCCTAAAGAACACATTCATTAAATCATCAGTTTATGTAAATGCACTCTAGAATGAGAAAGTCCCACTCCTTGAATAAATGATTGCTTTTTTGATGGTTAATTAGACCTGTGTTGTGTCCATGTTAAGGATTTAGATGGTAGCTGTTGCTTGAGTAGTCATGGAGGCCTAACGGCAAGACATTTTCAATGGAAATCTTTGGGATGTTAATCATCAGTTTACGGGAAAACCAAAAGCAACACCCATCAGAACAGGCAGGAGGTCAGTGCCAGGAAATTTTGAATCTCGAGTTCGGGATTTAAAATTCCCCAAGCCATAATGATTTCTAGTGATTCAGATGACATGATTCTGCCTTGAAGCATCTGAATAGGTCCGGGCCGGCTGTGCTAATCAGAATCAAGTGCTTCTCTTGTCATTTGTTGTCCTGATGAATATGGTGTTATGAGCAGTTTCAGATCTAAAAAGCAGATTATTGTGAAAAGTAAACCCCCTTCTAAATGGAAGTGGAAGAGAACAAGAGTATGAAGAGATCATAAAAGGTGAGAAAAGAGGACGGGAAATAATCCACTTTACTGAGACTATCAGAGGAAGCCGTTTTCATTCATCTAAAACACAACGAACCCACGACTACAGAGAAACCTCTATCTGTCTGCATATATACCAGATCATATATACTTCATAAATGCTCTGGAGGGTTATAGAAGTGGATTATCTCCATTATGTCCTCTGTCATGCAGTGAAACACAGTGCGTCTCTAGCGGCCGACAGAAGAACTGCGACCCGCAGAGAGACCGTCGAGTTGCACCGTGTCAGCATCAGACGAGACTTTATGACAACTTCTGTCTAAAACACTCGGTTTATTTCGGTTAATACTTGTGTAAGGGCGAGCCCAGTGCATGAGAATACGGACATGCATAAGATGAGGGCGACAAGAACAATGTATACGAGTCATTCTATGGACATGTCACTTGATAAACACTCTAGGGGTGCAACTTCTTTATATTTTAAAATGAAACTGTTATTTGAACAACTACACCTTCTTGAGCCATCAATGTGGCAAAAAATAAATAAAAAATCAATTATAAAGAATTCCAAGCTCCACAAAACTGCTCGTCCCCACAGTTTTGAGGTCAAAACAAGGTTTTTCTACCATTTAAAATACAATAAATTATTTATTATTATATTTACATGATATATTTGATAGCTATGAATACATTATGTATTCATAGCTATCAAATATATCATGAAAACGAAATGCTGTACTGAAAGTAGTGGTCCCCTGGAGTTGTGTCACTGGTGCTACCGTTTAACAAAAAGAGTTTATTTTGAAATAAAAATCACACCGACATCACTTGATTTCCTCCTTCCTGTTTCCTGAAGATCTATGAAGAAAGGGCCATGTTAAGTCCACTGTCTCTTTTCAGCTATCAGAAATGTTCTCATTTATCTCATGATTTCATATGAAGCTTTTAGTTGAAGTCACTGGCATGACCTACGTTATTGTTAGGGAACTGTAAAAAACTAGAATACAAATGGATTGAACTACTTCATTTAGTGAGCATACCATGACTGACAACATGTGGTTTGATACCTTGCAGCAGACATTTTGTAAAATGCATTTTTCATGAAAATTGTCACTGGTGTCACCTTCCTTATGGTTAGCACCAGTGAAGATCAGTTTATGTTCTTTTACGAACTGCTTTCACTAATTGCCAAATGTATGCTAAAATAGTCTCATTTACTTAATTAAAGTTGAAGAATAAGGATCTTTGGTCTTGTCACTGGTGTTACCGTGTTTTTTCTGTAACATTAAATAAAAAATGATAATTTTACATCCATTTAATTCTGCAACACTCAAGAGTTGGATTGCATCATTACTTGTTTATATTTGTTTTTTTTTCTAATTGTTATAGCAAATACATGGTTGCACAAATGAACTAACATCATTCAATCACACTTTTAACAAACCTGATTAAAATAAACAAAACATAATCACCTTATCTGTTGCATTATCGTTATTTTTCTGTCACTCTGACTACATGTGCTGAAAAAAAATTGAGAAATAATATTTCATAATATTGCCAAAGAAGTAAGGTAACACCAGTGACAAAAAGAGGGGGAGATAAAAAAAAAATCATTAAAGGGGTCATAGGATGCCCATTTTCTACAAGTTGATATGATTCTTTAGGGTCTTAATGAAAAGTCTGTAACATAGTTTGGTTAAAATTTGTAAAACACCTTTTTTACCCTGTCAAAAACAGCTCTTTTCAGAGCAAGCCGTTTTTGTAGCATTTTCCTTTAAATGTTAATGAGCTCTGCTGACCCCGCCCCTCTCTTCCGAGCTGCTCTCAGAGACGGGTTACTTTAGCCGCATTCATCGTGAAACTTGCTAATTAGCACATTATTAGGAAAGGCGATTTGCAAAGATTCATTACAAAACATTATACTCACTTCTTCTGTAGCTGGATCATGAATGATTCGCGCGAACATAAACACATTTATGTTGACCGGGGGAGAATTCCCTTCAGAAACAATGTAATCCACTGCGTCTTCAGCGGCTCAGATGTCGGGAGTAAATGAGGACTGCTATGTTCATTATTACATCCAACAACAGAACACCTCAATCGCTTCGGAGTCTTGTCTTGTCTTGTTCTTGTCTACATCTGCTCCGGCGGTGAAACAATGGCGGACTGATGACAGTCACTCAGGGCGGGTCTAAGGTAAGACACCAGTCCAGTCAGTGCTGAAACGCTGCTGTCAATCAAACTATCGTGGGAGGGGCCTGTCTGTGTGATGTCACACAGACAGGCATCTGAGATCGGCTCGATTTGAGAAAGGGGGAAAGATTTAACGATAAAAAAAAAAAAAACACCGGGGGGATTTTTATCATTATAGGGGGGTTGTGTACACACACTGCCAACACACATTTCAGTTCAAACAACTTGTAAAAGTGCATGTAACATCCTATGACCCCTTTAAGCTGTCATTTATGTGCGTTCATAAAGTCAAAAGGTAATCTAATAATGTGGTCTAAGTTTAAATGTAGAACGACTCGAAACAAAATTGACTTAAAACAACATGCCTCAGATGTAAATATATTAGGGCTTTTCTGTAATCAGTTGCATTGTTGTATTTCTTTACGTTTTCAGAATACACAATTATGTTATTAATTATTAACAGCTAGATTTCTGTACATGTGTACACATTTTTAAAGACATTGTTTTACTTTAGATTTTTGAAATCCACACAGAGACTGCGGCGGTCAGAAACAGATGAGGTTCACTGCTCGAACAGACTGGTTAATATTGATCTAGAATAAGACGATAATGACAGCCAGTTGAACTATAAGGTCTATACATACCCAATATTCAATATCATTTAGCAATGTTAAACCAGCATTCATGAGAACATGGCAAGAAAATAAATACATAAATATTCTTTGAGCTTGGGACATATTGAGGAGATCGTCCCATTAGCCATTAGCTAATATGCTAATTCTAGAGAGCGTCTGATTGGACGAAAATCTGTGTAGCGCAGGATGTCATCAATGTTTCTGTTGTATAGTTTAAGTGTAGCTATTTCTGCTAAGGATTTAGGAGTAGGCTACACTAGCATAAAGATGAACTCAACTTCACTGTGTAAAGATCTCTGACTGAACCTCCTCTTTCTTTTCTTCTGATCGTTCATTGTCAACCAACACAACTTACTGTGCATTTTCTCTAATGGTAACTTCTTTCTTCAGGGGTTTGAACCTACAACCTTAGGCTTCTCAGCTCAATGTTCAGTTGCCATCTTTTGCTCACTTTCTCCTCACCTTTCCTTCAGTATGTCTTTCCTTCTTTTCTCACTCTCTTTGTATTCCTTCCTTATTGTCTGCTTTGTGGAAACTGCTGTTGTGTTTGAGAAAGAGTAGAAATGCGATGGCAGTGAAGTGACTTCAAGAAGGGAGCTTGCGCATTATTGGGTAAAACAACCAACTGGCTGAATGTGAAGCACTTACTAGCAACAAATGCCAAATTAAGCTCAGTTGAGCCCATAAAATGATGTGCATCAAGAACAAACGTGTTGGATTTCTGTCAGATCAGCCTGAATCCAAACTCGAGCCTTTCCTCTCTCACCCTTTCACTCGTTTCTGGAGGTTGATCTAATCTGGTCGAATTCAATATCAATATATCGCAATATATATATATATTTTTTTTAATAACTAAGCCACTGTAATTTTACTGAGTGATTTTCCTGGCACACACCTTGTTGCTGCTGTCAAAGCTGCTGATTTCAGCGCTCGTCTCTGATAAAGTGGATCGAGAGGAGGAGCTTCTGTGACTCTGGTGTCTTGGGGAGCCGTTGCTGATTGGTGGCTCAGTCAGTGTGATGTTGATGATTGGTGGAGAGATCTTGGGGGTGTCTGGGACCGGTGAAGAAGAAGACACAGGGCTGTGTGCGGTTGGATATGTCGTTCCAAGACTCTCTATGATCGGCCCGTCCACACAGTCTTCTGTTTGACAGAAATTCATTGGTAAGATAATTACTGACACGTCGCCTAGTTGTGAATTAGAGCTAGTTTCTAAGTGCACTGAACGTTACTAATGTTTGCACGAAGCATCAGCCGTGTTTTGCATAAACTAGTGAACACAGTAGCAGTCAGGTGAGGTTAAGTAAATACAAAGCATCTAAAATTCATCTTTCCCGTTCGGTTTCCTTCTGTGGACTTTCTCAGAACTCCCATATAGGAAAATTCTATTAATATTAATATACTGTCCATGCGAAAACACGCACTGTACCTTTAAGATGAATAGATGTGGGCACGATGCCCAGTCGGTTGAAGAGCTCATCTGTGTCGGGATCCACCACCAGCAGCCGTGTGTCTGTGCCACCCGCTCTGATCAATGCCACCACCTCCGCGTGACGCAGGCCCTCGACACTCCTGTCGTTCACCTGCAAACATGACAGACAGAGGAGAGAGCTGACTCTGACTGAATACTCACTACTGCACACTTTCTATACTATATAGATCGCAAAATTCCAGTTCAGGCCTTAACTGAACCCCAATGCATCCAACTCAAGCTCCACCTACATTAAAAACAAGAGAGACTGAACCTATACATCTAACAGCACGACATACACAACTATACTGAACTATATGTTTATTTATTATATCATACAAATATACTATTGGTATATCACATAATTTAATTGATTTATTATATTACAATATAATACATTTTCCCTATTACTTAAATACACTTTTTATTGAAACATTTTTATTTATTTTTTATATGATTAACTATGTTTATTTATTATATAATATAATAAATACAATATTATTTTTATATTACATAGTAATATATTACACTAATATTATTTAATATATTATTACTTTCATTTATTTATTATGTTATATAAAATATTATTTTGATTCTACATATAGAAGGTAATTCTAATAAAATAAAAATCATATAATATATTTTAATATTAAATAAAACCATAATATAATAAATATATTATTGTAGTGAACAAAATTATTTATTATATTAACTACTTTTATTATATTATAATGTAAGAAATTCAATATTATTTTATATTACATAACATATATTATATATTTTATTTTATTAGAATAATATGATATTATATTACATTTAATTCATCATTTGTCTCAATACTTTAAAACAAAGAGAGGTTGAACCAATAGAACAGTATCATGGACACACAACATGTACACTTCTTATACTTAACTATATTATTTATTTATTACAGTATATTATTAATTATATTTATCTATTTATTATATTATTTTACATAGTAATATTTTATAATATTGTTATACTGCACTATTTATTATAGTGTTGATTATATTCATTTATTATAATATACTAAATATTATAATTTAATATAATCTATTATAATATTAAATTATATTTAAATAATTTCTCTCAATATGCTCAGGTGCAACACATAATAATTGTCAGTCAGTATTTGTCCAGCAGGTGGAGTCTGAGGCTGCGTTACTCCCACTTTCTGTGGAGCTTCCTCTTCCTCTTCCTCTCTTTGAAGAAGCCTTACATGACAAACTTTCATCTGACATTTTTCTGTTTCTCCAGCTGTCTCTGTCTGATAATAGAGTTTGGGGTGTGTAGGCTGCCGTTGCCGGTCCAACACAGAAACTGATGTAATGCATGTGAAAGTCTGAGGCTTCCTGAGGTTCTTACAGGAGGAAGGTGTTTATATGCGAAATAATAAAAGCTTTGTCAATGACTTTCTAAAAAAGTGCGTCACAACCACATCATTACACTTCTGAGGAATCTTATTCATAAAGTGCTGCGTCTAAAATACATCTTGCATTTTGTGAGATTCCATTTTCCTCCTAATGTCACATTGTACTGCAGATCTAAACGTTTAAATTAGATGATTTTTTAAAAATTATTAAATTAGATTTTGAAATTAGTTCTAAGTTTTGGCCTTACTGTTGCCAGCGCCATACTGTACTGTTTGAGCTACAGGAAAGCACATAATGATAATGATAATAATAATGATAAATACATTAATAATAATAATTTCTCATTTTAATTAATTGATAATATACTATATTATTAAATTATTATTGTTGTTGTTACATAACTTTTGGAGCTCAACCATCACACAACATTTGTGATGTGATTTTCTTCAAAAATGTAAAAATTAGTGCTGTCAAATGATAAATCGCATCCAAAATAAAAGTTTTTGTGTACATAATATATGTGTGTGTACTGTGTATATTTATTATGTATATATAAATACACACACATGCATATATATATTTTGAAAATATTTACATGTATATATTTATTCACATTTACACAAGTTGCCATTTGAGGTGGTGCTTCAAACTATTCAAACTATAATTCATGAAGTTAATAACTGACTATAAATCATGTTTTGCTAACGATATTCAAATGCATTCAGAGACAAACACTGCTGAGTGAATTAAACACGGTTTGTCAGTCATAATTACTGATCTGTCAGTGATAATTACAGAAAACAGCCGCAAATTAAATCCATTAGGATGGATTTGCGATCTGTGATGATCACGGCATCACACACTCACACTCACTCACACACACACTCACACACACACAAACGGACTCTCTGCTCTAAAACGGGATCCTCCCCTCACGAAGCAAACAGTATTCTTAGCGTAATCTGCCTCTCTCTAGAAATTGAATCTATTCTGATCCAGTGCTGCTAATCTGGGCTAATGGAGGCCGCTGTAACCCCGTGCCATCACCTCGATGAGCCGGTCTCTGGGCCTCAGGCCCACGCGCTCCGCCGGAGAGTCGAGGTCCACCGAGCGGATGAACTGACCCGTGCGCGACTTCTTGCAGTGCAGGTTGAAGCCGTAGCCCTGCTCGCCTATAGTCATGTGACACGAGCGCGGACGCAGGTCCTTCGATACCACATCCTCCTCCAACGCTGTCTCCTCCTGGAGAGAGAAAAAGTAATTTTCTCATCCTCAAGTTGTACTAAACCTGTATGAGTTTCTTTCTACTGTTGAACACAAAAGAATTTCAGGCATTTCAAAGAATGTTGGTTGAATTGACTTCCATGGTATTTTTCCATACTATGGAAGTCAATGGCTACCATCAGCTGTTTGGTTACCAAACCATTTTTGGTTGAACTATCTCTTTAATTTCCAGAGTGAGATAAATCAGAAGAATACAGTGAAAGTTATTTGTTCAACATACTGTGTATAGCCTATATTCTGTATATTTACTAGTGCTGTCAAACGATTAAAGGGGTCATATGATGATAACAAAACAGTAGCTGATTCAGAAGCGCCAGATTGTCATAGCAAAGTCAGAATTACCTCCTCTCCTAGGTTCACGAAACGGTCGTCCATAAAATGCATTGCTGTTCTGTTGTAAGTAATCTTAAAGATTCCTAAATGCATCTACTTCTGGAAGGCCAAATAAAGTGCTTTTGCTTCTCCTAGAAACACACAGCGTCTCCCTGACATGCTGCTTCAACACTAACTGCGGTTACTGAAACCACGCCTTCTTTCTTTGCATGCACATTTGGGCGGCATTATGCTAATATTTCCACATAGTGAGGTAGATATGTGGGGGCGTGTTAGAACGAGCCGTTTTAGGGGGGCGTGGCAGAGTCTTAACTTTGATAAAGAATATCTCTTTGGTTTTGAGACTTCAGTCTTTGCAACTTCAGGGATCTTATCTATGCACAATCAGCTTGTAACACTCCAAAGAGAAAGGAAAACTTGAAATCGCATCATATGACCCCTTTAAAATACATTCAAACAGAAAACAGTTATTTTAAATTGTAATAATATTTCACAGTATTACTGTAATTTTGATTAAATAAATGCAGCCTTGGTGTTTCGAAAACATAAAATCTTACTGATTTTTGAACGGTAGAGTATACTGTAGTACAGTACCTTTAAGACAGACCTCTGTTATGATTGGCTGTTTTCTTTGCATGGGGAATAAAAACATACTTATACTTATCTCTAAACTCATAGATATGTGAAAGCATTTTTTAAAATGTCTATACATTTATACTGTACTGTACGTATCAGTGTCTATTCAAACTAACTACACTTTCAAATACAAATACCTACCAATACTAGTCCTACACTATTAAAAATAAAGGTTCTTTATAGTCAAAAAAAAGGTTCCTTAGATTTTTTAAATGTTCTTCAAAATGGTTCTTTTAGGAACTGTTCACTGAAAGGTTCTCTGGGGAACCAAAAATGCTGCTTCTATAGCATCACTGCAAAAACGCCCGATTGGAGCCTTTATTTTTAAGAGTGTAATCGGGTTGGAAATGAGAGACTTTGCAGATCCGCACCACAAAATAATCTCATCATGAAGCCCCTGCTGCCTAACCTCACCTGTGTGCTGGTCTGAGATCCGCTGAGGTCAGTGCGGAGCTCACACTCGGGTTCAGGCTCGGCTGTGAGTTTGGTGAAGGGTTCGGCCTCCGGTTCGGTCTTGCGTTCACCGGGTGAAGCCAGACGGGCATGAGCTCTGTAGAGCGGAGAGCCGTTCATCACTCCTCCAGTGCTGCTGGGACTCTACCAGAAGACAGTGAAGTAGACATTCAGCTGAACCTGAACGGCTGTGGTCGGTGTTTCTGTTCTTTCAGTGGCAGCATTGTTTGTGTTGCGTTTGGGGAAGCTGCTTTGAAACTGCTGTTTGCCAAGAAACAACCTACTCATAATTTAAATGAGCAAAACCACAGTCAAACTAGCCTTCTGTTCAGCTTCTGTAGACGTTATCACTCTCCACACTGGTGCAAAAAGATCTAAATAAAGCTATAAAATCAAATTAAAGCATCAAACCACAAGAGGTTGTCGGTTACAGTGATTTTACTACAAGCAATGGGTGTTTTTGTAACTCCCTTAACTGTGGTAAGATCACTGTATTATGAGACCTCAAGTGTCTTCTTGCTTTTATATAATGAAGACAGCAGCATTATGATGAAAATAGATACATTCATACAGTAATACTAATAATAATCAACAATTCTTCCACCAAGTAGTTTAGTTCATTAGCAAAACTACAGGTTGTTCATGGCTGCGAATGTCAGATTTATTAAAACTGATTTAGAAAAAGGCTTAAAAGTGCTGTGAGCGATTTCTGAGAAACACTGTTGAAAGTTAATCGGACCGAACACCGAAACACACTTGCAGCCAATCAGCAGTAAGGGGGCGTGTCAAATCAAGCCGGGGGAGGTGCCTGTTGTATAACATGTTTGTGAATTAGGAGGCGGAGCTATCAAGTTTTAAGTTGATTTGCACAGAAACAAGCGCCTCGTTGCTAGATGACACATGACAAAATAAAAACAATGTTTTCAAATCGGCTCAAAATATCCTTTGACTGAATAGAATCAAAGTGAATTCTGTCGACTCTGACTTTAAGCAACTATGTGTGTTGACTCCAGGGTGAAAGTCATGTAGTGTTTTCCAGCCTTACACGTCAATTTTTATAAAAGAAATGAGAAACCTAGAATTCAAACACTTTGTTACTTTTCGTTGCTCTCCAATACTGTTAGATGGTTGTTGGTTTGAACCCCACTGCAGCTGATAATAAAACAAACAATAACATGACTGCAAGTTGACCATCTCTGGATTATGTTGTTCACAGGACTCTTGCTGTGTGCTGATCCGGCAGCCGTCTGCTACCTGGGCAGGTGTCAACACACCTCACCTGAACTGGACACATCCAGGTCTGTAAAGAGCTTAGGCAGCTCCAGGCAAGCACCTCTAGATGAAGCCAGACTGAAGCTCCTGATGGAGGGCAGGTGTGTGTGTGGACTAAATGTATCCCTCATGTTTTACCACACACACACACACTGTAATCTTGGCCATGGTTGACTTCACAGCAGTGTAAATCAAAAATCTGATATTTTGAGATGCATCCAATCACTTGCATAAACTCAAAAGTCCACACAATTATTAGTGATCAGTTTTATAGCTCGAGTGTTTGTCTTACATGCTAACAATTTACTGCATGAAACACACTGTGGTCAGGTTATTCTTGCTACATGTGAAGCCACATTTAACCCTATTCATATGATGTTATTTGCATTGATGTCATTTTAGTATCATTGATATAGTAAATATTTTGTTAATGTTTATTTTAATAACCCTGCTTTGCATGATTTTGGTTTTCAAAAAAGTCACATAACCTGTCCATGTTCACACGCCTAATTTGACTAGCTTCTATCAAGTGACACATTTCCATTGATTGGACCTTATGCAGACTTCATTTTATTTGCTAAACCCTGGTGTTTCTGTGAAAAGCACATGCACAATACAAGCTCTTCTAGAGCTTATTAAGCAGATCCAGAATAATATATTTTTTTTTAAATCAAGAATAAACCTAACTTTAACAATAACAGAGCACACTGAATTGAATTCATGTAGTAATTAAATTAATACCATTCACCAGTCTGAATACTTAAAGTCTTAAAGGGAGAGTTACCTAAAAATGAAAATTCTCTGCTGTTCAAAACCTGTATGAGTTTCTTTTTTCTGTTGAACACAAAGATATTTTGAAGAATGTTGGCAACAAAACAGTTGCTGGTAGCCATCGACTTCCATAATATGGTATAAAAATACTAAGGAAGTCAATGGCTACCAGAAACTGCAACATTCCTTAAAATATCTTCTTTTGTGTTCAACAGAAGAAGAAAAAAACACATAGGTTTGGAACAACATTGTGAGAATTTTTGGGTGAACTGTCCCTTTAAATGAAACATTAACGCAAAAATTCTGCTTTCAATTCTGAATCCATTAAGGATTCTTAGTACTTGTGAAAAAGCATTAAATAATTGACCACAATTTGATTTATAAACTTTTCAAAATACAATTTAGGTAACTTTTAGAAAATAGTAAATTGCAATTTCTAATAATGCACTGTATGTTTGGTGTCACATGCAGTCAGAGAAGAAAATAGGCTAAAAAGAGGTGTCGTTTATTTATTATCTTTGTATTATTTTGCATTATATCATTTTAGCAGAAGAATGCAGTCATTTAACAACCATTGAACCACTTGGATCTGGTATTTTTTTCTTTTAAATGTAACCGTTTAGAATTCTTGATTCCCAACCTTGTTCTTCATACAGTATGATCTAAATATAGCACACTGCTCCTCTCTGGACTGCATTTCCTCCTAGACTTCCTCTCATGGAGTCTCCAATATGAGGGAAGTTCTTATACAGAGAAAGAGACAGTATGGCCACTATATGCCATGTTGTGTCATGTTTCCACCTATCCAGAAATCAACAGCATCTGATAGTGATGGGATGTTTCACTTACACAGGTACAAGCACTCACATGAGAGATCGTCTCACCTTATTAATGAAAATGCCCTCAGAGCTCTGTCTGTTGTAGGGAGGAGTGGCGGAGTCTCGTGGGGAGGCGCGGGGAGAGGATGCTGCTGAGGAGCAAGAGGACAGAGAGCCCATCTCAATCGCCCTATCCTCCGTACACGGCAGACCGTGAAACTTCAGGAACTCATCGGTGACCCGGTCCACCACCAGCAGCCTGGTGCGGTGCTCCACCTCCAGGATCCTCTGCACAACCCGAGAGACACACAGAACGTAACACTCACTAAAACATACACAGAGTACCATGCTATTACCATAATTCACACTGCGTGATTGTCACTCGCGTGAACGAGCACCGATTTGCCCCCGATTTCGGGCATTAGTCGGCGATTTCGCGAAACCTGTCGGTGGGTGAAAAATCGGGCTAAAATCGTGCAGTGTGAACTGGGCATAACCTCCTGTCGTCGTTCTATCGTGCAGTGTGAACACAGCAGCAACTGAATGCTACCCCAGATAGTCGTTCAGTGTGAAACCAACAGTGACGCGACGTCTTTGAAAATCGTGCAGTGTGAACTCGGCATAAGGGGGAATGCAGAAGTTTTGGATGCGTACACAAAGTTTGGCAAGAAAACACAAGTTTTTGAGTTTAAATGTAGAGTTTCTCTGGGAAACACAAAGGCATTGAAATATATGTTTTCCTCACTTTTATACCATCACCACGTCCCTTTAGAAACTCCTTACCATATAAATGCCATAGTATGAATATGTCATTCAGCATGGTATTGGTATTTTATATATTTACTGTACTATGGTAATACATAGGCTACTTTTATATAAAAATGTTTTAAGGTGGCATTAGACATGTAGTAAAAAGTAAACTTATTGCACCGTTTTAAGAGGCCCCATGTCCATTTATTATGGTTTTACAGTAATCACTGTGGTTTCCACTGTAAGTGTTTGTAAGGGTGGAGGCGAGACTGCAGTGTTTTCTTCACATCAACACACAATGATACAATCTTAAACAAATCTACATTAACGCTGTCACCTCAGTGTGGAATATAACACACTGGCTGCGTCTCAAAACATAGTGAGATCCCTATATAGACAACTCTGCGCGGTTTTTGGAACTTTCGTGTGCTTTTGGAACGTTCAAAGGAATCAGTATGATTCCCAAAAACGCTGTCTAGGTGGGAAGCTCTTTATTAAAGTTTTTGAGGATGCATTATTCCATATGCTGAGTCTGCAGGCGTTGTTTCTTAGTCATTTAATAGTAAGAGAATAAACAGGTGGAAGAGGACCGGAGGAACTGTAAAGTGTGTGTGTGTGTGAGAGAGAGAGGATTGGAGAGATCAGATGTTGGATAAGTCACAGATCTCCACGCGGAACTCTTCCTCTTCACGTGTGTTTTATAGACAGATCTGGGATCAGCTCATCGAACCCACACGGATTCAATAACACAAACACGACTGGCCTGAGCAGTGATGTGCGACTATATCACCCACTGCATTTAAAACAGGCCAGATCGCCCACACGTTCACCTGCAAACCTGCAACACACTAAAACACAACAATTAAACCATTCAGCTGGAAAACAGTAAAAATGCAATGAGTACAATTAATGCATAATGCTAAATGTACTGTAATCTGATCAGAGACTCTGTGATCTGGTGCTTTTCTCATATTTATAAAAGCCTTGCGCAAGTAAACACGGATTTTATTGGTTAAGTAATTCAATTTTTTTGGCCGTTCTGCCCTCTAGTGTTGACAAAAACAAAAATCACTGTGGAATGAATGAAGGGGCGACATGAACATTTTTATGGTTTCTCATAGCTTGAGTATATTAATGCTAGTTTATTCACTATATGCTTTACACATATAAAACATCCAGGTTTCACATCATTACTGGGTGCTTTAATAATAATATAATTGTGTATACGTCACATCATTGTGTGATTATGTAAACCAGGGGTGGGCAAACGTGGCCCTTCCAGGCCCTTTAGCTCTAACCCTAATCAAGCACACCTGAACCAGCTAATCACTGTCTTCAAGACTACTAGAAGGCTACAGGCAGGTGGGTTTTATCAGGGTTGGATCAAATCTCTGCAAGAAAGTGGCCTGGAAGGGCCAAGTTTGCCCATCACTGATGTAAACAAACTGGCGAATCAGTTATTTGAACCAGAAACAAACTGCCCGAAAGAAAACAATCGCATTTCGCTGTTTGCGTGAGGCTCTGGATTGCACAGACGTATCGTTTCATTTCATAAGACCTCAATATATCGTCAGGAGCCGCGGGTATTCATTTTGTGCTCCTTGATATGCTTTTTAAAAAACTGGTAGCCGCTGACTTGCTTTTAGTTTCAGCTTCAAATCTTCTTTACTATTCTACTCAAGAAAAATTAACAACAAATTTTCATTTTTGGGTGAACTACCCCTTTAAGGTAAAGACATGAATACAGTATCTAAAGCTCAAAAATTAAAGGGGTCATATGATGCGATTCCAATTTTTCCTTTCTCTTTGGAGTGTTACAAGCTCTTGGTGCATAAAGAAGATCTGTAAAGTTGCAAAGACTAAAGTCTCAAATCCTAAGAGATATTCTTTATAAAAGTTAAGAGTCAGCCACGCCTACCTAAAACGGCTCGTTCTAACACGCCCCGACATGTCTACCTCACTATGTGGGCAGCGTTATGCAACTCTTCCCACATCTTCATGCAAAGAAAGAAGGCGTAACTTTTAGTCTCGCTGTAGTATTGTTGTTGCCGCCGCCGCCATGTCGTGAAGGCGCTGTGTGTGTCGTTGTGAAAGCGAAACTACTTTGTTTGGTCTTCCAAAAGAGGACGATATCGCTTCGTCATGCCTGGAGCTTATCCGTGCTGGTCGCTGAGAAAATACTATAAACTACTATAATAAACTTTGTGCTGTGGATCGCCGGATCAGCTTTCACCGTGGACGAAGCGGAGTCCAGCCCGGGGTCGTCACATGTGGTTGCCGCAGGCATCACAGTATGGTAAGGGACGTAACATTTCCGTCACACGCTTGAGGTATTCGGCCAATCACAACGCACTGGATAGCTGGCCAATCAGAGCACACCTCGCTTTTTCAGACCGATGAGCTTTGTAAAAATCGACGTGCGTCAGAAAGGCGGGGCATAGAGGAGAAACAATAATGTACAGTATGTAGAAAATAATGTGTTTTTTGAACCTTAAACCGCATAAACACATTTCATTACACCAAATACTGTTCTTTTTAGCAGCGTCATATGATCCCTTTTAACGTTTGAACGTTGCCTAAAAAAATTCCTAAAAATGTTTAGGAATGTAGGATGTTGCTATGGTGTTTTAATGTAGAATGTTGGTCGCAAGAATGTTCTTTGATTTTTCACCAAATCTGTATGTCTGCCTGGGTAGAAAAATGATAGCAATATGATTCAGGTCAGATCAGAACAGACAGCAATTTAACTTCCGCCTTACCGCCATGCCAGACACCCGGTTCCAGGCGATGTCCTTGGCCAGGTGGGCCATCTTAGGGCCGACGCATCAGACCCTCCAACGTGTCTCCGCCAAACTCCTGCTGGATCAGAGCCGTGGCATGTTTGATGTACTTCACCTTTGTCTGAGAAGAAGTTTGTGAGTTTTTGATTGTTGAAATCTGCTGCTCTGATTATATAAACATATATTTGAACTTGATACGTTTGGACTTGATCTGCTTCTTTTTTCACTTTTGTGGTTGTGTTATTGCAACTTGACAAAGTCTCTGTACAAAATAAAATACTATTAAATAGTAATAATAATAATAATAATATTAAAAACATACATTACATAAAAATAAATAATTATAGAAAATGATTAGAAATTACATAAAATATTTTTAAATAAATGTAGTTTCACCTGTGCAGTTAGTCTCACCTGCAGGAGTTTCTGCATGTGTTTGCAGTGGAGCAACTGAAATGCTCTGTTCGTGAACTTCTGCTTTCACTTTTGGAGGACCATCTTCTGATCTGAGCCATTCTGGATCTCAATCTCCTTTATTTACATCACTTTTCACCATAGTTTCAGTCGCACAAGTGTCTAATACAGCTATTGATTCGGTGAAATATGGAGAGCTCATTCTTACAGTCAAACGAATTACTATAAACACATAAATTACCTGACTTCATGTCACAACTATTTTGGACACAACATCCCTATCCATGCTGTCGATACCGATGTCCGACTCCTGAATGAATCATTCTTTTGAGCCGGATCTTTTCAATTAATTGTCTGAGTCGCAGTGAACGGATCCCGCGAATCACTGAATCGATTGCTTGAACGAGTTCATCCAAAGCGAACTGTTCGAAAGAACCGATTCGCGGAAATGAGTCAGACTCGTCAGTTTCATAAGCGATTATCGCGTGTAGTTTCTTAACACCGCCAGCGCTTGTAAAGTGAACGTGCGCTCGCGGCTCTCAGAACTACAATTCCCTGCAGTCAGTGATCACGTGACGTGTTTTTGTAGGACGTGCATGCCCGTGTGTTAAGCATGACTTCCGGGGGGCAGTAAAGGGGGCTGGTGAGAGCAGAGGCACTTCTCTTGGCTGAGACAATGCGTGACAAATAAATGCATAAATCGGGAGCGATTCAGTTTTATCTTTTAGTTATATGTTCTCGATATCATCCCACCTCCATCATCCGCAGACGGTAAATTAACAGTGTGTTTGTTGCTTTGGCATGTTGTGTATGGATTGATACTGGTTTATTTATTTATTTATGTGTTGTTTATGTTACCACATCGGAGATGTGCGTGTATTTACACGGTTTATTTGGCGTGTTAATTTTCAGGTATTGTCTCTGTCACAGTCAGTTGGTGCATTTTTAAATGCGGGCTTTTTTTGTGCATGGGCTGAACTGAAGTGGACTGTCACGAGGTGTCAGACGTTTGACTAATGTGCAATGTTTTCATGTCGAAAGAGACGATATATCAGTGAAATGGATTGTTATTTATGCTACAAATGAGCTATGGTTTAGTAGAAGTGTCTTGAGGTCTTGAGGAGCTGAGGTGCTCAAATCTCCTGAGGGACTAATAATGACATGCCACAGAGAGACCCCAAAAATACATATGAAAGATGTTGTTGTCAATCTTTTCTGACCCAGGGACCCACTACCAGACATTCAGGGGCCCTGGGACCCTCAATATATGTGCAATCTTTCTTTAATTACGTGAGAAATATTATAACATTAAATGTCATCATAATAAAAAAAGACACATTTGTAGGTAAAATAGAATATTTTAAAACATACAGAATTTATGATTTATTTGTAATTTAAGATGCATCAAAAAAGCTGAAAAAACAGGGGTAGGGAAAAAGTTAGAAAAAAAGAAAGGAAAAAAACCCAGTAAGCTTATAATAAAAATAATAGCAGAATATATTTAAAAAAATGTGAAAAAATATAGTAAGCAGAATTTTTAAAATCATTTTATATGTATATTATTTTAGATCATTCTAAAATTATTAAAATCCTAGATCTAAAAATATAAAATAACAGAAATAAAAATATATATATTTAAAATATTTTGTTTACAATTTTCTTTTTTAGTTCAGATCGGCCTACAGACCCTCTTTTGTGCTTTTTTTGGATCTCCAGCTGCAGGAGGTTTGAAGTATCTCTCATTCTCTCATTCAGGGTCTCTCGCAGGAGTGAAGATGAATAAACAGCCCAGTAAAGAGTCTCTGCGGGACCGGGTCAAGGGGATCTTTGGCCTCGGTCCGACTCGGCCTCACAGCAAACAGACCGAGAGCAAACCGTCAGAGTTCATCATCACGCTGGACATCCTGATGGTCAGAAACACTCCAATAATCGTTCACACCGTCTACACTTCTCCACAACCTTGTGTTTCTCATGTATTCTCTCTCGCTATCGTTCAGGAGCTCACTCCAGAGTACGGCCTCCACCACCGGATCAAAGTCATCAACCACGTGTGCGATCTCGCCAAATCCAAGAAGTTTGAGGAGGTGAGGAGCATCTGCCTGCTCATATATGTGACCCAGTCATACGTTTTGGATAAATAAACAAGCTTTCCATTGATGTATGGTTTGTTAGGATAGGACAATATTTGGCCGAGATAAAACTATTTGAAAATCTGGCATCTGAGGATGCAAAAAAAATCTAAATATTGAGAAAATCACCTTTAAAGTTGTCCAAATGAAGTTCTTAGCAATGCATATTACTAATCAAAAATTAAGTTTTGATATATTTATGGTAGGAAATTTACCAAATATCTTCATGGAACATGATCTTTACTTAATATCATAATGATTTTTGGCAATACAATGTATTGTTGGTTATTGCTACAAATATCCCCGTGCGACTTAATACTGGTTTTATGCTCCAGGGTCACATATGAGCAGATCTACAGTGTGTTGTGTGTGTTTCAGCATGCGGTGGAGGCCGTGTGGAAGGCCGTGGAGGACATGATGCAGCCTGAACAGCCGCCTGAAGCCCATCATGCAGTGCTGGTGCTGCTGAGAGCCATTATACAGGGACAGGTGCACATTTTGAACTCCTTGTGAAACACAGTGCAGTGTGGCGGCAAACACCACTCACGTTTTCCTCATGATCTTCTTGTGCAGGGTGAGCGCTTGGGTCCGCTCAGAGCCTACTTCTTCAAGATCATTCTGGACTATCAGCCCTCTAATGAAGATCTGGCCGAGAGACTGGAGGTGTTCAAGGCCCTCACGGAGAACGGGAAAGACATCACCTACCTAGAGGAGGAGATCGGTACGGTTCACGCATGCTTTGATTCATCCTGGTGTTCTTAAAGAGATAGCACACCTAAAAAGGGAAATGCTGTCATCACTTACTCGCCCTCATGTCATTACAAACCTTTATGAGTTTCTCTCTTTTCTAAGCACAAAAATAATACATTTTGAAGAATGTTAGGAAACAAACAGTTGTCGGTAGCCATTGACTTCCATTGTATGGGAAAAAAATACTATGGAAGTCAATGGCTAACTGTTTGGTTTTCAGCATTCTTCAGAATATCTCCTTTTGTGTTCAAGAGAAGAAATAAGCTCATTTGCAGCTCACCTGTATGACTTTCTTTCTCCAAGAAGATATTTAACGGCTGTATAAATGGCTTGTGTAGCATCATATGCAGATTGTAATACGTGTTTGTATGTGTCAGCTCGGTTTGTTCTGCTGTGGATGGACATCGGTCTGTCATCAGATTTCCTGCATGTGCTCGTGAACTTGGTCAAATTCAACTCCTGCTACCTGGATGAGAACGTCTCCCTCATGGTCCAGTAAGACAACGCACTCACATTTGCTTTTGAAAGCTTCTGCTTAAATGCTTGAATACTGACTTGTAGACAGGTATACACTACCGGTCAAAAGTTTGGGATCAGAATGATTTTTAATGTTTTTTACAGGAGTTTCTTCTGCTCATCAAGGCTGCATTTATTTGATCAAAAATATAGGAAAAAAATTTAATATTGTGAAATATTATTATGATGTAAAATAAAGTTTTTCTATTATAATATACATTAAAATGTAATTTATTGCTGTGATCAAAGCTGTATTTTCAGCATCATTACTCCAGTCTTCAGTGTCACATGATCCTTCAGAAATCATTCTAATATGCAGATTTATTATCAGTGCTGGAAACGGTTGTGCTGCTTAATATTTTTTTGGAACCTGTGATACTTTTTTTCAGGATTCTTTGATGAATAAAAAGTTACAAAGAAGAGCATTTATGTAAAATAGAAATCTTTTCTAACAATATACACTACAGTTCAAAAGTTTGGGGTCAGTAAATTTTAATTCTTTCTTTTTTTGAAAGAAATTAAAACTTTTATTCAGCAAGGATGTGTTTAATTGTTAAGAAGTGATAGCAAAGATTTATATTGTTAGGAAAGATTTATATTTTGAATAAATGCTGTTCTTTGGAACTTTTTATTCATCAAAGAATCCTGAAAAAAGTATCGCAGTTTCCAAAGAAATATTAAGCTGCACAACTGTTGCCAACATTGATAATTCTAATAATAAATCAGCATATTAGAATGATTTCTGAAGGATCATGTGACACTTTATACTGGAGTAATGGCTGATGGAAATTCAGCTTTGCATTACAGAAATAAATTATATTCTAAAGGATATTAAAATAGAAACTATTATTTTATATTGTAATAACATTTTGCAAGATTACTGTTTTTTTTCAGTGTTTTTGATCAAATAAATGCAGCCTTGATGAGCAGAAGAGACTTCTTTAAAAAACATTACAAGTCTTACTGATCCCAAACTTTTGAACGGTAGTGTACACTGCAGTTCAGAAGTATGGGGTCTGTTTTTAGATTGTGTTTTTTGAAAGAATTAATACTTTTACTCAGCAAGGATGCATTAAATTGATCAACAGTGTCAGTAAAGACATTTATAATGTTACAAAAGATTTCAGTTTCAAATAAATGCTGTTCATTTGAACTCTCTATGCATCAAAGAATCCTGAGAAATTGTATCACAGTTTCCACAAAAATATTCAGCAGCACAACTGTTTTCAACATTGATAAAAATATAAATATTTCTTGAGCACAAATCAGCATATTAGAGTGTTTTCTGAAGGATCGTGTGACACTGAAGACTGGAGAAATGATGCTGAAAATTCAGCTTTGATCACAGAAATAAATTACATTTTAAAGTATTTTGAAGTAGAATAATATGTAACAATTTTAGTGTTTTTACTGTATTTTTAAACAAATTAATGCAGCCTCTGTGAGCATAAGAGACTTCTTTCAAAAACTTGCTGACCCCAAACTTTTGAATGCTGGTGTAAATTTGTCTATGTATGAATTTCTTTTTAATTAAAAAAATTGGTTCGGTTAAAATAGTGAAGGAAAAGGACATATAAGAGTTTTCTCATGCGTTAACTTCATTGATTTGTTTCTCACAGGAAAATCTGCCTTCTGTGTAACCGGACGACTTCCTCCACAGATATCGAGGTAAAAAAAGTGGTGTTTGACTCAGTCTTTCAGGATTATGATAAAAGTAGTGATAGCTGAATCTGTTTATCCGTGTGTGTGTGTGTAGGTTGCGCTGCAGGTGTTAGACGCGGTGGTGTGTTATAACTGCCTGCCCTCCGACTCTCTGACGGTGTTCATCATCACACTGTGCCGAACCGTTAACGTGAAGGAGTTCTGTGAATCCTGCTGGAAGGTACACAGAGAAGTATTCAGCCGAGTTTAATACATCACATTTATGGTGCGGTTCATAAGCATGCTTTGACCTCTCTGTTGTTGTTTTTGTCTAGTTGATGCGTAAAGTGCTGGGAACTCACTTGGGTCACAGTGCCATATACACCATGTGCCGTATCATGGAGGAGAGGTACACACCTTATAACGACAGAAGACAGATTTGTGATTGGTTAGAGAGTCAATAGGCTATAAATATAATAATAATAATAATAACAGTACTTATATAATTGAAAAAATATTTGTTCATTAAAAACATTTAAGCTTTTATATAAGGTAGATTTTCATTAGTATTTCCGAAAATAGAGCAAAAAATGCTCTTTCGGTGTTCGGCTGAATAAGCGAAAAGACCGAATAAATTGTACCGAGCAGTGACGTGATCAAATAGAGGCGCGCACTAATGCAGGAAACACGTCTGCAGTGTGGAAGCATTTAAAAGTGTCCGAGAAAGACTCAAAAATCATTACAAGCACCGACAGCGAGAGACTGTTTAGCACTGCATCTCATGTCTCCGATGAGAAGAGGAAGAGGTGGTTGTTGCTGGTTACTCTATGATGATTGAAATCGTGAAATGTAATGCCAATCGCAAAATTATATTAATATTTAACTTTTTAAACAAAGGCAAACATTTATTAGCATTTTTTTTTTGCTTTAGTATTGAAATTAGGATTGAGAGTCATTGGTGTTGGCATGAACTGCTGAATTATTGTGATGTTGACGGATCTAGTGTTCTCAGTAGTGTGTATGGTGTGTGTGTGTGTCTGGTGTAGGGTGTACAGTGAGGACGCCGCTCTTCTCAGGGGTGCTGTGTTTTTTGTTGGTATGGCGCTGTGGGGAGCTCACAGACTTCCTGCCCTCAAAAACACGCCCACTCTGGTCCTGCCTTCCTTCTACAAGGTATGTGCTAATTTGCCATCAGTTTGTGTTTTTAGAAATATATTATGAAACCTACTAGTGTTTGACCTCTGACCTCTGTGCCCAGGCCATGAGCTGCACGAATGAGGTGGTGTTCTATGAGATTGTGCTGTCGATCACGCGACTCATCAAGAAGTATGGCCGAGAGCTGCTCGTCGTGACATGGGACATCCTGCTGTCCATCATAGAGAAACTCCTGCAGCAGATACAGGTACACACAGGGTTTAAATTGGGCCGGGGCCATCCCGGCACATAGACTCCAGGGCCCGACATTAACGCTTCATTAACGCCAGACAAGTAACATGATTAAAACATCAGTAACCAAAAATAACTATGTAAACACCAAAACGCAAGTATTATTCTGATTTATTACATTTAGAGTAAGTGGCGAATAGTGGATATAGCAATTGTATATAATGCATCTATTGACGGAATAAGGTTGCGCTGCTGAGGCGAGGCTCATGCAGTCTCTTCAGGAGAAATCAAAACGCGCAACACTCAGCATCCTGACGTAAAAATTCAAAATGGAAAGTTTTTATATTTAAAATACAGTTAGTTAGGCAACATCACACAATGTTTTCACCATTACGACTGTTTAATAGTTCTATAAACAGTTCAATAAGCAAATACAATAATATTAGGTTACTTACATTTTAGGCAGAAACAGCGCATCTCACAGCAACCAGCCGATTCATTGCTGATTGATTCCGTGTTTTGAACGAATCGGTTGAGTCAAAGTTTCATTAGCCCATGCATAAACATCTGATGAATCTGCCCTTTGAATGAATCGTTTGAATGAACGACTCAATGACTTACTCATTAAACACTCACTACTGGCACCTACTGGCGTTTTAATTTCGTTGAAAAGTATCATTTCCACCATCATTTCTTGTTTGTATATTCAAAAATATTTAAAATAATCTCATAATATTATTTAATGCAGTTGTATTTTTCAGTGTAAATGATTTAATTTGATAACGTATAGATAATCACATTATTATAATTGAATTTATAGACCAAATGTAAGAATTTGAAATGAAAGTATTAATGAGATTAGTGGGAAAATGCCCTCTATAAAGGTAAAAAACAACAAAAGTTCAGAATAAATCATATTTGCAAAAACACAAAACACACACACAAATATAATAGCTCGATACCACAGAGCCCCCCCCCCCACATAGCAAATCCCAATTTAACCCCTGGGTACACACACGCACACAGACACACGCACGCGCACACACAGACGCACACACAGACACGCGCACATGCACAGACACATACACAGACACACGCGCGCACACACACACACAGACACTCACACTCTCTCTCTCTCACACACACACACACACACACACACACAGACACACAAACACACTGAGATGTTTTATGGGCATTTGTTTGCTGACGCTCTTCATATATGTGGTGTGTGCAGATGATGGGCAGTCCTGATCTGAAGGTGATCGTTTATGAGTTACTGAGCACCGTCGAGGAGCTGTACGAGCAGAACGACTTCCACGGATCCTCACAGAAATTCTTCAGCCTGGTGGAGAAGTGCGCCGATAAACGTCCCGTGAGTTTCACTCGCTCTCTGTCCATCTGTCCTCTTCTGAAGCTGTCTGGTTTGATTCACCCTTCTTGAATGTATTCATTTATTTAAATGTCGTATTAAAAGTTTAATTAAACCGTGTTATTACATTTAAATTATGTATATATTTATTTGAATGTATTTTTAAAATTAAATTAAGTATAAATTAAGGATGATATTCAGACTGACTAAATTTGTTATTAAATTCAAATGTATTTAATTTAAATGATGTATACATTTATTATTAAAATTAAATATACATTAAGGAGGATATTCAGTAATGTATGATTATATTTCATGAAAGTATAAATATATTTAAATGTATTAATAAGTTTAAATTAAAATGTATTCAATTTAAATGAAGTATAGATTTGTTTAAATGTATTATTAAAAGTACGTTTAGTATAGATTGAGAATGTTCAGATTAACTAAATGTATTAAATTGAAAGAGTTAAAATGTGTTTTAAATTTATTTTGAATTTATTTAATTGAAAGAAAGTGTAAATGTATTAATTTATTGCTAAATTTTATTTATACATTTCAATGAAGTATAGATTCATTTAAATGTATAATACAATTAAATTATGTATAAATGGAGGATATTATCATTGACTAAATGTATTATTCAGTGTAAAGGAAGAATGTATGAAGAGTTCATTTGCAGAAACAGATTTTCAAACATCATGTTTTCAAAAATCATGTTTTTTCATTGTGCATTCCAATTAATCTCAATCAAACTGCAGTTGGGTTATTTTGATTAGGTTAAAAATAAATACAAAATGCAGCTAACGAACACAATAAAACACAATACAAACAAGATAACATAATAAAAAAACATGATGAAAAAAAAAACAGTTTAAATGTATTTAAATGAATTGCATTATTTTGGTTTGATGGGCTGTTGTTGAATCTGTCCTGTAGGATGCGTCTGTGCTGACGCTGATTTCCTACAGAGCTCAGTCCATTCAGCCGGCCAAAGACGGGTGGCTGCAGAACCTGCTCAAACTCATGGAGAAGTTCTTCAGGTCTGGATGATTCATCATTTTCACTAAAGTCCCGTTTTAAACGAATCCTGGGAATAACACCTCTCTCTCTCTCTGTGTGTCAGGAATGAGAGCCGTACTGTGATCAGGATCAAGGTTCTGCACATCCTGTCCTTCGTGCTCAGCACAAACCGACAGCTCTATGAAGTCAGTCCTAAAGCAGTCAGGCCTTTCCTTGTGTTCATGAGCTCGCTGTTGTTTGTCTTGATCGTCTGTGTTCTCTGTGACCAGGAGGAGCTGATCGAGGTGGTGGTGATTCCTCAGCTGGGTCAGATCGCTGAAGATCGAGATCTGTCCGTCAGGAAACAAGCCACGCAGCTGCTGGTGGATCTCGCCGAGGGCTGCAGCACGCATCACTTCAGCAGCCTGCTCGACATCATCGAGAAGGTAGCGCTGCTCGCTCACGATGCCATTGAAGTTTCAAACAGGAGAAAAATGGAATGCCTGCACTTCCGGCAATTTAAATTTCAAAAAACGGAATTTTTCATGTGTAAGGGAATCTAGATTTCCACCATTTCTGCAGGTCCTTTATATAGCCCTGAAATAGTTGATTAATTCAAGCATATCTAAGGGAATATTGAGTTGTTAAATGTGATAACTATAATTCTTAAGAATTTAATTTGATTTAACAAAAGCTTTTAAAACAAGATATAAAACATTCATCACTTCTTCCATTGGCTGCCTATTCCACAGAGACAGGTCATTAACTGTTTAGCAGTTATTCAGCAGCCTTTGTATTCAAGAGAACAAAATAGACACTTCCGGAGAAATTTGTGTAAATTAAAAAGGTAAAGCCAATGTGGAAGCCATTGTGATTTTTATTTAATGTGATAAATGAGTTCACACTTATTTGAATGTATTATCAGATTTAAATTAAGAATAGATTTATTTTAATTTATTGTTAAATATAAGTATTGATTTATTTCAATGTAACATTACCTTCAAATTAAGCATAGTTTTATTTGGATGCATTATTACATTTAAGTATAGATTACTATTAAATGTGAATAAAGTATAGATTTATTTAAATGTATTATTAAATTGAAAACATTTCAATTTATATATATATATATATATATATATATATATATATATATATGTATATGTGTATAATTGTTAAATTAAAAAGTATGGAATTATTAAAATGTATTATTTAATCTAAATGAAGTATGTATTTTTAATATATTAATAAAAGCATGGATTAATAAGTAGTTTAAATGTGTTTCCAGCGTAGTTTATGCCCAAATAAAAATGACCAAACTCACTACTCAAACTAAAGAATTTTTTTTCATTTTTTTATGTAAAATCCCCAAACAAGTGGACGAGACCTGTTTTGTGTGAGTGAAAGTCTCCTGTGCTCCTGTAGGTTGCTAGTCGTCCGTTAACCTGCTCTATGGAGGGAGAGAGAGAGCTGTCAGTGGAGTCGCCCATGGAGGACGTCCGGACCGCTATACTGGGACTGCTAGACATCCTACAGGTACTACAGTACCTCTTCTGCTCAGTGCACTCATGATTACTCTCTCTAGCAGCTCCAGTGATGCTGTGTCTGTTTCCAGAGTAAACTGTACAGTCTGCCGGCCAGTCACGCCAGTCGAGTGTACGAGCTGCTGATTTCTCATCTGCAGCTTCACTACAAGAACAAATACTACAGTGCCACCGGGAGCTCCATACGCCTCAAGGTCAGACTTTTGACTCCAGTTAGTCAGCAACACCATAGCAAACACCCTGGCAACCAAATACTCCGAATACGTAAACTTTTCAAATCACCTGGACTTTAGAAAAGGCAAGCATGTTGTTTTCTCTCATTGTTTGTGTGTCAGGTCTTTGATTTCTTGCTGATGATGAGGGCCGACTCTCTTCATCGTCTGGGTGTCCCCAATAAAGATGGAGTCCTGAGATTTAGCCCATACTGTCACTGTGACGTTGGGTAAGAACACAAGCATGTGTGTTTAGTGCTGTTTTCTTATTAAGCACACTTATTAAGGAGGATGCTAAATTATATCAAATTTAAATAGTGCTGTCAAACGATTAATTGCGATTAATCACATCCAAAATAAAAGTTCTTGTTTACACACACATGCATGTATATATTTAAGAAAAATGTTATTTTTAGATATTAAATATATTTATTTATAATATAAATTATATCTATATAAATATAGACATGTAAATATTTTCAAAATATATACTGTATTTGTGTGTATTTATATATACATAATAAATATACACAGTACACACACATATATTATGCAAAAAAAACTTTTATTTTGGATGTGATTAATCGCAATTAATCATTTGACAGCACTAAATTTAAAGTATAAATGTATATACATTTATTTAAAATTTAAATAAAGTGTGAATTGATTTACATTTATTATCAATATTAATTTAAGTATTAATTGTTAAGGATTGACTAAATGTTCTATTAAATTTAAATTGAACTAAAATGTCTTATTGAATTTAAAAGAAGTATTAATGTATGTAAATATATTATTAAATTAAGATTAAAAGAAGTATACATTTATTAAATTTTTTTAATAAGATTTAAATGAAAATGTATCATTACATTTTAAAAAGTATAAATGTATTTACATTTTTATTTAAATTAAAATGTATCATTACACTTAAATGAAGTAAACATTCATTTAAATGTATTATTAAAATGACTAATATTAAAACTAGAAATTAAGGAGAATATTCAGATTGACTGAATGTATTACATTTAAATGAACTATACATTTAATTCCATTTATTATTAATATTAAAGTAAGTATCAATTAAAGAGGATATTCAGATTATAATATTATGTTTATTATAAAATGTAAAGAAAGTATAAATATATTTAAATGTATTTTTAAATTAAATTAACGTATCATTATATTTAAATGTATACATTTATTTACATGTGTCAAAATTAAGTATAAATTATTAAGTACAACATTCAGACTGACTAAATCTCAAATGTCTGGTTTTTAGGGAGTCGGAGAAGAGAGTGACTGATAAGAAGCCAACAGGAACTGTGTCACCGCCGACAGGAAGTCCCACACCAGCGGCTCCGCCCTCCTCCGTTCGCACTGCCTATCTGCCCTACAACCTGGCCTTCAGCGTGCTGCTACAGTGCCTCAAGATGGTACACAAACACACACAGCTCACATCCTCTTCCTTTTAAAATGATTGATGACACCATAGCATGTTCATGGTGTCATGGTACTGTTTTTATGTACCATATATTATCGGTATCGGCCAAAATTTTCATATCGGTGCATCCCTATTTAACACGGTGCCCTGTGGTTTTGCATTCCTGGAACATTCAGTTCAAATACAACACAATCTGTGTGCGCAAATATAACTACCGCGGTGTGAAAGGTAAAGCATCAGCTCCTTGCTTCATTTGCAGGAGAATGACTGGAAGGTTCTGAAGCTGGTTCTGGATAAGATGTCCTGCACCATCCAGTACAAAGTTCTGATCCTGACCTCACCCTGCAACATCGATCATCTGTGCTCCACTCTCTGCTCCATGGTAACACACAGACACACACGACAGACACACACACACACACACACACACACACACACACACACAGACACATACACATACACATACACAGACAGACACACACACACACTTACAGTGATGGCCAAAATGATCAGAACACTAGTATTTTCAGCAGCTAAAAAAATGGTTTTAGATCAGATCAGATCTCTGTGTGCAGCACTGGCTGTTGTCAGACTAAAAGCTCACTGGATTATTACAATTAATGGCAAAATGAATGTTTGGAAATGTAAACTGATAAGATAGACAAAGATTTAGCTGGTGAAAATACTAGTGTTCTAATAATTTTGGCCAGCTCTGTACTACACAGTAACTCAGTGGAATAAACTGTATGGAAGCAAGGTCATTTGAGAGAGAGAGTGTGTGTGTGTGTGCAGGTGACGGACCGCCTGATATCGGAGCGTTTGAAGAAAACTCCTGATGGATTCTCCCTCACTGATGTTCAGCTCGCTGTGGTTCCTGTTCTCACTGCCCTCACCTCCTACCACAGCTACCTGGAGCAGTCCCGACAGGTGACACAAACACATCTACCCCGCTATCCAGATCAGAGCGGAATATAAACATCAGTTTGTTTGTTTTAGAGTTTGTCAGATTTGATCAATTTTAGCTAGGGCTGTGTTCTAAACACTAGTGATCTAGACAGTATCATAGGCACACTCCGAAGGCTGTTTGAAATAACAAGAAGCAAAACTGTGTTACCTTGTAAGTTACCTTAAGTTAAGTATGAATTTATTTAGGTGTATTATTACGTTTAAATTGAATGTACAATTATCACATTTAAATTAAATATGAATTTATTGAAATGTGTTATTGTATTTACAATAAATATACAATTATACAAATGTATTATTACATTTTAATTAAATATAAATTTATATACGTGTTCTTTAATAATTTATGTAAAGGTTTAACTTAAATTTATTACGTTTAAATTAAACGTGTTTATTAAATTGAAATTGAGTATACAATTATGTACATGCATTATTACACTTAAAATAGTATACATTTATTAATAAATGTATTTGAGTTTATTACATTTAAATTATAAATTTATTTAAACGTATTACATTTATTTAATTTAAAGTATACATTTAAATTAAATATTAATTTATTGTTACATTTAAAGTAAGTACACATTTATATTTATCATATAATTTATAATTATTGAAATTAAATGTTTATTTAAATTTGTTGTTAAATTTGAATTAAGCAATCATTTACTTAATGTGTTATTTAATTGAAACTAAATAAAAAATTAAAGTGTATTAATAAATTTAATGTAAGAATACATTTACTTGAATTTATTCTTACACTTTAATTAATTAATGAATCAGTCAACAGCAGATCTAATCTCTGGAGGTGATAGCAGCCAATCATCTGATGCGCATCTAGGAATGTATTGGATAAATGTGTTGACAGCAGAGTTTTTCTTCACCTGTTTTCTCAGAGGGAGCTGGTCCAGTGTTTGGAGAAAGGCCTGATTTACCGCTGTGCTAAGCAGTGTGTGGTGGCTCTGACCATGTGCACCGTTGAGATGCCCGACATCATGATCAAACTCCTGCCCGCCCTCATCGTCAAGCTCACGCACATCTCGGCAACCGTTGCCATGGCCTCGCCCATGCTGGAGTTCCTGTCCAGTGAGTGCAAGCCTTCAGTCGTTTTCCCCGCCCATTCTCACATTCTGACCAATCAGAGCCGCCCTACTCACTCTGAGTCTGACCAATCAGAATATAGCATACATTCTACATTGAGGATACAACCACAGCAAAACGACACCTGTGGATCATATACAGCAGCTCAAGAACTGATGCTTTTTGTCTCGTCTCTCTCTCTCTCTCAGCATTGGTGCGGCTCCCACATCTGTATGCTAACTTTGTAGCCGAGCAGTACGTCAGCGTGTTTGCCATATCGCTGCCGTACACCAACCCCTCAAAGTGAGTGAGCTCATACACACCTGTGAACTCACACATACAGAATATGTAGCCAACGTTTGCCTTCATTAGCTATTTGACTACTTGATGTTCATTTATAATGTTACAAAAGATTTCTATTTCAAATAAATGCCGTCCTTTTGAACTTTTTAGTTCATCAAAGATTTCTTCAAAGAGTTTCCACAAAAATATGAAGCAGAGCAGCACAACATTGATAATAATGTTTCTTTAAACAGCAAATCAGCATATTAGTCATCATGTGACACTGAAGACTGGAGTAATGATGCTGAAAATACAGCTTTACATCAAAGGAATAAATTACATTTTAACATATATTCAAATTGAGTTTAAACTGTAATAATATTTCACAATGTTACTGATTTTATTGTGTTTTTTAATCAAATAAATGATCTTAAATTATGTTTTCTTGTTTTTCCTTCATTCTCTGTAGGTTTAATCAGTACATAGTGTCTCTCGCCCATCATGTGATCGCCATGTGGTTCATACGCTGCAGACTGCCTTTCAGGAAAGACTTTGTTCAGTACATCACCAAGGTGGGTGATGGGATTGTCGGGCTCATGTGTTTACAGATCGATCTGTTGGTCTTGAGTTGAAGTGTGTTTTTGTGTGATTAGGGTCTCCGTTCAAACGCTCTTCTGCCATTCGATGACACTCACGAGCAGAGCAGCTTCAGAGCGCGCAGCACCAGCCTGAACGAGAGGCCCAAGAGGTACGCACGCTCGCACACACATGCGCGCACACGCACTCACACACTCTCTCTCTCTCTCACACTCTCACACACGCAGGGCCAGATCATGGTTTGTCTCATGTCAGGTTTTGCCGTGGGAAGGACTCAAAGCATGATTGTCATTCAGGTGCCTCATTGGTTCATTTTTTGATAGTAGTGTCGTGATTTCTGGCTTTGTGTGTCTGGTTTACGTCAGAACATCAGCTGAGTTTTCACTTCCACTCACGGATGCTAGTTTGACTGTGGGACGTCACTTTTCTTATCGGTCTCATTTCTTTCTCTATGTTTCTCTTTCTCTCCTCATCTGGCTCAGCAGTGACTGTTTCTCAAAGGCAGACTGACTGTCACTTCAAAACCATTAACAAACCATGTTTCTTCAACTACGGCCACTTTAGGTCCCAGGGATTGATTTTTATTCAGACTAATAGATTTCGACTTCTCCTTTTTTGGAGAAAAAGTCACATTAAAACTAGAGATTTTTTTTTTTTTTAGCAAGACTTAGTTTTGATACTTTTCAAATGCTTATGTTTTTAATAAAAAAATGCATGTTTGAAACTATGATAGTCTAATTAAAAGAGGATATTGGTCATTAGTCGTTATTTTAACATTTATATTAGTGTGTATATTTATTTATTTTGTGAAAGCTATGGATTTTGCAAAATTCAGTATATTTATAAATATATTTTAAAACATGTTTTGTGCATTTTCGATAACTTTCTATAGGTTTTTTGGTCATTTTATTCCAAAATATAAAAGATCTAATTTTCCACCACAGAATTATGATGAATTATGATTTAAGATGTGATGGAAATGACGCAGTGGTGGACATTTTTCTGAGGGTTCATGAAAGCAGTGTGTTCATCCACTGTTAAACATTAGGATTATTAGTAGACAAATTTAATTAACGAGTTAAAAAAGTGTGTGTTAATGGAGTTACATTTCTAAAAGGACTGAAAATGCCCATAGTTGAAGAAACACCTGAATACAAACAGTACACACATCTCTAAAACTTGTGTTGATATTTAATAATGAGCTTATCCTGGAATAGTCGAAATAACTAGTCATATGATGTCTCCAACAAAGGGACCAATAAACTAGAGGTTAAGAGTCCTGCCTACTAACATCTGGATTTGAACTGAAGCAAGTCTTTTATTTTCTAATCCTTATTATTTTCCATTCATTTCTACTTCATTCTGTCTTTGCTTTTCTTGATTTCACTTTTTGTATTGGTTGTTAAAACAGCCATGGTCCTGTAAGCCAGTTTACTTGAACAGGAATCTCCATAGTAACGACTTCCTAAACCATTTTAACCAGCACACCTGATGCAGCCAACAATGCATTGCAATCATTGTAACAACAAGACATATCACTAATACAGTCCATGATCAGTTATGTCCAGAGTCACAAAACCGTCTAATCTCATTGTCCTGATACTGATTTCAGGTTAATTCTCTGTGGAAACCACCGTCAGTGTTATTCTTTTGCAAGTTTTGTGTCTTGTCTTGTCATCGAGGCTGGAGCTTTGAATGAAAAGCCTGAAAAAGAAAAAGATCAACCAATGCATTTACATGCACAAGAATATCCATATATTTATGAAAATGTAGTCATACAAATAAGATTTATACTCTCTCTGTTTTGTTAATTACATTGAGCATCATTCAAGAGTAGACAAAATTACTGTATGAAATTATTTAAATTATTGCTGTTTCAGAATTCACTGCATGTGAAATAAAAATACATTTTAAATAAAACAATCATAAATCACAAAAAAAGATTCAATATCTTATTGGTTTACCTGTATGCCATGCGACCATTAACCAACATCAGAAAACTGAAAATGCTAATGTGTTTTTAAAGTATTAAATATAAAGTCAATATTTTAAGTCAGAGGCTGGCAAGTAAATGTTCATTTCAGAATAAAATTTCCCCTAGAAAACCAACCTTAATCTAAAATGACGTGCGTATAAACATGGTTCATACTTTTTTATGCTCTTTCTAGTTTATCAGGCCTTACATTCTCTGTTCCAGTTTCTAGTTTAACTCCATCCGGTCATTCATTTGTGTTGTGTTTGCTGTATTAAATCACACACACATACACACGATCATATCACTGTTTTCCTATTACTATTAATTTCCAGTATGATAATCATAGCAGTGTCTGAATGCTTTTTTCTTCCCTGTACCAGTATGTTTGTGCTCTCTGATGAGTTTTTTATTTATTTTCTCCTCTTTCATTCCTTTGGTAGAATGCTGACAGTATATTGCTTACTTTATGCCTTGTTAAGTGTCTGTTGATCTTTTTGATGCTGTTTCTCCTTCCAGTTTTCTGTTTCCTCCTTTGTTTTCTTTTTGTTTTTTGAGTGTCGTCCCTGTTTTCTGGTTCTCAGTGTGCACTGCTGACTAAGTTACTTTGTTTTCCTTTCACTTCCTTATTTGACCCCTCCCCCCTCCTCTGATTGGGCCATGCGTGATGGGCGTGGTTTGGGGGGGTGCCGACACCTCGGATCCGTCACCTGTGATTGGTCGCTGGCCCCTTTCGTGACACTCCACAACCAATCGCACTCCCCCATCCATCCATGCCGACGTGGTTAAAATGCCCCGAATTCCCCCCGACCCTCCCTGGTCACGACGTTATGCTGACGCACACCTGACCTCGTTTGCCCTCGGGGCAGTTTGCGGACGACCAAAGTGGCGAAGCAAGGCCCCAGCGCAAACTCTCCCGTTAAAGACCTGAAAGATCTGTCGGCCATGGACGCCTTCCGCTCCCGAAGCATCAGTGTGTCCGAGCATGCGGTGCGCAGGTAGAGCATTTTTGGTCCCCTCAAAACTCAACAACCGATTGGTATCCCTGCTTTTCCTTTTCTGTATGTAGGGACGGTGGGTGGGGCTTGGGCAGTCGGGGGTGGGGCGTTGTCTTGGCGATGCGGGGTGGGCGTGGACATCTGGTTTGGGCTAATTCTGATTGGGCAGGAAAGGGTGCATGCTGGAGGAGGGTTTTGTCGTTTTCTTTCGTTTCATTGATGGTGATGTTGACTGCATGCGCTGAGCCTTGCGAGCATCTGTTTTGATTTCAGCCTAACCCCGTTTTGTATTTGCTTTTACCGTGCTTATTGTGCTGTTTGTGATGGTGTTTTTTTTTTTTTTCCTTTCCGTGAGCAAATTACTACGGAGCCCCTAAAGGGACATGGTGATGGAAAAAAAGAAACAAGACGAAAAATACTTGAGTGTTTTTGCGTTCGCCTGCAGAACTTTTGCATTCACTCGATAAAAACATTGTGTTATATATCAATGGTTGTGCGTTCTCTCGCAAAAAGTTTGTGTTCCCCCAAGAAACTGCGTTTTATTTCAGTGCTTTTGCGTTTTCTCGCAAAACTTTTACATTCTCTCACAAAAATCTAGCTTTCCTCAAGAAACTTCGCATTCGCTTGCAAAACTTTTACATTCTCTTGTAAAAGCTGTTGCGTTATCTCTAAAAATGGTTTGCTTGTAAAATGTTTGCGATGAATAATATGAGATTGGAGGAAAAATGATATTTCAGAACGTCTGCGAGAAAAATTTTGCATCCGCTTACAAAACGTTTACATTCTCATTTACGTTCACCCAAGAAACATTGCATTATATTTTAGTGTTTTTTTTGTTTTCCCCAAAACTTTGCATTATATTTCAATACTTTTACGTTCTCTAGAAAAACATTCGCATTCGCCCAATATACTTTGCATTTTCTCGCAAAACTTTTCCATTCTCTTGTAAAAAAAAACGTTTGCATTTTCTCTCAAAACTCTAAAAAAAAAAAAAAATTAGTTCAATCATAAACCATTTATGAGGTTGGAGGAAAAATATTTTATCTTGGGATAACACAATACTTTTGCGTGAGAAACGTTGCATTCCCACACAAAACTTTCCCTCGCAAATGTTTGCGATCCCCAAAGAAACTTTGCATTATAAGTCAAATCTTTTGCATTCTCTTGCAAATCTTTTGCGTTCCCCCAAGAAACTTTGCATTCTCTTTCAGAACTTTTGCGCTCCTCTGAAAAATTGCAAACGAAAACACTTGCAAATGCTTTGAAAAATAATATTTTCCCAGCCCATTTTTTCCATCTCCATGTCCCTTTAGGGGCTCTGTACCGCACACAGGAAGCATGCGCAATTGAAAGTATGCATTTACACATTGGAGAGACTAGCTTCTCTGTCTTTGCTGTTTTTTGAATGAGATGGACGGCAGTAATTCAGCTCCCAAAAACTAGGGGGCGCACTTGCTCAGTCTGCTGCCTGTCTGAGCCTGTTTTAACCTTCACTTATTCACATCATATTCACACACTCTTTACACATGATCCAGGTACAGTATCCATCCATGTTTTATCATACTGCATTTTGAATCATCGCACAAAAGTCGCACAATAATACGCTGCGAACACGCTGAAAACGTTTCACTGACGCCCTCTTCAAATGCTGTTCCTCCATGGTTTTATTCGCATTTTTTCAGAGCTTATACTTACCTGATGTCATTTCAAATCCATACAAGTTTTTTCAACACAGTTGCACTTTTTCCGTACAGCAAAATGCATTCTGTTGTTTTCCCCTCCCAGTTTTGTTTTCATCTGCATAAATATGTAGCCTGTGCTCCTGAGCTCATGAACAAACTGCAGTGTCGCACATAATGCTGGGTACACAGTAAAAGATTTTTAAAATCTTATAAGATCTTCAAAATGTGAGAGACCACAAACATGAGGACAAAAAATCCTAGATTGAACTGTTTTGCTCCTATAGTGTGCGGTGTGCCGCGATGTTCCCCCCACACATCAGGATTTCTGATCGTAAATATTCAATATGTAAAATATTTACGATTCGCGATCGGGGCGCCTCCGACGTTCTTCCGAGCAGATTCAGTCACTCTTAACACACCTCACACCACAGGAAAATCTGATAAGATAATCTTTAGAACCACCAAGATAATTGGGACATTACCTAGGATTGTCGGAAGGGGAGAAATCGGCCCAAAATCAGCCCGATTATCTTGTGGCGTGTACCCAGCATAACCAGCAGATAGCAGCGTAGCATCAGATGAGATTCTGGCAGAGGGAGACATTTCTAGTAATATTTGCCCTGGAACATCTGTGTTTTATTAACCCAGTGCATCTAATTGCCATAAAACCTATTAATCAGTTCAGCGCCTCCAAGTTTCAGGATGTTAATGAATAGAGCGTCCGCTATTAGCCAGCACAGGGACTTCATACGGCATATTTGTTTTATTATCTAGTATGTCTGCAAATTACCCTGCCATCGGTTTACTAATTGCCTAAAGTATTTCTGTGCCAAGGGCTTTTGTTTGGGTAATTTCAAGGTTGCTCGTTATGATTTAATGGCATTTTTGGTGACACAAAAGCGAGCTAATAATGCCGAACTTGATCTAAATCACAAGCAGTTTGACTCTTCCTGTGTTAAATGAAAATGTACAGTTTTTAAATGTTTTAAAACTAAAACTCTTAAAATGTTTCCCTCTAAAAAAATCCAATATTAATTGCTCAGTTGCTACCCACTGAAGATTTGTACTGCAGTCACTATTCCACGCATTCATATTCAGCTTAATGCATCAATAAAGTACAATTGCATCGACAAACCGCATCATTTATTATTCCACAGACATCAACAATAATCTGACTGCAGCTAATAGAGATGATTGAGGGCTTGGTGTGCATGTGAAGAGCCGGCGAACAGTGAAACGTTTTCTGTGTGACACGGCACTGAAAAGATGTTTATTTGGAAATTGTGCCTTTTGGAAAAAGATCAACTGGTTTAGAGGATATCATAATTTTCATAAAAGGGTTTGGTGTTATGATCAGCTGTACTGAATGCCCAGGATTCAGAGACTTTATGGACATTTATTCGGCTATGAAATTCTAAGTTTGATTTAAATATTTGAAATTTTATGCATTTACCTTGCAAACAGTTATGCAGAATGTTTGTGTTTTAAGGCATTGAGGTTGAGGCATCCGCTTCAGCTGAAGAATTGCTGAATGATCCAAATGTAAAGACACAAACTGGGACTTCCTGTCTGTCTATGTGTGTGTGTGTCTGTGTGTGTTAGTGTCTGTGTGTGTTAGTGTCTGTGTGTGCTGGATGACCCTGTTGATGGACGCTCGAGTGATTGGATTTGGTGTCGTTGTTAAAGCTCAGGTTGTTGGCTCGATTCCGGTGAAGAAAAAGTCTGTTGTGCCCTTGAGCGAAGCAGCTGAAGGAATGCTGCAGAATGAGCTCATCTCTATCCACAGCATTTGTCAATTACTACAGAAAATAACTTTGACCCTTCCATCAGGTGGTGTTTACACTAACACACTGCAGTGGAAGTGCACAGGGTTCATTCACTCTTAGGGTTTAAATGCAAAAATGTACTGCTGGAATTTTCGTTAAACACTTTTAATGTACAAAAACGTAAGCAAGCAATTCGGTCACACTAGTCTCATGTTAAATTGCATAAACATATTGCTTTCCCATATTAACTTATATTGTATTGCATTGCAGTAACAGTGAAAAAATGAAATGATTTAATAGGTAAATTGCCTTAAAATGTGAATGTCGTTTGTAAATGACTTTAAATATGTGCTATCTGATATTTATTTATATTAGAGAATATTAGAAAATTACTAGTATAAAATAAATTTGAAAAATAAATGAATATAAAGTAAACAAGAACAAAAAAAAAAAAACACATAATTAAAGGTGTATATATAAGTACAAATATCATTATAATTTAAATTTAATTCAATAAAAATTAAGGTAAATGCAAAAATGTTATATTACTATAGAATGTTTTGAGAAAAATATAAAAAAATCATTTTTGAAAACATTTTCCCCTTTATGAAATAGTATAGTGGAGTGACAAGAAAGTACAGGCAGAGAAAGAGGCCGGTCTCGAACATTTGAAGCTGAAAACACTAAAATAGTGTGTTTTTGTATCAGTGTGTCATTGCTTGTGAGATGTTGTGAAGACAGAATATAGTTTTTATTGTGATAGATGTTGTGTTGGTTTAAGAAGCATCAGGTGACGTTGGTCACACTGACTCTCTGCAGCAGGTGCTTCTCTTTCGTCGATGTGTTTGTCGTCTCTGACGCCCACACGCGCTTGTATCATCCACATTCATCCCTCGTTCCCCATTGAGATGAAATGAAAATAGCCTTTTGTTGGTTTATATATATATATATATATATATATATATATATATATATATATATATATAATATTACTATTTCGGTTTAATTGATTTTTGAGTTTGTTTTTCATAGATTTTTTTTCCATGTGATAATCTCAGTTCTTCAGTTTCTTCCATTTCAATTTCCCACAGTTTTTATCTAATATTTATATATATATGTATATATACTGTATATTTTTCAGCTTTATTTCAGCTAACAGAAACTACTTTTAATAGTCAACAATAATAATCCTGCTCTGTTCCTTCCAAAAAATATCACATATTACTTCTAAAGACCTTAAATTTTGCACATGAGTCATATGGACTACTTTTAGAAAATGTTGGCTTGTTTTTTTTTTTTAAGCTGATTTTGTATTTTAATGAAGAAATAGTCACATGGTTTTAGAATGACTTGAGAGGGACTGTGCTATTTTAATGTTATGGTATTTATGAATTCTCTTTTGAATTTTTTTTTTCAGTTTTCGTTTTAATTTTAGTGTGAGATTTAGTAATTATTGTTATTGTCTTTTTTTAATATTTTTGTTTAGATTTACATTTTTAAAATCATTTTTAGTTTTATTACTTCAACTAATTTTAGCACTTCAACTTATTTTATTTCAGTTGCAGTTTTATCTAATATTGTAATAAATGCAATTTTATTTCAGCTTTATTTCCATTAAAACCAAAAACTACCTTTTAATAGCTTTAGATAACAAAAAAAACACTAGATGAGTATTTTTTGGGGGGGTGAACTATTCTTTTAAGCCTAGATAAACTTGCACAGTATCTCTAATTTGATTTGTAAAGGAGTGTGAGTCTGTTTTAACTGCATGTGTGTGTGTGTGTGTGTGTGTGTGTGTGTGTGTGTTTAAAAGGGCCACTTCAGCTTCAATCAACTCTGAACCTGATTTATTACATCTTCGCAAACACACTCACACACTCTCATCTCAAGCTGCACACTGTGTCCTAACCAGCCATGATGATTGAAAAATATCTACACTAACCATCAGAATCAGATGACTCCGAATCAAATGAATCTGAATCTGAATCAGTCAGTGGTTCTAAATTGTGGTTAGGACATGGTGTCAGAGACTAGATGAGATCTCTGACTTCACTAAAACCAGTGTGAGCTGGTTGTGTGGTGCACTCTTTGACCCCGTGACCTCTCCTGTACCGGCTGTGACCGCTGACCCCGTCCTGTGCAGGATGCAGACGTCCAGCACCACCTGCAGCCTGGGCTCGGCTGACGAGAACGCGGTGATGCAGGCGGACGACGCGCTCAAGACGGTCCACCTGGAGCTGACGGAGACCTGCCTCGACATGATGGCGCGATATGTCTTCTCCAACTTCTCTGCACTGCCCAAGAGGTGACGCCAAAGTGCTTAACAATGTCTGGAAAAACTCACACACAAACAAGACAAATACAGTAAAGCATCACATCACAATGTCTCCGCTCAGCTCAGAATAAAAGCCAAGGAATACAGGTCTTAGGTAACGACTTAAAAATTCCAACAGTCTGAGGCTGAGCAGTTCTTATGTGTACAGGTAAACTATTCCACAAATTAGGTGCCACCACTGAAAAAGCGCGGTCACCTTTATTTTTTAACCTAGCTCTCAGAACATCGAAGAGCACCTGATTGGACAACCTCAGTGCTTTAACAGGAGTGTGGACATGTAAAAGCTCTTATAAATAAGCAGGCACCAACCCATTTAAAATCTTAAAAACAAACAATAAAATCTTGAATTAAATCCTGAAGCGGACAGAAAGACAGTGTAGTGAAGCTAAGACTGGGGTAATGTGCTTATACTTTTTAGTCCCAGTTAAAAGCCGAACTTCTGCATTTTGGACTAACTGTAAGTGTTGAAGAGATGACTGATACAAACCAACATATAAAGAGTTACAGTAGTCTAGTCTAGATGTTATAAAAGCATGAATTACACTTTCAAACTCCTTACGCAGCAGGTAGGGCTTGACTTTAGCCAACCGTCTCAGTTGAAAGAAACTGGCTTTTACAACAGAACTAATCTGTTTTTCAAATTTAAAAGCACTGTCAAAAATCACACCGAGATTCTTGGTAAATGGACGAACATACAAACCTAAATTACCAAGTGCATCTACACAAGCGCTCAAACCCCCAGGACGACCAAACACAACAAGCTGAGTCTTATTTTCATTAAAACAAAGAGGGTTCTGATCCAGCCATATTTTTAAATCTCTCAGGCAATTAAGTAATGACAGAAATTAGACCGAAAACCTAAATAAAGATGATTAATGGGCTTCGTAAACTCTCTTCCTCTCTCAGGTCTCCTATCGCAGAGTTCCTGTTGTCCGGTGGCCCCAGTATGACTTGGCTGGTTGGGAATAAGTTAGTCACCATAACGACCAGCGGCGGCTCACGAACCCAAGCTCTTCTGGGTCTGGACATGGCAGAGAGGCCCGGAGGAGGAGGAGAAATGACCAGGTTACTAACATTTCAACATGGATGTCACCAACCAATCATGCTATTGCTATAGGTTAACATGTTTTAGCACATTGCTAGCATGAATTAGCATGTTTAGAAAATGTTTTACCATGTTTTTAGCATGTTTCTAGAAAATATCTCCTGAATAAAAAATAGATCGATAGATGAAAGATAGATGGATAGATAGGAAGATGGATAGATGGAAGATGGATAGATAGATAGATCGATAGATAGATGGATGGATGCACCAAAAGCAAAAATATCTCCTGAATAAAAAATAGATAGATCGATAGATAGATAGATAGATAGATGGAAGATGGATGGATAGATAGATAGATAGATGGATGGATGCACCAAAAGCAAAAATATCTCCTGAATAAAAAATAGATAGATCGATAGATAGATAGATAGATAGATGGAAGATGGATAGATAGATAGATCGATAGATAGATGGATGGATGCACCAAAAGCAAAAATATCTCCTGAATAAAAAATAGATAGATCGATAGATAGATAGATAGATAGATGGAAGATGGATAGATAGATAGATCGATAGATAGATGGATGGATGCACCAAAAGCAAAAATATCTCCTGAATAAAAAATAGATGGATAGATGGAAGATAGATCGATGGATAGATGAAAGATGGATAGATGGATGGAAGATGGCTGGATGGATGGATGGATGGATGGATAGATAGATGGAAGATGGATAGATAGATAGATATGACTTTTGGCATTATCTGATATGAATTAAGACTCAATGTTTGGACACAGACAGGAAGAGGAAAGACATTTGCAAAAAAAAAAAAATATATAAGATATTTTATATAATTATAAAAATAAAAACTAATTCAAGATATATAATATCTTGGTATATAATGATATGTAATACTTAAAACTAAATAAAAAAAAGTGTTATAAAACTAAAACTACTACTACTAAAAAAGGATATAATATATTAATTTTATATTATAGTAAATGTAATAAAATATCACTGGAAGAAAGTGAATTCATTAAATGCCCCTCTTGATTTCTCTGTCCAGGTGGTCACGCTCTGCGGGCCGGTCCGGCTCAGAGTCTCAGTCCTCTGGTGGCGTCTCCTGAGGGCGAGTACAGTGGGCCGCTGCCCCCGCCGGGCCCCCCGCTGGAGGTGCTGGGGTCCCAGAGAGGAGTGGAGGAGCACCCGGCACCTTCCGCCTCGCAGTCCTCAGCGCCGCTCAAAGACAAGTCTAGCCTGGCCGAGTTTGTGCCCATGCTGACACAGGGCTGGGCCGAGATCTTCATCCGCAGACCCTCAGGTACCACACACCGGCGCGTGCTTTACCTCCTAACCTTGTCCCGGGCCGCAATTATCGCCCACTCGCTCTCAATTATGACACATTTGTGCAGGCACTAAAATTAAATCATAATAACTCCATTCCAAGGGCGTTTGAGAGGCGCATGAGCGCACTTGCGGCCCGCAGGGGTTGCCATGCCATTTCCAAAGTTTGATAATAGTTTGACTCACACCTGCCGTGCCCACGGGCTCGATTTTCCTCAGCTTTTCTCCTCCGTCTGCCTCTAAATGAAGAATAGCTCGGGAGCATTTCACAGATTTTCCTTTTTTTTTGTGCGTTAATTGCGACGTTTCCTTGAGTGTTTCACTTCTTGAAGAATAACACGTGACGAGATGCTTTTTCAATACGCTTCCTGAGGATTTCACAGCGTTGCTGTTGTGGTTTTGTTCCTTTCTGTGTTTGTCTGTCACTTTTTGTCTTTCTTTCATGAGTCAGTTTTATAGCGCTATTGCTTCACTTCAAACCACTTTTTTTTGTGCATTATTTTTTTTCTCTCTATCTTTTTTTGTAATCTCTTTCTTTGAGTTCAGTTCAGTTTGGTTCAGTTTATATTATGAGAAACGGTCAAAAGTCAAATAATAGGCTAATAATAAAGTAGTCAAGTCAATCGAGTTATCAGTAGTGTTAAATAAAATGAAAGTGTTTATTGTACATTTTATATATTATATTAATACATTTATAAAAATGTAATATATTTAAATAATTTTATTTTAGTCAGATTTTATGATGACCTTTAAACGTGCACTGTTTCAAAAGTCAAAAAAAAAAAAAATAGTACAAAAACATAAAAACAATATACAAACAAAACATATAAATAATATAAAATTAAATCAAGTATTGAATGTTTTAAAATAAAAACACTGTCAAATGTTTATTCATTTCCTTATTTATATTTTGTAAATGTACATGCATATAAAATGTAATATAATTTTACTTGTATTAAAAATAAATAAATAAAATTCCAGTACACTCTCAGAAAAAAAGGTACAAAAGCTGTCACTGGCCATTACCTTCTCAAAAAGTAAATTTTTGTACTTTTTAGGTATCAACATGTACACTTTAGGTACTGATGTGTACCTTTAAGGTACAATATGGACCCTTTAGATACAAAGATGTACCTTTTGTATCTTTTTTTCCTGTGTATGCTAGTATTTTAAACACCTAAAAAGTACTTTAATAAAAAATGGTGCAACTAAACAAGTAATACTAATTAATCAATTATTGGACATAAAAATGAGGTAAAATAAAATCACAAAGTATTTATTGATGTTCATAAATGTACATTTTCTTTGTTTGTTTAATCTCTCTCTGTATAAGGTGAGATCCAACATGCCTCTGGTGCCTGGAGTCAGGTTGTTTCATTAGCGTGTCTGTGTAATTGAGTTTGCTGGATGTGTGATGTGCTGATGCAGATGTTGGTTAAATAGGTACATGGGCATATAGCTGGAGGTGTGAACAGACAGCTGGAGGTCTCAGTATGACGAAATCCTCATCCGTTATGTGTGTGTGTGTGTGTGTGTGTGTGTGTGTGTGTGTGCATCATTTTTTGCTTTCCATGCAACAGTATTTTGCATTATTTCATAAAAAAGAAATGTATTTGTGTTGTCCTAATGACTAATAACTACGGCTGTAACGATTTCTCGATTCAATTCGAGTACTAATTTTGCTTGTGTTAATTTAAATAACTGGCAAAAAAATGGACAAGGAACCATGAAACGCATTATTAGACAGTTTTCCGAGGCTACATGATATATTAAACCTATTTAAAAATCATAATAAAGCATAATGCTACTGTGAATTCACAAACGCTACGATTCAATTAAATAAATATATGTGATGCAGGTTTAATGTACGTGCTTTATTTACATCCGTTCACAGTAAATGCTGCTCCACACAAACTGTTATCGTATCATACACTCTGCATGTTGTTGTGAGTTTGGGTCTATTATAACATTCATCTGGAAACGCCACTTGCCCCATTTCATCAGATTTGTGAGGTAAATCATTTATAAACCTACGCAAACACTGGAGAATGCATCGATATCTTTTTCAACATGCTAACTGTTCATCGCGATTTCAAAATAAAAGTTTAAACCCTTGCTCTGACTCTGAGTTTACAGGTTTTGATGTGCACATATTCAAGAAATTGCGGTGGCTGTAGCATTTCTGTTGTAAAGAAATGGCCAAAATTTAAGATTAAGTGGAGATTTGAATTAAATGTTGTTTAGTCAATATTAAACAAGGATTAGATCACACTGTAAAGTGTAAAAACAAATTATAACTCGAATTTGTTATAATGCCTAATATATATTAGCTCTATTGTTTACAATACATTATGTATTTTAACAGTCTTTTTCAATAGAACCACATTATTACTTGCTTTTGATACTTTTTTTGAACTAATTATTATTGCCTCATTGCCTATTATATATGTATTTAAAGTAATTTTAAAGGCTATTGTTCGCTTAGGCCTATTTTTATGCGATTACTCGATTAATTGTTCGAATAATCGACCAATTACTTGATCATCATTAGTGACAGCCTTAATAATAACATTATTTGTTTTCTTAACAACTGTAATATGTCACATCATGTGATGTTTTGAAGATACACCTAAGGAAATAGATTCTGAAAGTACATATTCTGTTGATCTAAGAAGAGTATTTTCTATAATATATTTCTTTACTTTGATTAGTTTGAGTCATCGATCATGATTTAACGTGTGCTCTGTAAATCTGCTCTCAGGTAACACCAGCTGGCTGATGTGTCTGGAGAACCCGCCGAGCCCCTTCTCGTCTGAGCTGGGGAACGTCCCGCTGCAGGAGCTGTCCAGTGTGCTGATGGCCATGGACGGGGTGAAGGAGCCCCAGAGCGAGGCCCCTGTGCCCCAGCCGCAGGGGAGGCCCTGCCCCATCCAGCGCTCCAACACCGGTGAGCTGCCGTCTCTCAAAACAACACTGTTTCAGCATATGCTTCTGGAGCTGGAATGGAGTTTATAGAGTAGATATGTTGCGAGCTAAGTGCTGCAGCTGAGTCTGAGAATAGCATACTACTGTGCTGTACTACTTTACACTGTTTATGCATTTCTGTAGCAGAATATTTCCTGCAAATGTAGTATTTTTTTGTATGCACAGAATGTCCAAATATATTTTTATTTTAGTTAAGGTTTTACATTTTTAAGCAAACAAATTTTGTTGCTTTCTCATTTTTATTAGGTAATTGCTTAAAATAAATAAAAATGAGTAGCAGAAATATATATACAGTGGGTACGAATACTTTCCGTACCCACTGTATATATATATATATATATTTTTTATATTGCATTTAATATTAATTTGTTAAAATGCTTTTAATTTTATTAACTACGATAACCCTGAATGACAAGAATCATTATCTTATTTTATATTTTATATAACCATTATTATTATTATTCAGAAATTATTTTCCAAAAGTTGAGACATTTTTACTCAATCAGGCATATTAAATATGCCAAATAATTATAATTATGTGCTAGATCATGTCTGGATGTCATTAGCTGAATAAAACAGCTAAACAGGTATGCTTAGTAGTATGCAGGTAAGCTATTCCAAATTAAGAGATAAAAAGGCCCAATTAAGAATAACATACTATGTTTTCTATTATATAACAGAAATTGTAAAACTAGTATGCTATTTCAAATTCAGCCATATTGTGTACTGCCTATTATAGATACTGTATGTTGCCTATAATTTTTTATATAAACAGTATGTAAAAGCACATATATATTTTTTAGAGAACTGTGGTATACAGGATCTAGTGTGCAGCATGCAGTAAGCAGTATGCAAGTATTCTATTTCATTCCAAAGAGCCGAACCTTTCCTTTCTGGGGAGGAAATGACATCACACATTGGGAACATTCTTTTATTTATATAAACCAAACTGCTGAAAACTTTGTTTGTTTGTTTGTTTGTTTATACATTTATTAATGATTTTTTATTTATTTGCTAAAAAATGAGCATTTATCGGCCGATACCGATATGGTGGCCGATATATCGTGCATCCCTATATTTTTTTCATCTATCTATCTATTTATTTATAGCCTATTTATCAAACTCTTGCTGTTTTATATAAACAGGCCTGCTGAAAACAAATATTTGTTTGTTTATTTATTTATTTCCAAGATCTTGTTTTTTTTATATAAACCAAACTGCTGAAAACTTTGTTTGTTTGTTTGTTTGTTTATACATTTATTAATGATTTTTTATTTATTTGCTTGTTTATATATATATATATATATATATATATATTTTTTTTTTTTTCTTCTATTTTTGTATATTCACTGGCCTGCTGAAAACAGTTATTTAATTTTATTTATTTATTTTTCAGACTCTTACTATTTTACATGAACATTGCTGCTAAAAGCATAATCACTGAAACTTAATTCAGCAGAATCTGAAGTGTTTCAGTGATTTATTCCTCTTAATGGCTGTTTATCCTCTCTCTAACATACAGTGCATATAAATGACACACATTAAAAAGAGAAAGCATTTGTCATCCACAGCTGAGTATTTTTCTTTGACGGCCTTCTCTCATGCCGTCTACAGTGTGCCGTTCAACACATCTGTCCCTCTGTCAGCCTGACTCTCTTTGCCTGTTTCTGTGTGTTTCCTCTGGGTCCATGCGGTGTTGATGGCTTGGCCTGTGTTGGTTTTTGTCTGGGTTTGTCGCTGCAGTGGGCGCTCTGGGCTCTCTCTGCTCCCCCGAAACGCCCGGCAGGTTACACAGGAGTATATCGTGGGCAGGTAGATATGTATGTGGCCTTGAGCACGCACACGCGCCGCTCTAGAGTGTTTCTGTAGCCTCCTGTCTTCATTAACACTCAACAATCCAGAACAGAGCAACTAATCAGCGGTCAACTCAACCGATCTCCACACAGAACCGGCGATGGGATTGATTCCTGATTCAGGACGCTCCTCCTCCTTTTCCTGGAGCTCTTTTCACTTCCTTTTGCTCTTTTGACATGAAAGGCATCTTTCTCTTGTAATGTTTTCCCTCTCTATGTGTGATTTCAGTTTGACCCGCATAAAAGTATTCCGGTTAGAGCTGGACGATGTGGATAAAAAAGGTTTTGAAATATTTGAAGGGCAGAGATGTTTCAGTCATTCTATAAAAATCAAGAATATACTAGGTAGATGACATAACTTGTCTGTTAACTTGTTTGTATTCAATATCAATATTTTAGGTTAAAATGTGCATGAATGTGCAAGGAAAAGTGTATTTTTACAGGTGATAAAAAGTGTATATTTTGTCAAATCAACTAGCTTTTTTTTGTAATAAGAATTTATGAAGTACAAACATTTTCATGTAGTTTTGCAATCATTAATAATAATAATTTCTAAAATAAATATTTATTTGTCATATTATATCAGTTAATACTTGCATTTTACAATATAACAATATACACTAGTCAACATTTAAAGTGGATCAAAACCTTTCATTAAAGTTGTTCTAAAACCTAAAACCAAAATGCGTTCTTGTCTTAGGACAACTTAGATTAACTTTTTTGATCCACTTCAAATGTTGACCACTGTATAATAATAATAAAAGCAGTAATTGCCTGCATACTAGACCTATCAGTCAATTAAAAATATGAGTTGTATGTGAATTGCATGATTTGGCGATTAACTGAATTAATCTGTGCAACAATATTTAATGAATTTTGAAGGCTAATAAAAAAGGCAGATTTTCTTAATGAAAAACACAATTTTATGTAATTTTAGTAATTAAAGAACAAATCTATAAATATTATTTAGATATTAAAATATTAAATATTCTTAAATGTCTGAAATGTTTTTAGCTATATCACCCAGTCATTCTTACTATTACTAGTCAGATGTAGCTAATATTTTTAATATTAATTGCATTTTATTCAATTATTTGTTATTACTATTATCAGTTAATTTAATAATTTTATGCATTTGCATCAAAATAGCAATTTATATTAATAAACAGCAATATTTAGGGCTGTCAGCTTATTTAAAAAATCGCCTGAATTAAATACAAGATTAATTGTATTAATTATGTTATTTTGAAGGATAATTAAAAAGAAAATTTTAAGGAAGCTCAGAACAAATCTGTAAATATTAAAGGGCTGGAAAATGTTTTTAGCTAGCTGTTTTTACATGTCGTCATTATTTTGGCACAGTTTTCAGAAAGAGAGAGACTTTTAACTGTGTATGTGTGCTTCAGTTTCTTTTGTCAGCTCGTAGGAGCCTGCACTAGCACACAGACCTCAAATCTAACACATATTGACGTCAGCTCGCATTTCCATTTCACTGGGTCTCTAAAAAGCATGTTCTGTAAAGCCTTTCAGTGTCAAATCCGTATTGAACCTGCTTCAACTGGATCAGCTTGTGTGTGTTTGTGCAGGTGGCTCTGCATGTATTAGAGTGACTGTAGGAGAGTTTCTAGACTAATCGCAGATATGGTAGACGCTCCTCTGCTGCAGTGTGTTGTGACAGCACCTCGTTTATTGTTGTCATGCTGCCGTCTCACAGATTCGGTTGTGCTGGAAGAAGCTGGACGGAGCAGAGTGACTGAGTCCAAAGAGCTGGAGGAGTTTGAGGCCGTAGCGTCTGAACCCATCTTCATGAGCGCCGCTACAACACCAGCCGGCTTACTGAGCAGAGTGAGGGAATCCACACCAAACACCTCCAACACACTCAACAATAATCAGTGTTGGGGAAAGTAAAAACACTTTTAAAAGTAATGCATTACAATATTGCGGTACTCTGTAATTATGTAATTGCATTAGTTACTTTTTATGAAAAGTAATGCATTACGTCACTTTTGTGTTACTTTTTGTCCCCTGGGCTGGGCTTGCTTATTTTTATTTTTTATAACAAAACCCAAAGGTTATATTTTTTGCAACTCTAATGGCCCTTTCACACTAAAAGTGAAATTAATAAGCCGCAGTCTGAAGGAAGTGCCTTTGCATCTCACTCCCAATTTCCCTCAGCACAGGGACAGGAGAAGTCAAATCAAATCAAATCAAAGTTTGTTTATAGAGCATTTTTTTAAAACAACAATTTGTGTCAGAAGTGTCAGTAAATAAATGGGAAAACTAACTCTTGTAAATTTAAAGGGATACTCCACCCCAAAATGAAAATTTTGTCATTAATCACTTACCCCCATGTTGTTCCAAACCCGTAAAAGCTTTGTTCGTCTTCGGAACACAATTTAAGATATTTTGGATGAAAACCGGGAGGCTTGTGACTGTCCCATTGACTGCCAAGTAAATAACACTGTCGAGGTCCAGAAAAGCATCATCAGAATAGTCCATCTGCCATCAGTGGTTCAACCGTAACGTTATGAAGCGACGAGAATACTTCTTGTACGTGAAGAAAACAAAAATAACGACTTTATTCAACAATTCGTCTCCTCCGCGTCACCGTAGCGACATATTTTGGAGAGTATCCACTGAACGCAAACTTCAAAATGGTGCTACAGTGACGCGGAGGAGACGAATTGTTGAACGAAGTCGTTATTTTTGTAACTTGCGTTACTTGTAATGCGTTACCCCCAGGATTGATAATAATGTAATAATTTTGACACATGTTGTTGTAATAACAATTAGTGCCGTCAAACGATTAATCGCATCCAAAACAAAAGATTTTGTTTACACAATATATGTGTGTGCACTGTGTATATTTATTATGTATATATAAATACACACACATACAGTATATATATTGAAAATATTTACATGTGTATATTTATGTAATTTATAATATATATAAATATATTGAATATAGAAATATAACAGTTTTCTTAAATATATCCATGCATGAGTGTGTATTTATATATACATAATAAATATACACAGTACACACATATATTATGTAAACAAAATATTTTGTTTTGGATGCGATTAATCCTGATTAATCGTTTGATGTTGTGTGTACATTAATGAGGAAAAAAAATTAACTTAAATGATTTTAGCAAATGGCTGCAATATAACAAAGAGTGAAAAATTTAAGGGGGTCTGAATACTTTCCGTACCCACTGTATATATATATATATATATATATATAATTGACATGAAGAGTAATGTATGTATTATTGTTATTATTATTGCCATGTAAGAGAGAGTGATAATAATAATAATACTAATAATAATAATAATTATTATTATTATCATTGTCATGTAATTCATGCTTATTATGTAATTAATAACATATACAAATAATATAACAATAACAAAAATAAATAAATGTAAATAATATATACACTTGGAAATAATAACAACAACAACAACAACCAACAACAACAACAATAATAATAATAATAATAATCTATTATTATTATTACCTGATATACTTCTCAATACTGGTAGTGATCGACTAATATATCAGCCAGGCCAATCAATCAGCCAGTATATTTATTTTATTGGCAATGTCATTTATTTGGTCTCTTCTCTCCTCAAGTCCTCCTCAACCTCCAGTCAGGACGATGAGAAGTCGACTCTGGAGGAGGTGAGTGAGGGCGGTATCCCCATCGATCAGCCTCCGCCGGCGCTCTCCACCCCGGGACATCAAGAGACTGACGTGTCATTATCTCAGGCCACCACCCTGAGCAAATCGAGCTCGTCCCCGGAGCTGCAGACTCTCCCCGAGGCCTTCACCAAGGCTGCGACCCAGAGTGCCTCCGGCGGAGACCTGCTGAGCGCCAGGATCCCGACGGTCCAGGCCAACGAGAGAGAGGCCTCGGGTGAAAGCGCCTGGCCGGGAGAGAGCGTTATATCAGTCGGCCCGTCCAGCTCCAGCGCTAGCGTCTCCGTCTCCTCGTCCTCCACCTCCAGGATGAGGCTGGAGTTTCCCACGGCTCAGCCGGGACCCCTGTCTCCCGCCGGACACAGACCCCGCGGACACACCATCTCAGTGTCCGCACCCTCGTCCCGCAGGGAAAGGAAGATGGACCGAGACTCGTACCACAACCGAGGAGGACCATCCAACATAGAGAAGAGCTCAGGACTCAGTCCCAGGTAACTTGAAGTACAAACTCGTATTCCACCTTCTTTTATACGCATTAGAAAGTTTGTTTTTCATGCAATTACACTGAACGCAAACTAAAGTTTTCAAGCTTCAAAAAGGATGCAAAAGCATGTTAAATGTATTATAAAAGTTAGGACTTCATGATGATATCAACACCTTATCAGTTATAAATACAGTACTTTTCAATAGTTAAGTCAGTAAGATTATTATTTATTTTTTTTTGTTCAGCAAGGATGGATTAAATTGATCAAAAGTGACCGTAAAGGCATTTACAAAATATTTGTATTTCAAATAAATACTGTTCTTTTAAACATTTCTTTTATCAAAGAATCCTGAAAAAAACTGATCAGGGTTTCCACAAAAATGTGAAGCAGCACAACTGTTTTTAACACTGATAATAATCATAAATGTTTCTTGAGCAGCAAATCAGCATATTTGATACTAGATAAGCCTCAATAATAACACCATAAACATAATATGAGAACAACATTCCTAACCAAGATTTATTATTTATTACTCACACGTTGTAAAGTCCCTAAAGATTTTATCATTGCATCAAGGTCTTTTGGAAACATGTCTTTTGATTGCATCTTACTTTTAGCAGATGTTGTTCATTAAGATGTGCACGATGGGACAGTTCGTATAAAATAACGCAAGGGAAAAGCCTCCTGTGCAATGGTGTATCAGTTCTTATCAAATCTACAACTATCAACAGTCTATTAAGGCTGAGCGACATGGCCAAATATATGAACACAATATTTTTTTCCATATCATACAATATTACGATTTTAATTGACCAATAATGGGAAAGGAAATGCTTTCCACATGTTTGTTAAACCTTGAGAATGAATGTAAAGATAATTTGTTCACAGTTAAACCTTTTTAATTTAGGGTTTAATTTTCCCCTAAATTCTGTTTTCCATGTGATGTTTTTTCTTGGACTCTGTGTTTTATGTTTCAGTACAAATTTAATATAAAAAGGTGTCTAATTAAATGAATGAATAAAACGTTAACGTCTTTCAAAATGTAATGAAATGAAAACATAATTACAACAAAACATTGCATTTTTTTTTTCAAGAGCCTGCACAATAGCATTGTATAACTGAATAGATGAATGAAAATGTTGTATGATATTCTTCAAAAATATTATCTGCTGCCCAAATCTCAGGTGAGGAGACCGCATCTCTCTTATAATTGGGCAAATCTCGCATATACGTTACATCTAATTTCACACCAAATCAAAAAAATGAAATCAAAAGTGTAAAAATAAAAAAAAGAATAATAATAATGAAAATCATTATAAAGGTCTGTTTTTTTTATTTTTTTTGTCATTTTAATTTTATATATTTGTCATATTTTTATATATATATATATATATATATATATATATATATATATATTATCCATGGTAATAGTATTTGTTATAATTTATTAATTTATGCAGATTTTGGTTAAAAAACTGGATAAGATCAGGGTTATTACCAGTATTAACAATAATAGTAATACACAATAATAATAAAATAATACCTATACATACAAATACCTATTATTATTTAATATTCTTTTAATATTATTTAATATTCTTTCTCTCTGCTACTACTAACCATATTAATAGTTGTTGTTATTGTTTTTTTTTAATTATTTTTTTTAAATAATAATATGCAATGTTATATATAATTTAACAGTTTAATGTATCCATTATAATAATATTTGTTATAATTTATGCAGATTTTAGTTTTAAAATCTGGATAGGGTCAGGGTTATTATCTATAGCTAAAACTAAAAACTAAAACATTTTCATTAATCAAAATAAAACGAGCATTAACTGAAATAAATAAGTAAATAAAAACATTTTGGCAAGCCAACATTTCACATTTGTGTTTAAGTTGAAGTATTCAAATAACTATAACTAAAAAATAAATAAATAAAAAATTCCACCACTGCTAAAATTTAAAATAAAATCATAACAAATTATACAAATAAAATATATAAAAAATACTAACAAAAATATATAATGGTATATCAATGGTACTAAAATATCGCTGGTTAGGATAGGACTGGATCAGACTGAATTACAGTCATGGGAATGGCTTTGCATTACAGTAATGAGAACTTAAAGGGTTCTTTTTTAATAAATCTGCAAAAATGTCAACAATTCTGTGTTTTTCTGTCAATATGGGGTGCTGTGTGTACATTAATGAGGAAAAAAAATTAACTTAAATGATTTTAGCAAATGGCTGCAATATAACAAAGAGTGAAAAATTTAAGGGGGTCTGAATACTTTCCGTACCCACTGTACATACATATGTGTGTGTATTATAATTAATTCTAATTTAATTCTTATTTATTCTAATTCTTATTTAATATTCTTTCTCACTGCTACTACTAACAAAAGTAGTTATTGTTATTATTATTATTGAATACTAGCAAACCTTTCAAACTAGCAAACTATATTTAGTAAGTCTTTCTTTAATCACTGTTGAATTTGAGTAATAATAATAACAATTATATATACTAATTGCTATTTTTATTTTTTATCATTAATCATTAATTATAAAGTTCTTAGAAGTAATATAACACTTAGCAAAAAAACTAGCAAACAAGTTCTAAATAATTATTATTTTGTTAAATGTTATATTTTTACATATTAAAATGGTGACACTTTACAACAAGGTTCATTAGTTATTGTTAATTAATGCATTAACTAATATTAACTAACAATGAGCAATACATTTGTTACAGTATTTATTTATCTTTGTTAACGTTAATTAATATACAATTACAACATTGTACGTTCATGTTAGCTCCATTAATTAATATTAGCAGATAAAACTTTGGATTTTAATAATGCATTAGTGAATGTTGAAATTAATATGAGCTGAGATTAATCAATTTGTAAGTATTTTTCATTGTTAGTTCATGTTAACTAATGTTAACAGATGAATCCTTATTGTAAAGCGTTACCATTAAAATAATCTTTCTTAATAATAATAATAATAATAATGATGTTTTAAAATCAGTTTTTATTAAAAAAAATTCAAATAATCCAACATATACAAATTATGAATTTGAGTAATAATAATAATAATAATACTGTTGAATTTGAGTAATAATAATAAAAATTATATATACTAATTGTTATTTTTATTTTTTTATCATTAATTATAAAGTTCTTAGAAGTAATATAACACTTAGCAAAAAAACTTGCAAACAAAATCTCAAGTCAGTATTTCTTTAGTTACTGTTGATTGAGCAACAATAATATAATAATTAACAATAGTGCTGTCAGACGATTAATCGCGGTTAATCGCATCGAAAATAAAAGTTTTTGTTTACATAATATGTGTGAGTATTGTGTATATTTATTATGTATATATAAATACACACACATGCATGTGTATATTTAAGACAAATATGTTGTTTATATTTTAAGTATATTTATATATAATATAAATGATATGAATATAAATATATGCATGTAAATATTTTTTTAAATATATTTATAATATAAATATTATATTTTGTCTTTATATATTCATTATAAATATACACAGTACACAAACATATTATGTAAACAAAAACTTTTGTTTTGGATGCGATTAATTGCATGACAGCACTAATTGATAATGATAGTAATAATAATAATTAAGTACTAGTAGGTGTATTAATTCTAATTATTATTTATTATTACTACTGTTACTAGTAGCTGTAGTTATTATTATCATTATTATTTACTATTTATAACTATTTATTAAACAAAATAATAAGAGTTCCTAGAAAAACCCTACCACTTATAAAAGCAAACCTGTGAAGATGTCAAATATGTGAAATATGATTTATTTAGGCACTTCAGTCAGTGCTGGCTTCGAGTGTTTGAGCGTTATTATGTGATGCTCATTACAGCGTCTGAAGTGTTCATAAAGAGCATTCGGAGCAGGAGGTGAAGCTAATGCAGGTGTTTTGTTCCTCTGCAGCGATTTTCCATATAGCCACTCTGATGCCGAACCGCGAGAGCGACAAGGGCTGCTGCAATAAGAAACGCCACATTGGGAATGACTTTGTGGTGGTGGTTTACAATGACTCCGGAGAGGAGTACAAACTCGGCACCATCAAGGTGTGTGAGAGAGTCCCCATTCATCTCATTTCCGTTGCTGCCACATTCTTTCACAAGCATTTTTAAATGATGATATTTTGTTTGTTCATGCGTTTAGGGTCAGTTCAACTTCGTGGAGGTGCTTATAAAGCCTCTGGACTACGAGAGTAACCTGGTGACGCTGCAGTGCCGGAAAGGTGAAAGGTTATATGCTATATAGTTAAATAGTGTTCCTGTGGCTCAGTGGTAGAGCATTGTGTTAGCAGCGCAAAAAGGTCATGGGTTCAATTCCCAGGGAACACATACTGGTAAAAAAAAAAAATTATAGCCTGAATGCACTGTAAGTCGCTTTGGATAAAAGTGTCTGCTAAATGCATAAATTATTATTAAATTATGCATGTGTGCTCAGTAACGCTGTAACTCCTCCTCCTCCTCTCTCAGATCTGGAGGGTTTGGTCGACACCAGTGTGGCAAAGATCGTTTCTGACCGCAATCTACCACTGCTCGTGAGGCAGATGGCACTCCACGCCAATGTGAGACATCTCCTTGTCTTTTGTCTCTTTTTTTCTGTTTCATATGGAAGCTTAATTCTTCCACAGAATAAAAAAATATTCTGTGAGTGGGGCACGAGTTTGTATCTCAAAATTTGGACGTTTTACCCAGAAGTGCGAGTTCATATCTCATAATTCAGAGTTTACATCTCACAATTCTGACTTTTTCCCTCGGAATTCTGAGTATACATTTCGCATTTCTTCTCACAATTCAGATCCCCCCCCCTTGGATTTTGAGTGTTTTTCCTTGAAATTCTTTTTTCTTTTTTTTTCTTTTCACAATTCTGTGTTTTTCCCTGGGAATTGTATGTTTACATCTCACAGTTCTGGCTTTTTTTTTTCTTGGATTTCTAAAGTTTTTTTTCTCATAATTCAGATTTTTTTCCCTGTTGGAATACAGGGTTTTTTTTCTTTTCTTTCACAATTCTGAGTTTTTTCCTTGGAATTCTGAGGCGTTTTTCCCACACAATTCCGAATTTTTTTTCCTCCTTTGGAATTCAGTTTTTTTTCTGTTCTTTCACAATTCTGAGTTTTTTCCTTGGAATTCTAAGGGTTTTTTTCCACACAATTCCGATTCCCCCCCCTTGGAATTCATTTTTTTTTCTGTTCTTTCACAATTCTGAGTTTTTTCCCTTGGAATTCTGAGGGGTTTTTTCCACACAATTCCATTTTTTTCCCCCCTTGGAATTCTTTTTTTTTCTTTCTTTTTTCTTTCACAATTCTGAGTTTTTTTCCTTGGAATTCTGAGGTTTTTTTCCACACAATTCCATTTTTTTTTTTCCCTTGGAATTCTTTTTTTTTTGTTTCTGTTCTTTCACAATTCTGAGTTGTTTCCCTTGGAATTCTGTTTTATATATATTTTTTATATTTGATATATATATATATATGTATAATTCCCTCTGGAATTTTAAAACACAGTTATGTATTTTTTTATGTGAGTTTTTCATCTTTTTTACACAACAGAATAAAAAAAAAGTTTATAGACAGAGAAAGAAAGCCAGAAGTAAGAAATAAGTCAGAATTGAGAGATATTAACTCAGAATTGTGAGATATAAAGTTGCAGTTACTTTTTTAATTAATTTTTTATTCCACGGTGGAAACAAGCTTCCATAGTTTGTTCTATTTACACATGGACGTTTTTGACCTCTGCACCTTGTGTTTTTTGTTTTTCCTCTGCAAAAAAAAGGCCTTTTCTCTTTCTGTCTGACAACACTGTATGCAATTCATTCAGTTAACATTGAGAAAAAGATTTCAAATGCTTAAACCAGAAATGTTTGCTAGGTTTCTTCTAATTTTTTAATACTTTAGTGCAATTTAAAGTTGTACTTTTTACTTTCACTCAAGTATGTTTTTGGCTAGATACTTGGACTTTTAATTGAGCAAAACGTCACATTACTTTCACTTAAGTGTCATTTTTTGAGAACTTTTTACATCCCTGATTTTGGGTGGTTGGAGTGGCTGTGTTCTTCAGGTGCAAAAATCACACTCTTTTGGGGTGGATTATTCACTTCTTGTTTCCATGGTTACAAGGGAACTTTAGGAGACAGAAAGTACTTTAGTTTGGGAATTTATGTGCAATCCTGGCACCATGTTGCTATCCCAGATCAAAGTGTATTCCAGCATACGGCACTCGCCTTTCACTGACAGAGAAAATCTGGTCCAATGCTGCACTTCTTTCTTGTTCAATTTGCTGGAAAATGTCACAATTCAGAAGGTGGTCACAGCTTCTGTTTTCATTCTTTAAACCATCATTTCAAATGATCCCATTGCATTTGAACCTTTTTAATGAGTGTTTTATCTGCTTTCCTGTCTTGTATAGATGGCATCGCTGGTGCATCAGTGTAGAGCGAACCCATCAGACGCCTACGCTTCAAAATGGCTGGCGAGATTGAGACACATCAAGAGGATTAGGACACGGGTACGAAAGCTCATATATATATTATTTCTATATTTATAAATATCTATATCTATATGTAACTTTTGAATGTGAATATACTGCCATTCAAAAGTTTGGGATCAGTACGTTGAAAAAAAAATGTTTTTAAAGAAGTTTCATCTGCTCATCAAGGCTGAATTTATTTGATCAAAAATACAGAAAAAACTTATTATTGTGAAATATTATTGCAATTTAAAATAATGGTTTTCTATGTTTATAATCTTTAAAATGTAATTTATTCCTGTGATGAAAAGCTGTATTTTCAGCATCATTACTCCAGTCTTCAGTGTCACATGATCCTTCAGAAATCATGAAAATATGCTGATTTATTATCAGTGTTGAAAACAGTTGGGCTGCTTAATATTTTTTGGAAGCTGTGATACTTTTTTTTTAGGATACTTTGGTGAATAAAAAGTTCAAAAGAACAGCTTTTGTTTAAAATAGACATCTTTTATAACAATATACACTACTGTTTAAAAGTTGGGGGTCACTACATTTTTTATTTAGTCTTTTTTGAAAGAAATTAATACTTTTATTCAGCAAGGATGTGTTCAATTGATAACAAGTGCTAGTAAAGACTTATATTGTTAGATTGAAGGAAAAAAAACATAACCCCAATGTTTTGATTGGTAGTGTGTCTATATACTAGGGCTGGGCGATATAGTTAAAAAATGTATCAATGATATAATGTTTCATATCGTTCGGTATCGATAATTATTGAAATTTTTTTATAACCTTTTTTAAAACAAAAAACAATAGAAAATTTATTGAGACAAACAACAAATATTTTTTGTTTTAACAATCAAACACAATAAAAATTAAACATCTAATTTCTAATGTTTTATATGCAGATTAAATAGGTCTTTATTGTATAGGTCTAATTGTCTCCCGAGGGCGCAATGAGCAAAATAATGCAGCGCATTTAAATTGTCAACGCAAGGAAGTAACTCTATAAAAACGTGCATTACATCTAAATTAACTCATAAAAATCAAATATAATTTCGTAAATTGCATAAACAATTATGAACAAAACAGTATCATGTATTTATGCATTGCTTAATCCAAAGAGCCGAAGCGCCAGCCACACAGATTGCATTTAAAAACATATGAGATGCAGTGAAAAAGAATAAACTTCCACAAATTCGTGACATGTTTTCTAATAGTTTAAACTGTTTTAACTTTGCATGGCTTTCTATACATCTCTTGTGTGAGACGCGAGTGCAGCAGCAGTCATATTTGTCCGTCTAAAAAATGCGCTGAATATGCGTTCTGTGTGAATGGCTTGGTTTCGGTTTTAACCCATTCAAGATCTTCTCCGCATTGAGCTTCTATATTTCTCTAATATTTTGAATGAATAACGCAGCAGCGGCGCGTCTCATGGGCTAACAAAACATTCAAATGTAACAACGTCAATTACATCATCATCATCACCGCATCTCGCTCACCACCGATGACGCTCCCTGATGCACACCTAACATTCAAATGCAAATGTTTATTTTAAAATTCGACTAATATTCATTCTTTATTCACAATCTCCTCATCACAGGCAGGCACAGCACTCAATTCAGCATGTGTTCGTGTTATGCCGGGTTCAGACTACACAATATTTTTGTCGGTCACGATAGTCACTGTGTCAGATTACACGATTTTGACTCCTAAAATCTTATTGTGTCGTGGACAAGAAAAATGTCTGACTACACGTTGCTTCCCGACCATTAATCGCGTGCCGTCTTTAACGACGCGCGTGATGCCATCGAGAAGGCGTAACTAGCGACTGACAAAGCGCTGCTCCAACTGCTGACAGATGGATGTAAACGCACGTTTCTTTCTCTAGAGCAAACTTGTGTTGTTCACACACTCATTTTCTCTTGTTGTTTTTCTCTGAATATATGAAAATGGTCTGTGATATTAACCGTCCTACCGTTTTGCTTGGATCCTGTTGGTTTCTTTGTGTGTGTGATGGTTATTGCTTATCTAATGAGTTTCTAATGGAACAACAGATTCGCAGAACAACAGCTAGTACGGTAAACCGCATCAGAAGTGTGTGCATGTGTGCGCTTCGCTACCAAATAAAACACTGAAATCTGCAAATTCTGCTGTTGTTCAGAGTCTACTTTCACTCTCGAGTAAAACCTCTGTATACTTCTGTCATCATTTACTGTCTACATCTTGTGTATGCCTGTGTATTGTGTAAATTAACTTTATAAAGGTAATATTGAGGAGTTGATTATTTTTATTTCTAGCACCTTTCTAAAACTCAACTCGGATACATCTAGGGCTTCTCACACTTGAAATAGTTATAACCCTGGCTTTTTTTTTCATGTTTAACACTGCTCATTACCCCGAGTTAACAACTAAACCTAGGTTTAATGGTTGCTGCTGAGAAACCCAGAAATGGGAAAAAGGTCAGTAGGGTAAATGGGAGACTACATAAGATATATTTTTGAGTTCCCATTTGCTCAAATAGCAACAGAAAAACTCCACATTAGTGTTTTCACGACTTTCCAATAAGAGGAAAACGAGAGACTAACGACAGTCAGAAGAAAAAACTATGTAAAAATGTACCTTCACTCCTGTAGACGCTGTATTATGGAAGTCCGTTTCCGCCACTGAATAAAAAAATAAAAAAAAAATTCTCACAATTCAGATTTTTTTTTCCCTCAGAATTGCGTCATATAAACTCGCAATTCTGACTTTTCTTCTTGCAATTGCGAATTTGTATCTCACAATTCTGAGAAAAAAATGTCAGAATTGCAAGTTTGTATCAGGCAATTCTGAGAAAAAAAAAAGTTAAAATTGCGACATGTAAACTCGAAATTGTGAGAAAAAAAGTCGCAATTATCTTTTTAATTTTGTTTATTTTGTCCAAATGGGCACCTATACTGCATTATCCTTAAGGTAGTTTTAAATGTTGTTTTTTGTAATTTGATGCGAAGTTAAAATAATGCGAAGTGTTATAAAAGTACACATAATTTAAAAAAAATTTAAATATAAAAAAACTGGGTGGTTTTTGTATGCTGATGACCGTTAAAACGCGTCATCACAGTCTGTGAAAAAGGTTTGCGTTGCATTGATTGGACGAACTCGGCACGTGATCGTTAACGGCTCTAGCGTAGCGCGTCATCATATTACATACTGGCGACCAGTGTTGCCAATTTAGCAATTTTGTAGCTAAATTTAGCAACTTTTTAGACTACCCTAGCAACTTATTCTTCCAAAAGCACCTAGCAACAAATTTAGCTATTTAAAAAATTTATTTGGCAAATTTTTGCAACTTTTGATAAGTGACTCGGACAATAAAAAGGCACACATTTTCCATCCAAATGACACAAAAAGAGGAAACCACAGATGCCTAGCAGTACACACATCACATGAATTAAGTTAGCTGCTATTTGCAATTATTCAATTTAATAATAATAATAATTTAATAATTGTTCATTTATGATTCACTTTGTTGGTAGCTTGGACCTGTGATTGTTGTTCAGTTAGTACACTGTAAGAAAAATTAAAGATACTAGTAATTTTCCAGAACATTATCCATTATTCACTGTAACCCGAAAACACAGTGCATAATTTAAAATGCAGGTAAAAAAAATTTTGGAAAATTATTTCATATTAACATAGTAGATTGTGCCCTATTTTTACAGACTTTTCTTAGTGTAGCAGCATACTAACTAACTACTAATACACTGCTTAAAGCATAATTGTTGAGAACGTGTAGTATTACTACTAGTTATTAAAAAAACTTAAAAAGTGTTCAATAATTCAATGTATTGAAAAATACAGTTATTTATATTTTATTATATTATGCATATTATTTTACAAACACACCTAAATTAACATATCAAATATATTTTTTTGCTGAGATTTGATGTTGTGACAATTTTGCATCGTGATTACGCAATGACGTCATCGCACAATGACATCATAACGTCATTTAGCAACTTTTAGCAACAAACCGACCTTCTTTAGCAACTTTTTATGAAAATTAGTTGGCAACACTGCTGGCGACTGCATCTAGTTTTTCCTGAGTGGACTTTTCTGACTCATTTTCACTGTCACCATTTGATATTTTCATTTGATATTGAGTATTTCTTAATTAAATTAATTAAACTGTTGCTAAGCATCTAGTCATAAAATCTTTTCAAACTGTACAAGTTTGGCAGAGCAAATGCGCCGCTAACCCTTCTCCGGAGCAAGGTTTCATAAACTTCATAAACCTTAAAAGCACGGTGTAGAAGGACAAGGGCTGAGTGTGAAAAGCGCTTCACTATTAGCAGTGTTGGGTAAGTTACTCTATAAAAAAAAAAAAAAAAAGTAATTAATTTCTAGCCACCAATTACATCTTCAACAGTGTAATTAGATTACTGTACTCTCTCTCTAAACATATTGCATTACGTATTACTAATTGTTTTCTAAATCAACAAGGATAAGTCTTTTAATTCTTTGAAATAAATTATAAAAAAAGTGCAGAAATTATCCTTGAACTGACCAAAGTATTTAGAGGTTATATTAAAACATACATTTTATCATTTAATATTAGTTTCTTATTTTAAATCCACTATTGTTTTATATATAATTGTTCTATTGTCTATATTTAATGCAGTTACATCAGAAGTAACAAATAAAATTAAGAGCAATCCCTTATTTTGCCTTTTTAAGGCAACTGTAAGTAAATTACCGTAATTAATCATGCGTTACACTCAACACTGTCTGTTCATTTAAACATTAGAAGTCCTCATTTGTAAGTCGCTTTGGATAAAAGCATCTGCTAAATGACTAAATGTAAATGTAAGTCAAAAGATAGTGTTAGGTGGAGACGAGTTTTTAGTGAATCAAATATTGAATGGTGAATCAATATCTTGAATTGAAGCCCCACAGGAACCACAGACCCTCAGCTGTCAGACTCTTTATTTGACTTTGTCAAGTGCAAAAGCATGTAAAGCGAAGTGCTACAACGTTACAAGTACAACAGCACAATTCAACACAAAATGTCAAACCTGCAATCAACACATTACTGCACCTTCAGCATTTAATACCAAAAAATAAGACTTTACAATATTGCATGCAAGTATGTTTTGGCACTTGTGACTGGTTTGAAATGGCAGACATGATTTATTTATTTTTTTCCTGACAAAAAGTACGAAATATTTTAGCGGCAATACTATCCTGCAAAGAACTACTAAAAAGCCATTATATTTTAAAATGACTGCTTGTGCTGTGTGTAGTTCTGTTGGAAATAGCAATGCTTTCATACCTTTTTTGGGTCTTATTTTTTCCTTTGGCCAAAGCATTTGTGTGAAATGATTGTGCATACTGCGATCCATTTTGTCCATTTAAAATTTCTACTCAGTGCGGTTAAGGGAAACGAGATTAAAACAATGCAATCAAACTCGAATACAATATTTACATCAGGGCACACCAATATGTACAGATAAACATGACCTTTCTAAACCTCATCTGGAATGGCCTGAATAAAAACGTTACTGTAGTGGAAGTGACCTTTGACAGAATCAAAACTCCCTGTGGTGGATATTTTCGAGTGCTTAAGCTAATCATCAAATCACTCTCAACTACTCTAATTTCAATATATGAGACCTTAATACATGCATTGTTTAAAGCGGAAAACAACAAAAAACCTAAAAATCCTACTTTGGGTTTTTAAAAAGAGGGTCCCTGAGCATCATCACGGTAAATACCAATGTAGTACTTCACAAGAGACATCAAATCAACACATTGTAGAAACAAATACATGAAAATTAATGGTAATCAATATCCTGATGCAGCTTGTGTATAATACTCAAAGAGAATAGTTCTGGAAAGTTGTATGTGAAGAAATAGTACATACTAGTTTAAATATGGCAAAGCACTAAAGCTTGACATTGCAATAAAGTGCTAAGTTCAAAAGAAACAAGTTTATTTCTTGTTACTTGAGTTGCAAGCTTTGGCAAAATTATACGGAGAGTAATGCTGTTGTAACTATCTCTTATGTTCATACCAAGCTTATTTTATTATTTCTGCAAAACATTTTCCATAACACATTCAAATTAAATCACACCGATGCCATCACAATCATTCATATTAAAACATCAATACAAAGTGCTTTTTAAATTAAATTCAAAACATCATAGAGGGCAACAAACACACTTCCATTTATCATAAGCTGGTTTTTCATTCATTAACAAACTACTTAATAACAACTACTTAACAATAATAATGCTTTATGGAACATCGCTTTTACCTGCTGGAATAACAAATCCCCATACAGAGAATTCTGGGAGTTGTGCTTGAATGAGGGACGTACCTTTGTCTTAATTCTGTCTCAACTTTTTCCTTACTTCATCTAACATTTCATGTCCTACTATTACATTATCCCAAATTTTTGGTCTCCCTTTAAATTCACACTTTCTGACATGCTAATTTCTAATTTCATCTTCTCTCGCTCGCCCTCTGGTTCGTTTCGCTCTGAGAAACCTCTGAATGGAGCAATTATGTCAGAGAAATATATTTGAAATCCTGAGGATTACTAGTTGTTTAGCACCCTGATGGCCTCTTCAGAAGTATGTTAGTGTGAGTGTATAAGTGTAAGTGGGTAAATTGTAAAAGTTCATATGTTTTTGTGTCTATTTTTCGCAACATGCCATTATATTAAGAAGCATGAATTATGCATAAGTACCTCGAAGCATAGCTCTATATTTATGTAATCGCATCAAATATGTACCTGCAATCTGGGTGTTTTTATGTCTGTATGTGTGCGAGTTTATCAGTGTGAGCCCTTTTCGAATAAGCTGTGCCTATTCTGCATCAATGGGCGATACATATACCCATGACCTTAAGATAGCTTCCTTTAACAACACAAAAAAGAACGTTTCATCAAACATAACTAAAAACATTGTACAACAAATACCATCAAGCTTTAGCCATCCTGCATCAACAGGCTTGCTCTTCTAGTCCTTCATTGTCTCTTTCAAGAGTTTTTGTTGTTGCGACAGCACAAGGTATGCTCTTGTCGGTTTCAACCCAGTTGACCACCAGGGTCAAGAGGTTGGACTTGAGGTCACTGCAAGTGGGGAAGGAAAAGGGCAACTTGCATCAACTGGAAATTCTTGAGGATTGTAGAAACCATGGTGACCTGCACCCAGTTTCCATCTTGAGACTTTTAGTAAGGCATTACAAATCAAAAGATTTGTGGGTTGGAACTTAAGGCTATGGTGTATTATTTGGTTTTAAGCAACTTTTATTGCTTTCACTCTTCTTGAGGGCCTGGTTACAAAACCTGCTGTCACCAGGTCCTCCTTTCTTCATGAAATGCTGTAACCCTTGAGCTTCAACGTTCCTTGAGTTCCTAAGCCTTACAACTCAATTCCAAATCCTTGCCTGTACTTGTCTACTGACTGGTGGAACCTTGGGGTCTCAAGGTTTGGGGTGTCCTGAGATAGGTCTGTCTGTGTTGGGGTGCACCTTGTTTTTAAGTGGGGGAGGTTTGTGCTTGCGTTTGCGGGTGGGATTCGTAGTAGTGTGTGCAGGGTGCCGGAACACGCTGGAGGGAAGGTTCTCGCTGTTGGTGGGAGAAATCCATTCATGGGAGCGAGGGATCGGTATAGGGGTAGTTATGGCAGAAACAGGAGCAGTCGAGGAAGCAGATGCTGGAGTGGGAACAGGGGTAGGGATGGGTTTGTTGGCACAGCCAGCAACCTCAGATTCCCTTTGGAAATTTGGATCCACCTTGTTGGAGTTTCCTTTTACTTTATGAGAAGCCTTGTCAGCCTTTTGGCCTCTAGGTTGACTACTGTCCCCCTCAGGTGGACTTGCTTTGAGGGGATCCGAGTCCGCCTTGCGAGGGCCTTTCTCAGTCTTGTCAACATCTACCACCTCGGTACTAGGGGTTTCTTGAGTCTTTTGGAGACTATTGGTCCTGTGGGGACTCAAGTCCGTCTTATTGAGGCTTGTGGGAAGAGCACTTGTGATTTGTGAGAACTTCTCTGATTTCCTTGACCTTCGATCTCTCTTGTGAGGATTTCTCTCGGATGCAGGTGCACTTATTACAGTTCTCAGGGGAGATTGTGCCACTTGTGTACTCCTGTCTGTCCCCTTGTATCTATGTCTCTTCTGTCCTGCAGACTCTAGACTTCTGTGGTGGTGTACCCCTCTGCCCCATCCTCTACTCTTCCTCAGCAGTCTCTCTAGGTGGCACTCTGTTCGATACAGTTCCTCTGTGGCGTGGGTTACCCGGTCCAGCTGCAGAAGCAAAGCATCGAATGCTGGGAGGATTCTGCGGAGTGTTGCCTCCATCTCAGCTCTCTCTTTCCAGCCTTGGCCTCCAACTATGACCCCAAGACCTAAAGTGAGGCCAAGTCCTAGACCTGGGGCTTCAGCCAAACTGCAAGGGCTGCTGGATGTGGGACGCCAGGAGGCCTCAGATCCTCCGTCAATGCTGTCGGGAGTTGGGGGAGCCTCAGGAGTGTCCAGAGGAGGAAGACACAAGGACTTGCAGTCACTAGTTGAAGAGGAACGTGAAGGAGGGAGCTCCATACCCTCAAACCGCACCTTGTGCCGGAACTGTTGGGGAAGAAAGGGATAATGGGTCAAGAGAAGGTGGTGGTAATTTAAAGGACAAAGGTATGCGATGAAGGTTTAATCTGGAGGACATGCGACTCAACATACTAGAGAGTAGGTAAGAGTCAAGTACTCATTTATCCAAAGCAACTTACTGAATAATTTTCTAAAGACAATCCCCTGGGAACAACCCAGGGTAAGAACCCAATGGTAACAGCTCATGGCTCGTTCTTTGGAGTGTTTGACCAGCAACTATTTACTCACCCTGAGCTTTAGCCATACCCAAAGTTACTAAGATTCTGCTTTATCAAGACCTTGTGTTTCAGGGGTAATCTTTTTTTGCTCTGCAAATTGCTTTGGATTAAAACCCTCTACAAATATACTACCAATATATGGAAGGGAAAATGGGATCAATTGAGCTATTCAATTTTGGTAAAAAAAACGGTGGATAAACAACAAGTGCCTCGGGTAGAAACATCCACTTGTGATTCCATAAACCTACACAGAGTTCATAAATACATCAGATACATGCTAGAAGACCTAATTCTTGACATGCTACATTGGTAACACCTTTCTTTTGACAAAAGGGCAGGGAATCTTGAGTATTATGGAAGAACACAGACCTCTTTAGCACGGCTGAGCCCCATCCACATTTTGAGGCGTCGCAGGAACAACTCCACCATTTCATAGTCCTGCAGGTCAACGGCTGGACGGTACAGTTCCGCCCTTGCCCGACGATAGTTCCTTAGCAACGGCGAGATCAAAAGCCACAGCAAAACTAGTCGGAGGAGAGTGAAGCTAATGTAGAAGATGAAACAGGAAGCAGAACATGGAGAGGAGCCACTGTCCGGTCGCCATGACAACAGTCCACGCCCATTAGAGCCTAGTAACTTCAAGCAAGTAGAGCTAACAGTTCCGTGGCCCTCCATGACAGAGTGGAAAAGCTAGAGGGGAGAAAAAAAAGGATAGTACTTGTCTTTAGCAAAATCTTAACTTTTTTTTTTTTTACTTACATAGTTCTGGACTAAATCCAGAAAATAAGTATTCAAGTTATTGATCAGAACAGACTGCTTTTAAGAGATATAAAATGTTCACTAATGGCTCATAATTGACCCATTAAATAGTCTAGTTGAGTGAGGGAGATAATTTAAAAGTCTCTTGTGTCCACTTCACCATTGTGTCAAAGTTTTTTTTGCACTTTCTTTATGTAAACAGCCTAGAATTTCTTGGAATTTTAATTTAATAATTCAGGATTAAGGAAGGGTGGTGTGTTCAGATCCAAACACAAACATGCGTATACAAATGAGTACACAGGCACAGACAACTGAACCCACAATACGGTCATCAGTGAATTGTTAAGAAGTTGCTAGGGCACTGTTATGTGGTTGTTGAAGTGATGGTTGCTTACTGGCCCAAGTCAAAAAAGCCCAACCCCAAATCTCTAATATATAGACCATAATATTCTGGTCTATGGGATTTTGCACCTTCTTTAAAAATTAAAAGCACAACTCTCCTTAGCAAGCCACATGAAGAAGCTATGCCCTGATGTTTAATACATTAGTTTTGTGTGTTTGCTCTAATCCCTCTGTATGAGTAACAGCAATGGTGACGCTTGGCTTAACAAACAACTAATAACAATACCCAGTTTATACACAAGGTCACTTCAGCATGCCAAGTTTTACAGGAAAATTTAGAAAATTTGTAATTCAGGCAGAGTCAAGGTCCTCGTACACTCAGTTATGTACATAGTTAAAAGACACGGACATTCAGTTCAGATAAATAATTGGCTGACGTCAAGGAGATGTGCTGCTTTTATGAACTCACGTCCTTTATGCACCTAATAAATGTCTTTAATTATACTCGTTTCCTCTGCATTAGTGGGAAATTTGTTGATGCGCGTAGGTCACCGGTATAATCATGACAAAATGCATTATTCATTTTCCAGAAAAAACACTGACAGGTTTGTGTTTACCAAGGAACCATGAGTCCATGTGGTTTAAATCATTTTGCAGATGGTGTGTGTGTGTGTACTAACCAGGTGTCCGGTGTGTGAGTATGCCAACAGGAACACGAGTAGAGTGACTGCAACTGTCAGCAGCTCCCAGAAAGATCTCCTTAGCGTTCTCCCGAAAACCCCCCATTCTCTCATGAAACGCAGCTGGTGTGATGCCTAAAAAGAGATAAATGAAGTGAGTGATAAATAATGCCTCGCCGGTTTGTATTTTCATATCATTAATTATTGCAGAATTATTTAAGATTTTTTGACTGTACTAAAGCATAAAAATACTAGGGCTGAGGAAATAAATCAATGCATCGCGAATCGAGAAATTCTGCATCGATTCTGAGATTTTCCAAATGCATCGCGTTTCTCTCTCGAATCGATTCTGAGCTTAGGTTTTAACAGAAGATGGCACTGCATGCTTTAGAAACAGCCGTACTCCGCAAACTGCTTGCTTCCTGTTCCTTACACACACTTGAACCTAAAATAATCATTCATAAAGTTTGAAAAGTTTGAAGCTAATCACAAGGGTTTTTACAGCGAGCTGTTTACATTAATCTGGCGTCATAAAAGCATTCTGAGCCGAGGTGTAATTACATGACTCAGCTGAACGCACAAGCGCTCTTCTTCATGAGCATTTGAGAGTGCAGTAAAAAACTACAGTAGTCAACATTTGAAGTGGATCAAAAAAGTTCATCAAAGTTGTTCTAAGATCAGAACACATTTTGGTTTTAGGACAACTTTGATGAAAGATTTTGATGCACTTCATATGTTGACTACTGTAGATCAAAGTCTACTGTTAAAAACTAAGCTCAGAATCAATTCCAGAGAGAATCGCGATGCATTCAGAATCGATCAATGAAGCCCTAAAAAAACACCATAATATGTTTGCAGACATTTAGGAGACCTGCTAAATTCAGTATTTGTTTTGCTGAAAAACAACGCAACAGCCAGTTATTCTACTTTGAAATGTACGTTCTGTGTCGGAATGTCTGTTTTTGTTGTGGTCTCTGTGATTTCACCCACTGCCAATTTACCCAGTAGTATTTCGACACACCGGGTTGCCAGTTGGCGGAAAACACTGCGTACTGCAGCCATGGAAGCCAGCAAACGAACTGGGTCAGAAACTGCAGATTCTACCCAACCTAAAAGCCTCAGCATCCATCTGTTCCATTGTTAATTGCACTCGTTCTTCTTGCGTGTGCTCAATCTGGCAACCCACATGAGCATCGAGCCTGAGTAGGAGGGGCAGGAGAAACAACTCCCTCCAATATTCTGAATTTGGACTGGACTGCTAGCTGTCAATATTATATACAGAACCTTTAAATATTTAGTGATGTCTGGCCTGATGTGTACAGGAGAAGAACTTGAGGTGGGAATTTATGACTTTGCAGATGTGCGTTTATCATTCATTTAGTTGTCCCGAACAAACTAATTAACGGACAATCCCGCTGGCATAACCTGAGGTTTAGTGCCTTGCTCAAGGGCACAATGGTTCATTCTTGTAGTTATCAGTTCTGAACTTCATCTAGTACACCATCTCACACTGTTCCATATTTCTAAGCACTTGAAAAAAAATTATAGTAGAGACTTCGCGACACTATTTATTAAGGCGTGGCATTCTGCAGCTCCAACTGTAGAGCATGTTTCTAACAATGCCAAAGTTATGGGTTTGATTGCCATTTGCTCACCTTGAGAACCAGTAGGAGGAGCAGAGTCGCGCTGAGTTGGGTCAGAACCTGGTTCTGCTGAGCCAGAGGAAAGAAGTCCGTAAAAGTGTCCCGTTTTTGTAGAAATGACCCCCATTGGTGGGCGGAGAGTACAGAGCGGCTCAGGTGTAGCGAGGCGACACAAATCGCCAACAGCAGACTGCAAACACTTGCTACGTTCCACAAACGCAGGAAATAGCCATGCCCCTGTTTCCACGCAACCGCGCTCTCACGTACAGAGAAATAGATCACGAAGACCAGCAGGAGGAGCTGTGAGAGAAAGAAAGAACTTAATGAACCTCTGCCTTTTGTTCAGACAGCAAAAAAATAACTGAAATAATAGGATCAGCTTTCAAAAGTGTTTTGCGATTGGCTGATGTTACCGTGAGGAACAGCGGCAGGTCCATGCCGTGACTGAGCGTGTGGAGGCTGCAGGTTTTGAGCTCCAGACTCAACTGAGCATGCTCAGATACAGGAAACTCCAGCAGGAACGTGAAGACGGCCAACAGATCGGTGTTGATGTTATAGAGGGGAAACTCCACGAATAGAGCCCTGGTCCTGAACACAAACACACAAAACATCAGAGGACAGACGTTCTCAGTATCGTTCCCTCCAGTCTATTAGACTACAGGAAAATAAAATACTGTAGTAATTGAGAAAACAATAATAAAAAATCTATAAATATAATAGAATATAATAAAACATGTTTTACAAAAAAATATATCTTTATTTATATATATATATATGTATGTATGTATATGTATATATATATGTATATATATATGCGTGACCCTGGAGCACAAAACCAGTCTTAAGTCGCTGGGGTATATTCGTAGCAATGGCCAAAAATACCATTGTATGGGTCAAGATTATAGATTTTTCTTTTATGCCAAAAATCATTAGGATATTAAGTAAAGATCATGTTCCATGAAGATATTTTGTAAATTTCCTACTATAAATATATCAAAACTTAATTTTTGATTAGTAATATGCATTGCTAAGAACTTCATTTTTACAACTTTAAATATTGATTTTCTCAATATTTTGATTTTTTTTGCACCCTCAGATTCCAGATTTTCAAATAGTTGCATCTTGGCCAAATATTGTCCAATCCTAACAAACCATACATCAATGGAAAGCTTATATATTCAGCTTTCAGATGATGTATAAATCTCAATTTCAAGAAATTTACCCTTATGACTGGTTTTGTGGTCCAGACACAGACAGACAGACAGAAAATAATAAAAAAAAATTACATTTTAAAATCTTTAAATAAAACAATGAATTATGACATGCCTAAACAAGAAAAAAAAAGTCATCTAATCTAATGTAATACAATATAATATAAAAATATTCATTTTGCTTATCAATCTGGTAATCAAAAATTTATTTAATTAATAAAAACAAATAATTTATTCGAAAATATTAAATAATATATCTGATAATCTAGCAATTATGAAGTTATTTTCATTAGGTAATCATTTCACGACTGATAACTGGTAATACATTTTGAGCTCAGTTTTGAGAAGCCAACTGTTGTTCTTTTTTGATTTGATCAATTTCCTAAAAGGCCTATTGTGTGGTGCAAATGAGTGTGCAATAAATAGTCAATATAAAACAAGTTCCCTCCAAAACAAGTTCCTCCTCCTCCTACAGTCTTTTGTTGAGCATCTCCTCACTAACTGATTAGTATGCATTGGCTGTATATATCAGTGTCTGTGTGTGAGTTTATACTCACAGCGGGTCGAGCCACTGGTGTGTGTTGAGTTGCTTGATCACAGCTCTGGAGTCCTGCATGGTCCTGCTGAGATCCTGCACGAATCCAGCGCTGCTGTAGACAGACACCTGCCCCCAGTGCCACATACTGTACACACATCAAACCTGCATGAGGATCTCACTGACATGCTGACGAGGCTCCAGAGCAGAGGAGAAAACAAAGACAACCTCTGAACCAGAAGACATGATCCAAGATCAGCCTGGGTCATGATTAATTCAGCTAGAGATCTGTACAGACTGAACGCACACTGATTCAGGAGCCTGACAGCCTCCAGTTTAGTTGACCCTTGTATTCCAGAACAAAAAAACCAAGAGATCAAAAGCCAAATTTAGATGACAACAGTTATACAAGTGGTGTCATGGAAGAACAAAGCTTCTTTAATCTTGTAGATTAAATTGCCTTGCCAGTTGAAATTCACCCTTTTCCCCAAACCATCCTATGGCGTGCACAGGAGCTTCAACTCACAACTGACATTTCACTCTCCTGTGTAATAAATCCTGGGATTTTCAGTTTGACCGATAAAAGAAGACAAATGCATCATGTGACTCTCACCCGCTGCTCTGAGCTGTACTGATACTCCAGTTCTGCACCAATTCTGAGGCTGACTCCGCCCATCCAGCCGGGACACACCCAAACCACGAGGCTGCTGGGAAATAGCCAATGACGGGGCATTCTGGAAGACAGCAAGAAAGATGGGGGTCAAATTCATGAGTGATTTGTGCTTTAATTATTTGTTTCCTAAGAATGTATCAGTGTTGGGAAGGTTACTTTGGAAGTGTAACGGGATACAGATTACAAATTACCCTATTTAAAATGTAATTAGTAGAATAACTATTTCAATTACTTTAACTAACTAATCATGTAACTGATTACATTTGATTACTTTTCTAAATGTAAATTTTTCCCCCCCAAAATGTTTCTAAACTTGTAATCATTTTGAAACATTTAAAGCAGGCAGGGGTTAACCTTACAGTAGAGCTCAACACTGATGTCAGACTTTCCAAATTCTTCATCACTTGAATTAAGATTATAATAATTCAATTTTAAAGCACCGCCACTACAAAATCAGTCTTTAGCAAATCATAACAAGAAATAGTATTAATAGCTATGATACTGTTTTTGAAATCAAATCTTTGCATAGCTATGACAGGAAACACTGGCATCTAACAATGCCTTTATGAAAAAAAAAAAACAGTTCATTTAAAAAATAAAACATATGCATAAACCCAAATAGGAAATAAAACCGTTATTGAATAAGCATGTGTCATATTCTGTGTCTGAAACTCCTGAAACATTGGTGTCTCATGTCTTCGAGCAATCAATGCAATTTGGCAATGAAATTAATCAAATCTGTATGTGTGAGAAAATATTCAGATGTAACCCCTTTGTAATCGTTAAGATTTTCATAAGTAACTAATTTAATTACACATTTTTTCTCAGTAACTGTAATTGATTACAGTTACATTTATTTTGTAATTAAATTATGTAATTCAGTTACATGTAACTAGTTACTCCCCAACACTGGAATGTATGTAGTGAAAATTTAAATGAACAAAGTTTGTTGGTTTATAAAAGTAACGCAAAAGTAACGTAACGCATTACTTTCAATAAAAAGTAACTAAGTAACGTACTTAGTTACTTTTTTAGGAAGTAACGCAATATTGTAATGCATTACTTTTAAAAGTAACTTTCCACAACACTGGTCACAAGTGTATTTTGAACCTGTTACTCATCCACCTTATATGAATGTGTGTGTCTGTGAGGAAAAATCCATTTCAGTCAGACTGAAATGCTCTGAGTCTCAGTCTGATTGTTCTCGGGAAAATGAAAGAACATTTCACCCATCTGCGAGTGCTGACCTCTTTATACCTCTTTTATGACGTTCTTTATACAGTCTTATGCAGATCCAAGAGCACAGGACCATCAAAGGTAATAAAAGCAGAAAATGAGCCGCTTTATGTACGTAATGCTTTCCTGAAACAACAATATTCTGCTTCAAACTCAGCATTTGCTCAGACACTGATGCCTTTGTTGTTATTTTTTTCCAACAATAATGAAAGTTAAACCTGCTAAATCCAGTGTTTATATTTTGTATAAAAAGTATATATATATATAAACATACATATGAATTAACCTCTAAAGAATGTGTTTCTCCATAAGTTGCTTGAATAAATGTAAAAAATAAATAAATAATATTACATTATATTTATTGTATTATATTTATATGGATTATTTATTATAATATATTATATGTATCTATATTTGTATGAAGTAGCTGTGTTTATGTGGTGGTGGAGCACCTGGCTGAGCTCTCAGCTGTCGGAGGCGGGGTCGACCTATCAGCAGGCTGCCCGTCTTCTCCATTAGGTCAGGACCATCCAGTAACTGTGGTAACAGGGAGTCTGAGAGCCATGCCCACACATCTTCACGTCTGCAGACAGAGGATCAGACAAGTTCAGAGACGTGTGTGAGTGTGTGTGTGTGTGTGTGTTACAAACGGACTGTGATGCTCAGAGAGGCTCATGGTGTGAAACAGCAGCCACCTGTCGAAAACACTACATCAACATACTGTCAGCTCACCTTCCTCTGTCTGATCTCATACATCAACACACACACTTCTGTCAGACTGACTGCATGGAGTCTGACCCGACAGATTGGTGAACAAGAGAAATAAGACAACACGGAAAGACAAAACTCTAGTCTACATGCTCCTGTGTTTGTTGCTGGACAATAGTTGTGTAATGCTAAAAGAGCTACATCTGTGTGTGTGAGAGTGAGTGAGTGAGTGTGTGTGTGAGTGAGTGAGTGAGTGAGTGTGTGTGAGTGAGTGTGCGCGTTTTTGTGACATAAATTTGTATAATGACAAAGGTATGACATAGGTATTACAAGGAGAAGGTGACTTTTCAGGACATTACCCCATGTCCCCACTTTTCAAAACGCTTATAAATCACACAGAATGGAGTGTATTGAAAATCTGAAATAGCACAAAGTCTCCTGTGAGGGGTAGGTTTAGGGGTAGGGTTGGTGTAGGGCAATAGCACATACAGTTTGTACAGTATAAAAACCATTACGCCTATGGGATGTCCCCACTTTTCACAAAAACAAACCAGTGTGTGTGTGAGTGAGTGAGAGAGTGTGCATGTGTGTGTGTGTGTGCATGTGGCTGGTACCTGCTGATGTTGTTGAAGTGTTCTGTGAGGAAGTGCTCCTGCAGCTGAGTGTGAAGTCGTAGGCGATGGGCGTCTCTGGACGAGTCTGAGTAGTTGAGCAGTAAAACCACCAGCAGGAACAGCATGTAGAGCAGGAAACCCTGTCAATCCGACACAAAACATCTATTATTCAGACACCCACTCCTTCACATTCACAAGCGGCTCTGTCACTGCGGAGAGAAACATACGTCAATCACAGCTCAGACAGTCTAATGAGAAGAAGCCCGCTACCATCCAACAGCCAATCAGGAGTTTTACTTTGTGTCTGAGAGTCGACCTGGCAATCACAGCGATGTTAATGGAGCACAGTGTGTATAACCGGCTTTATAACCGGAGTTAATGCTGGAGTTGAAGCTAACAAAGGACTTCTAGGAAAACTACAGTTATGACAACTTTGAAGCCTTAATTCACTGTTCACTGAAATGACTGCCGTACCTTCAGCATGGTGTGCAGCAGGCGGACCTTGCGTGCCTCCTCTCGGGCCTGTGAGAGAGCGAACCCCTGCGGCGGCCTGACTCGCGGGATCCGCTGAACCACTCTCTCCACACGCGGACAGTCCACCAGAACATCCTGCTCCTCAGCTCTTAGACGACCCACGACCAGAGAGAAATACACCCCCTCCAACAACACCTGAACACACACACACACACACAGCAGAATCAGCCAACAGCTGCATTTAAAACACCACTTATTTCACAATGTATCATTTGCGTCATCCACGTATGTATGTATATATATATATATATATAATTATACACATTAACAGATATAATTAGCTCAATTAAAATGTTCATAGTTATTGACATGCATATTATCAATAATGATATGAATATTATCAATATTCATAATAATTTATATAAATGATTCAACAACTATGCATTGTAATTAATCATTTTAATTTATAGATATATTATTTAAATAATGTGAGTGAGTGAGTGAGTGAGTGAGTGAGTGAGTGAGTGAGTGTGTGTGTGTGTGTGTGTGTGTCTGTCTGTCTGTGTGTGTGTGTGTGTGTGTGTGTGTGTCTGGTACCTGCTGATGTTGTTGAAGTGTTCTGTGAGGAAGTGCTCCTGCAGCTGAGTGTGAAGTCGTAGGCGATGGGCGTCTCTGGACGAGTCTGAGTAGTTGAGCAGTAAAACCACCAGCAGGAACAGCATGTAGAGCAGGAAACCCTGTCAATCCGACACAAAACATCTATTATTCAGACACCCACTCCTTCACATTCACAAGCGGCTCTGTCACTGCGGAGAGAAACATACGTCAATCACAGCTCAGACAGTCTAATGAGAAGAAGCCCGCTACCATCCAACAGCCAATCAGAGTTTTCCTTTGTGTCTGAGAGTCGACCTGGCAATCACAGCGATGTTAATGGAGCACAGTGTGTATAACCGGCTTTATAACCGGAGTTAATGCTGGAGTTGAAGCTAACAAAGGACTTCTAGGAAAACTACAGTTATGACAACTTTGAAGCCTTAATTCACTGTTCACTGAAATGACTGCCGTACCTTCAGCATGGTGTGCAGCAGGCGGACCTTGCGTGCCTCCTCTCGGGCCTGTGAGAGAGCGAACCCCTGCGGCGGCCTGACTCGCGGGATCCGCTGAACCACTCTCTCCACACGCGGACAGTCCACCAGAACATCCTGCTCCTCAGCTCTTAGACGACCCACGACCAGAGAGAAATACACCCCCTCCAACAACACCTGAACACACACACACACACACAGCAGAATCAGCCAACAGCTGCATTTAAAACACCACTTATTTCACAATGTATCATTTGCGTCATCCACGTATGTATGTATATATATATATATATAATTATACACATTAACAGATATAATTAGCTAAATTAAAATGTTCATAGTTATTGACATGCATATTATCAATAATGATATGAATATTATCAATATTCATAATAATTTATATAAATGATTCAACAACTATGCATTGTAATTAATCATTTTAATTTATAGATATATTATTTAAATAATAATAATGTATTTTTATGCATCTTTATTTGACCCTCTGACTCTAGCAATCTCTATTCTAATTCTATTCTTTAAAATTCTATTCTTTTAGACTTGCACTCTATTCATTTACTAACTGCTTGTTTTCTTAAAAAAAAAACGAACACTAGCTTCTCTAATCTAAGCTTGCTCTATTCTATTTCTATTCTATCTGTTTTCTTTTTTTCCGTCTGCTGTTGTGCGTGTATGTACCTTTAGAGGTTCGAGAAGGAGGAATGACGACAGGAAGCTGGCAATGCAGGAGATGAGCCACATCAGAGCCACGCCCTCGCTGAAGCTCCGCCCCAGCCACATTGATAGGCTGCTGGACAGGACAAGCCCCACCCAGCTGGCCCACAGAGCAGCCAATCCACACAGAGGAGGAAACGGCCTGGGCTTACACACATCCGTCACCACTACTTGAGAGATACACACACACACACACACACACACATCGCAAAAGAGTTCAGCTGTTTGTGTCTATTTCTGAGGTAAAAGATCAGAAGAAGTGTGTGTGTGTGTGTGTGTGTACCTGTGCGTGAAGTAAAGGCAGTTTTGGGAGGGTCTCGTCTAAATGTTCCACACGGAACAGGTTCATTCATCTTTTGCAGTAGAATCACCTCCGTCTTATCACCGAATATACTGGAGCTAAACACAAACAACTTTCATTCAGCAAGGACACATTAAACTGATCAAAAATGACAGTAAAGACATTCATAATGTTATAAAAGATTTCTATTTCAAATAAATGCTGTTCTTTTGAACTTTCTATTCAAAGTATCCCACTTTCCACAAAAAAATTAAGTAGCAAAAACTTTCAACATATAATAATAGTAAGCACCATTATTAATAATTGAGCACAAAATGAATAATTGATCATTTAAATTGTAATAATATATCACAATATTGCTGGTTTTACTGTATTTTTGATCCAAAAAAGTCAGCCATAAGAGACTTTTCAAAAACATAAAAAAAATCTTTTGAATGATAGTGTATATGCTATAAAACGTGTTTAAACAGACTTTTTAATGATGCGTTCATGCACTTGAAAGTTGATCAATGCATAATTCATGAAAGACAAAAAAAAAATGTATGAGCACTGAAGAACCACTAAGTTTAGGATGAATTGGATGCCATTTCATTCACATATATGCTGCACTAAATATACACAGTATAATACTGTTTTTTTAAATATTATTTTATGTCCTTTATATTATTTCTATTTGAAAATGTCATTTTATGGACTCTACTACCTTTGTGTGCATCGGAAATTTCCCAGTCGATGTTAATTAAGTATTTTTTAAAATCTCAAAGCGCGGGGCCCGGTGCGAGCGCACCAGTTGCACCGCCCAAAGGACGGCCCTGTTTACAGACACTCTGAAGTGCAGATGAGAAACTGCGTGTGACTTACAGATCGCCCATGTCACTGTCCGTCTGAGACAGCAGCTGTCCATCGGCCAGAATGCGCTTGATCAGATCCTCATCTGTCAATCAAAACCAGCATCCAATCAACAACCAGCTCTATGCACTAAGTACGTACTTAAGTACTAAGTATGCAAAAATAAACAAGTACAGGACAGGCCAGAGGCCAGCGTGTCACCTGAGGAGGAGAAGTATTTGTTCCTGTGGCTGTTGTCATAGACAGTGTCCTCCTCGTCGGGACTGAAGGGAATGTCCACACCCAGATGTCTGCTGCCCTGACCTCTCTTGAGCCGAGGCGGGAACACCGGCCCCATCTCCACAGACGGGTCGGTTAACACATCCGGCCAATCACAGTCAGGAATGCTCCACCTCTGAAGACTACATTACAAGAGATTCAGTCTGATTTTCTCTTGTGCTGACTCCCATTCAGTTGTTCATTCATTGTTATTCATTCACTCACAAACTCTTGAATCTCTGATTCATTTATACTCACTTTTTGAGTATTTGATTCACTTATGCTCACTTAAATTCATTCATTCATTCACTCAGTAAATCACTGACTCCGATTCATTCACACTCTCACTCGATTAGTCGATCACTGAGTGTTTGATTCACTTATGCTCAGTTCATTCACTTTCTGAATCATTCTTTCATTCAGTCCTTTACTCACTGACTCATTCATACTCACTAGTTCAGTCATTCACTGACGCTTTTATTCATTCAAGCTCACTTAATTCTTTCACTTTTTGAATCATTCATTCACTTATTCACTCACTAACTTATTGACTGTGATTTATTCACACTCACTCGTTCAGTCATTCACTGACTCTTTGATTCACTTATGCTCTCTTAATGCATCTGCAGTTTGAATCATTCACTTATTATTCAGTGAATTGCTTTTCACTCAATCAATCCTTTATTCAATGTCATTTATGAAATACATTTATTCAACCACACATTCATTTTCACTCAGTTGTTTATTTGATCAATTTTTACCCACCACCTCTGGATTATTCAACGTTGTGAAAAAACTCAAAATAAATAAACAAACCCAACACATACATTACTCAATACAAGTTTATTCGCTCCATTGTTAATTTATTATTTATATAATATTATAGCATGCATTAATATTTTGGAGTAGCTTTTTATTTTTCAGTTTTCATATTTTTGTGTTTAGTATTTGTATTAGTTTTTTCAATATTTTTTATTTCAGTTTTAGTTTCAGTAATTTAAGTACTCCAAATTTCATTTCAGTTAGATGCAAAGGCAACATTTCTAATTTAGTTTCAGCTCATCAAGTTTTTCATCTAATATTATATTTGATTTGATTTTAGCTGTATTTCAGCTAACGAAAACAAGTTTGAATAGTTTCAGTTAGGAGTAACAACAGATTGACTTTAGTCATTTGTTCATTCTCGCTCAGTTATTCACTCTTTCATTCAGTGGTGTATTTGTTGTGTGTGGGATGTAAAGGATGTTTTGCATCCTGCAGGTCTGTGTTTAATGAGCTGTGCTTTAGCGCTTCGGTGACCTCATGCTTACCTCTTAGTGGACGGTGTGGGCAGGTCAATGTTGGTCTCCTCTGAGTATGTCTGCAGAGAGAGAGAAACAGCAGTGAGCTCATTCCTCTGCAGGTGCACGATACACTCAGTTCATCTCAGGATACGTGTTTGCTGCCCTATATATATATATATATATATATTTGCTCCCCTCACAGTTCACGGCTAGAATCTAAATGGAGCTTCTTGTCTCAGTTTTGTACCTCATACTTCTTTAGATTGTTAGTCGTTTTGCATGTTTTGATGCACGATCATGCACGATCATGTTTTGCACTTGAATAAAAAACGGCCTGGAAATGTGACATTCGGTGACGGCTGTAACAGACTCAACTGCAGCACATTCAAATGTTACGAAGACGACAAAAGCACCTTTCATTTTCAAACCATTTCATTTAGCTTGTCCTCCCCCCGCACCGCAGAGAAATGGAAACAAATCAGCTATGACTAACAAACATAATGATAAGAAGGTCTTCGTCAAGGTTTCTCTCGGCCTTTGTGTTTCTGTGCATCAGTTGGAGCATGCAAACAAAGTATTCGGCGAGAGCATTTCAATTTGCACCTCATGAAAGGTACGAGAGAAACTCATCTGGGTCTCTGTCGGAATAAATACAAATACATATATTGTGTTCTCCCTTTGAATAACAGATAGACCTGCATCAAAAAATTCAAAAACAGAATCATTTACTACAATGAGAGTCGAATGAAATTCATCAATCAGGCTAATGTACACACAAGCACACACACACTTTAGCAAATACTTTTGTCCAAAGTAATTTATACTAACAATATCCATAGTACACAATGCCAGGGTTTAGTGAAGAACTAGATTATTGAAAAAGAAACTGAAATGAATAAATAACTAATAATGAATAATTATAAAAAATAATTTTTATAAAAATATATAAATTAAAAACAAATTAAATCAAAAATATTTCTTAAAAGAAATATGTGAAAAATGAATGAACATATAGAAATATAAATGTAGAATATAACAAAATATAAAAATACCTTATATAAAAATAAATAAAAATTCATTAATAAAAATAATAAATCTACTTATATCCAATTAAAAAACAAATAAATAAAAATGACTTCTAAATAAACAAATAAGTGAATATAAAAATAATTATTAAATAAATAAACTGTTTTGGTCAGTTAATAAGTAAGTAGTGGTTTCTGTTTGTGGAGCAGTGGAAATCACAGTTAAGTACTTCTCCAACAGTATTTGAACGTACCTCTCCAGGAATGCCATTCAGCATCAGAAAAGAGCTTCCTGTCAGTGAGTTATCCAGGAAGTCATCGATCTCCAGAGACTCCTGGTCCACCTGAGGAGGAAGCTGCTCCACAGAGACCTGACCGTCATCAACAGAGAAACAGCTTTTCACTTACCACTGCGCTGCGGTGATGTCTGAACAGATGATCTTACAGTGGAGGCCAAAATCATCAGAACACTAGTATTTTCAGCAGCTAAAAAATGGTTTTAAGTCAGTTATTTCTATCTTTTGCTGCAGTGTGTGTATCAGTAGGAAATATCAGTTTACATTTCCAAACATTCATTTAGCCATTAATTGTAATAATCCAGTGAGATTTTTGTTTGCTCCACACAGAGATCTGATCTGATCATCATCAGTCTGTCTGAGATTACATGAAGAAACAGAACAAACTGAGACGGACTCAATCCAGAAGAACTGTGGCAACGTCTCCAAGATGCTTCAAGAAACCGTCCTGCAAAGCTACAGTACTGTTAACAGTTTTAGGCACTTGTGTAAAAATGCTGTAAAATGAGGATGCTGTCAAAAATAGTGTCATTAATAGATTTTCTTTATCAATTAACTTCTGTTAACTAAATTAAATCAACATTTGGTGTGAGCATCCTTTGCGTTTAAAGCAGCTTTTGCCCTCGGATAGTTTTTCAGGCAGCTTTGCAGGTAGCTTTCTTGAAGCATCTTGGATACGTTGCCACAGTTATAAGTTCTGACTACAAACCATTTTTTAGCTGGTGAAAATACTAGTGTTCTAATCATTTTGGCCACCACTGTATGTGTGTGTGTGTCTGTGTGTACCTGGTATTTATCACGTTATGGGGACCCACAAGGATAGTAAATTAATACTAGTAAATTTTGACCTTGTGAAAATTTAGCTTATAAATCATACAGAATTATTTTTTTTGAGAAAGTAAAAATGCAGAAAGTTTCCTGTAAGGGGTAGGGTTGGTGTAGGGCAATAGCACATACAGTTTGTACAGTATAAAAACCATTACGCCTATGGAATGTCCCCATAAAACATGGAAACACAACATGTGTGTGTGTGTGTGTGTGTGTGTGTGTGTGTGTGTGTGTGTGTGTGTGTGTGTGTGTCTGTCTAACCTTACTGCGGCTGAGTCTGAACAGATCTGTGTGAGTGTGTGTGTCTGTGTGTGTGTGTGTGTGTGTGTGTGTGTGTGTGTGTGCGCGTGTGTGTGTGTGTATGTGTGTGTGTGTGTCTGTCTAACCTTACTGCGGCTGAGTCTGAATAGACAGAAGACGAGCAGGTAGACAGGATAGACCAGCAGACAGCTCACAAGCCCCGCCCACAGCGTCTCCGCATTCACCGAGACCAGAGCAGACACCAGCGTAGAGCTAAACACACGTTCACACATTAATCATATTTTCAATACAATATAAGTGCACAGTAAATTGAGGGCCGCTGCTTCACCTGTTGCCGTAGGAGACGGTGCCGTACCACACGGCGTTGGCCAGCATGCAGAGCTGCATGAGCAGAGCGCAGCAGGTGAGCCGCTGCAGCCGCGTGAAGGGGCTCCGTGGAGGACGCTCCCACAGAGAAAACCAGACGTGACTCTCACACACGGCCCTCTGCAGCTCCCAGGACAGCAGCCGCGGCCGCTCACGCAACTCCGCCTCCTCTGCACACAGAAAGCACAGAGTCAGCAGCAGGAAGATGGGCAAGCGTTATCAGCAGACACTGGCGAGCGCTGGGCTTTCACTCATTTGTGCGCAGTGAGTGATGTGTTAATGGGGCATGAGGCAGACGTGAACACTTGCTGTACTAAGTAGGCTAACTAGTTAGTATATAATACCTACATAACAGCCCACTCCAACTGAGCATAGTTGGGAGCTAAACATTTCAATTAGTGCTGTCAAACGATTAATCGCATCTAAAATAAAAGTTTTTGTTCACATAATATATGTGTGTGTACTGTGTATATTTATTATGTGTATATAAATACACACACACACAGCCTATATTTTGAAAATATTTACATGTATATATTAATATTCATATAATTTATATTATATATAAATATATTTAATATATAAACATGAAATATTTTTCTTAAATATATACATGTATGTGTTTGTATTTATATACACATAATAAATATACACAGTACACACACATATACTATGTGAACCAAAACTATTATTTTGGATGCGATTAATCGTTTGACAGCACTAATTTCAAATAAAGCACACAAAATAATTAGTTTATGTTCTATAATTTAAAAGTAGTATTTTTTTTGTAAATGTACACAAAAAATGTTTAGTTTTTCAAATAAAATAAAAAATGTATTTTAAAGTTTATTTATTTATTATTTTTACACTATTATTTTCTGTATTATATATTTATATTAATATATAATAATAATTTTTTTTAAATATATTTATATATTTACATTCATTTTATTACATTTTATACATATAGTTTTTATTTTTGTATTTTACATTTCCATTTTAATTTGAGTTAACATATTACCGTTTTTTTTATTTTAATATCATTTTTTAATACATTTTTCATGTTAAAATAATTATATATATACACACACACACACACACCCTAATATCCATATGTGATGGTTATTTAATATTAAAATGTTATTATAAAAATATTTAATATTGTATCTAACATTTCTTCTTTTATACTATTTTCTATATATTAATATAAATAAATACTTTACATAATGTTTTTATATTTTACATTCATTTTATTATAAATATATATTCATACACATTCATATATATACACATACACACCCAATTTAAATTTTGTTCTAATTTAGTTATAATTTAGCCTAATTTAGTTTTGTCAATTAAATGCACCTAACTCTATCCTGTATTTTAGGTGAATACAGTTAGTTTTTCATTATGGAGGGCCTGCATTAGGTTTACTGTCCACTAAAACTAACAATGTAATGTAACTTCTTATTAGGAGCAACGCATTACTGTTAATATTGTACTACGTGTGTCTCCTGGCTACCCTGTGTTTCCTCCTGTGGATTATTAAAGACTGTTCAGTGTGAAATTCCTCGTTCCTCGCTCCTCACAGTAGGCAACCATGACAGAAGAATCGACCTACAAACAGTAACCTCCATGTGTATACCCTCCGTTTTTATGTTTCCCATTTTCGCTCAGTGTTTTGTTTTCCGTTGTTCCCTCATGGATGCCCTCCTTCGCTCGGAATGTCTCCTCCTCCTGCTGGAGCAAAAGCTGAGCGACTGAGCAGAGGATCACCCCAGACGTAGAGCTGAACCCATCAGACCAGGTGCGAGAGACGGGCAAAAATGCCCTTCACGAGGGAGCTCCGCCCCCTGCACCACGGCTGAGGGTGAGCTGAGTATGGCGCGGCGAATGTGCCACACCGAAGAGGAGAGGGCTCCAATCCCCGAATCCAGTCCAGAGTGCCCTCCAGTGCCCGCTCCTCCAAAGCGCCCTCAAATGTCCGCTCCTCCAGAGCGCCATCCTGTTCCTGTGTTCAGCCTAGAGGGGGATCCCGATCCAGAGTTTAGCCCTGAATGCCCGGAGGCTCACAAATGCCTGTCCTCACACCCGCTCCTGCCTCCTCCACCGCTGTCGTCTGGCAGCCCCTGTGCTTGCCCTTAGCCCACCATCATTACGGTGCGAGCGCCGCGGGTCTGCCATCCTCCAGCGTCGCCATGGCTGGAGAATCCTTCACCTCCGCCTCCGAGGCCCAGACTCCGCCTCAGCCCGTAGACCCAGCAGCTCCACCTCGGCTCCTAGCTCCTTCGCCTCCACCATCACCCATCGATCCACCAGCTCTACCGGGCTCCCTTGTCCCTCTGGCTCTGCCTTGGTCGGGTGTCGACCCGCCATCGCCTCAGGACTCCGCTCCTCTGGCTGCACCTCGTTGCTCCGTCCCACCGGCTCAATTGGGCTCCTTCCTCCCGCCAGCTCCACCTTGGTCCTCATGTCTCTCCAGCTCCGCTGCAGATCTCCGCCTCAGTCGCCAGAGCCCTCGGCTCCACCCTGGCCCCCCGGATCCTCAGCATCCCCCTGGCTCGTTGGCTCTCCGTCTCCGACTCGGGCTCCTCCGCCACCTGCTCCGCCGC